CATTTGTCTATCACTCTGGGAGGCAGTGCTGGGTCTTGCCTTCATGCCCCTTAAAATCTTTGAAATGGTGGAAAGTAAACAGTTTCAATGTAAGGCAAAAGGAATTCTGGCAACAAAGCCAAATTTACTGTAATACACTACAGCTGTATTCACCCTCTAGTTTTGTAGGGCAGAGTTCAAGGATCCTCACTCTATGGATAAAAACAAAAAATAGGGTTGTACTTGATCACTACAGACTATGCACACTTAAAGCACACAGTAGATTCCTGATAAGAGTGAAAATAGCATTTAAACTTTTAAAAGTTTCAATATTTGCTTGTCTTTGTCTCCTGTTGTCTATACATCCCAGCTAGCCAAACTATAGTTCTTGAGCTGGATTTTTTGGGCCATTGGTACCTATTTTCTTCTTTCTGAAGAGCTGGTGGTGGCTGGTTCTCTTATGATGCAGCTGATTCATTATTAAGCTGTTTTTCTTTCTCTCCCAGTATAGGCAGACTCCTTTCCTCAGTGATTCCAACTCTCCCAGTGCTCTGATGCACTTATGTGCTGTTACTTCAGCTGTGCTTTGCACAGTTTCTCCTGCTGATCTTGGCCATCAACTGACTTTTGTTGAAGAGAATACTTGCAGATCAGTGTGGAATTTCTGTTGGCAAGCATGGAGGGAAAGATTGTGTTTCAGAGATGGCTATAGATCTCAAAATCTTTCATTTGGAAATGGCCTCAATGTAAAAGAATTACAATACAAATGCAAATACTTAAGAGCAGGGTTTCACTAACAAATGCCAAAAGCTGACACAAATAAATTGAATTAGAGGGCATCTAGTTTATCATTCAAGCTTTTCATCAAGGAGGTGCAGGGAAAAAAGGTCTCTTGGAATCCTAATATGACAAAATTATTTTCTCAAATCAAGTAGATTTTTACCACAGTATCGTAAAAGTTAAATTCCTATGACTTCCCTTGCCCATCCAGTCATATTTAATGAATGTTTATCTGAGTGATGACTAAAAGAGACATATTACTCAGAATGAGAATGCTTTCCTGGTTAGTTGTTCAAAACACTGTGAGAGTGACACAAATAAAATCTATATTGCTGATATGCTCCTGGGGACAGTCCCCATTTACTGAGAAAATTCATACTAAGATATCATTTATATCCACCTTGCTCCAGGCTGGCCCTCTCTTGACTTCACTGGCAGTGTCTGTGCAGCACGTAGGATTGAGCTCTCCTTGTCCTTGGTTGCTCCTCTTCTGTTCATATGCTTCCAGAAACGGGTCATTTATTGTTTTACCAGCTAATACTCATCCCTCTTTTTCAGTGATGCTGGAATGCACACGAATAGGAATGTGGTTTAGTCATATGAAGTGTGGCATCTGTGTTGTTGCTTTAGCGGTTATTTTCCCCGAAAAACACGCAGCTAAGTTCCAGTGAAGGAGGAGATTTGTCTGCCTTGCTCTTTGCTGCTCTTTGGGTCAGGATTAGGAAAGACAGGTCCTGCTTGCCTCACCTGATCTCCTCTCATGACGAGGTCACACACTTATGGATGAGGGAAAGGTTGTAGATACTGTGTGCCTTCAAGGAGGCCAAATGCTGATCCTGCACCCAGCTCATGACAGCCCAAAGCTGCCTGGGGAGAAGATTTGGAAATGCTGGTCAGCAGCAGAGCCAGGGCGTGCCCAGGTGGCCGAGAGCCCCGTGGAAGCCTGGCCTTTCTCAGCCAGGGTGTGCCAAGCCAAGCAGGACAGGGATGGCCACCCCTGCGCTTGGCGCTGGCAGGGCTGCACTCTAAATCCTATACTAAGTTTGGGGTCCCTCTCTGCCAGAAAGATGTTGAGGAGCTGAAGGTGTCCCCAGAAGGGCCACAAAGATGGTGAAGGGACTGGACCAAAAGTCTTGAGGAGTTGTTGAGGGAGCTGGAGAAAAGGAAGCTCGGGGGGACCTTACCTCTACAACTGCCTGAAAGGAGGGTGTAGGGGCAACAGGGGTGTCAGCCTCTTCTCTCAAGTAACATGACATGGTCAAATGGCCTCAAATTGTGCCAGGGGAGCTTTGAGCTTTAGATTGGATACTAGGAAAAATATCTTCACCAAAAGGGTCATGAAACTTTGGAACAGACTGACGATGTTTGAGGCACCATCCCTGGAGGTGTCTGAAAGTTGTGTGGTTGTGGCACCTGGGGACATGGTTTAGTGGTGGGCTTGACAGTGCTGGGTTATGGTTGAACTTTATGATCTTGATGGTCTTTTCCAACCTAAATAATTTTTTTCTTAATTTTTTTTCCTAAATTCTACAGGGACTCTGCAATACTTTTTGCTATGCAGGCCATCACTGTACTTAAAAGTAAATTACAGGAAAATGACCTGCCCTGTCAAGACAGGGTGGTGAGGATGAGGATTTATTTTTTTATATTTCAAGTTCATCTCTTTTTCTTCTTTACTGCCTTATTCTCTCTTTTTTTTTTTTTAATATATTTTTTTTTTTTTTTTTTTTTTTTTTTTTTTTTTCTGTTTATTTTCTGCTAGAACTGTCTTTGATTTTAAAAGCTCTCTTGGTGGTTTTGATATGCTAGCTATATAAAAGAGGCCTAAAGGGTCTTATCTCAAAGCTACTACTGTTTTGGGATCCCATTTAAGCTTTCTAATTGTAGAAACCTCACTGAGAGTTTTAAGGCTTTAATAAAATCAAGACTCTTTGTCACTATAATTGTCTGCTTATGAATTATCAATGTATCTATCTAACTGAAATCAGACCCAGTTGAATATAATCTTGAAATAGAATTAAGTCTTCAAATTGATGTAAAGTATAACTGAGAGATACGTAGATACAATTGTGGGGGAAAATTGGATTAAATTATTGTAAATTTAAAATTAAATAGATCTTCTCCAATTTTTTTTTTGTAAATTCGGGTCTGAGACTGATTAAGAAATCTATTATGGAAATCAAATGACCATATTTGAATTAAGTTCCGTAAGTTTTATTTTGTTCTTAGACATGAATACCCAATAGAAACCAGGAGACCATAATTTCAATCATGCTTAATGGGTTTTGAAGAATCCATAATTTAAACAGATGTATCTTACTGTCAGTCAGATATAATAATCCTAAATTTTGTTGCCAGTTTTTACTCAGTGTCTTTCTGAAGCCCATTAGAGGTATTTGAAGTGTGTTGTGATTTCTCCCTGGTTTGTGCTGTCTGCAGCCCTGTCAATATTCAGAGTTGCCCATTCTCAGCAGCCCTGTGTGCTGAAATTAAAGGAGCAGGATGTCATGGAGATTAAAGCCACTGCCACCCTTTCCCCACGAAGGTGTTGCTCTGCTGAGCGTGCCAGAGAACTGAGTTTTCTAGAAGCCTTGCAGTCCTCTGGAACCTGGCAGGGCTGCTTTTGGAAAGTTGTGACAGTTTCCTGGCTGAAGGATTTTTCTTGATCAGCCTTTAGATAAAGGAAGGGAGGCAGATGTTTTCCATCAATTTTACTTGTACACTTCTTTTGGTAAAGGGAAGAGGCATAAAGTGTTGGCTTAAGGCTTTACATTCTGTGTGCAGACAACTGCAGATGCTCAAATTGTCTACTTAAACACAGTGAGGGGTTTGGTCTCTTGGCAACTCTGGTCATTAGAGTTTCTCTTCAAAAAGCAGGGTGTGTTGGGGTGATACCAGAGAATCAGAATGTACTTGTCTAGAGAAGGTTGGAATATCAGTCGGCAATTACTGAGAGAGAGAGAGAGAGAAGAAAAAGAGAGAAAGAGAGAGAAAGAAAGAAAGGAGAGAAAATAAAGAAAAAGAAAAAGAAATGAGAGAAAGAAAGAAACAGAAAGAAAGAAAAAGAAAAAAAGAAAAAGAGAGAGAGGGAAAGTTAATGTCACTCTATCCTATTATTCAATGGTATATTATTTATCATTTATCTCCTGGTTCTCTTAGTTTTTCTTCAGGATTTAATTCCTGAAGTAAATTCTATTGTCCAAAATACTGTTTTCTTCTGATAAGTTAATTTCAGCCCTCATGACTGGACAGATGCCTGAAAATCTGCTGGGGATAAAAAATTTATGTTTTGAGACTGTGAAGAGAAATAACAACCCAAAATGTACTAGTCTAGTGCTGCTGTTGTAAGTTTGGGGAAAAGCCAGCAATTCAACAATTCTGAAAATATGATAGGCCTAACAGTAACAAGGGAGTATTAAAATTGTACATACCAAGGAAGGAAAAGGAAAAAGCCAATCCTCCCTTACCCCACCAAGAAGAAGCCAAAACACCAACTTATAGCCTAAAAAGTTAGTTATTCTGTTGTGAAGTCATTCTCTATTGCTACAAGTTAAATTTTTGCAGATGGATATACAAGATGTTTCTTACTTTATGTGCTGTTCCTCTGGAAAGCATAAAAATGAATGTTTAAAAAGAGTTTCTTCGTAGTTTTGAGTAAAGTATGTTAGTTAGGTGTCCTGGTGTAATTCCAAATACAAAATTACATTTCCAGCCCAACAAAGGGAAAAAAATTGTAGAAGATTTATTTGGATCTAGTTACTGTTTATCCTCTACTATAATTTTTGAGTGTGATTAACTGGTTAACTTAATTTTACAACTTCATATTTTCTCCTAAGAATCAAAAAAAAAAAATCAAGCCAAAAACTTGTACCTTTCTCTCCTATGGGTCCTACATATGGCTAATATGACTATAAGTCTTGCATTTAAAGGAAAAAACATTTGGCATTTTTTCCACTTACTTCATGCATGGTTTTACTACTACAGTTATAGATGTTAAAGCAAATGATAATGCTAAACTAGTGGAAAAACAGTCATGTTGGCAAGCACTGTTATAGATGGCTGTTAGTTCACTTCTAGAAATACACTGTGTTTCCAGGGGACATCACCTGTAAGAATTTTTTCAGTTGCGTGCTATTAGCAAATTAAACAACCAATATATTGCTATATTTTCATTAATGTTTCATTGCTGAGTGTGTGGTGGCAAGGGAATGCACTCTGATCTCCTGTTTTTCCTCTCCCAGTGAAAAGGCAGAGCCTGAAGGTTCAGATCAATGCCACAGAGGACACGGTTTGCATGAGGTATCTCCGGCCAAGTCAAGGCACCAAGCTAGAAGGCTTTGTCCTGGGTTATGGAAACAACTTCTTTTCTAATCAGTACATTCCTTTACCTTCAGAAGGAAAAAACTATGTAACAGAACTTGGTAAGACGTATTTGCTTTGCATGCTGTTGTTGTAATGAATTATGTGAAGAGACTGAGGAGAATAAGAATCTTTTGTTCACCCGATTTGTTGTTTTATTGGGTTGTTGCTCACTGTTTCTTTGTGTTTATTTAAGGTTGCTGTCAAGAATTTCAGTGGAAAATTGAATTAGTAGATCCTTCAAGGAGAAAACTAGTTCTTGTGTGGAAATTTTGCTTACTTGTATTTGTTTTCAGGATTTTTGTTTTAGTGAGAGCCTGCACTATACTTGAAGACATCACAGATCAAATGGGATGGTTTGCCTAAAGAAGCAGCTGTTAAGTAGAATATGAGGGAAATATGCATGCTTTTAACAAATAATAGAATAAGCAGTGGCACAGTCTTGAGAATTGTGTGGTTGATTCCTTTTGACACAAATACTCATGTTAACATGATGCCTTTTCTTGTTGGGATCTATTCCAGTATTACCTGTTGTAGATTAACCTCTAACTCCCATGTCAGACATTACTGATGGAATTCCATGAGCTGTTCTATGGAAGAGATTAAAGCATGTCAAGAATGCTGTATCCTGTTATCTGGAATAGGGAGAAGGAAGAATCTATTATTAAAACATCGATTTATCCTTCTGATTTGACCTTCTGAGAAATCTGTTAAATCCCTAAGGATTTTCCTATTGATTTCTTTAAGCTTTTCTAGCCTAAAATGAATCCATTTACCCTCATCATTGTAAAGCTTGTGATCTTGGTGTAAAGCAAGGGGAGGAAAGGATGCATAAGCACAGAAGTAATAATTGCCATGTTTTTGATGTGGTCAGTTAAGGCCATTGTGGGTGTCTGCTCCAAGATGGAAACTGCTCCAAGATAAAAACTGAAGAAATGAGATATTAGACATGGAATAATTAAGATATTAGAGACTGACAGGATCACTGTGGCAAAGGTTAATTTTCCTTTCCATGAGTTGGTACACCTGGAATGTCTCTATAATTCTATCCAGTGTTTGACTTCATAACTATTGCTTAAGCTAGGTCTGGCTTACCTGATTGTGTGAATTTTGAATCAGTTCACTAAGAATGATGTGCAGGATTTTCTGTGGTACACTGTGCATTAGGCATAACAATGCCTTTTGCAGCTGTAGTGAGGATTAACATTTTTCAGGTACTCAGAGATCTTAGGGAAGAGCAAAAAAAGGACAGAATGTAACATTGTGTAAGATCATTTGCACTCCCTATTTAATAAAAGCTTTTAAAACTAATCTTTTGCAAAACTGAAAACTGAAAGCTCAAGGTCACCTGGAATTTCAGGTATATTGATATTTTATAGCTTCAACCATAACAGTTAATGGCTGGAATCTAGGCACCTTTTTTTATTTCCACAGCACATCAGAGCACTGGCCACATGCATATCCATTTGCTGCAGGGTCTCTGGAGAGGGAAAAGCACAAATGTTGAGGACTACTCTTCCTTATGATTATTTCAAAGGAGAATAATATCAAAATTTTATCTCCCTCCTGCTAATAGAAGTTGTCTCTTTCCTTGTGACAATAAATCTATGCTTGTGACTTCTGAATGTCCAGTAACTAAACATGCAAAATGCAAATAATATAGATAGCACGACAAGCATTTCTAACCTTCAGAAAACGTTGTCTTTGAAAAGACAGGAGTAAAAGAAGTTATCAGCAATATGTCCTTCAAGTTGCAAACTTTATTTAAGGCAATTACCAGTATGTTTATTGGAGCTGTTGCTTTTAGTTGAGAGATCTAGGGTTAGATTGAATGCCCTGGGGACTTGTTTATTGGAAGCAGAGAGTGCATAATCTTTCCCATTTCACAAATATTCAACACAGCATTGAACTGCAGTCTGACTGTGCTTTCCAAATGTGTGTGGAACACGAGCTAAAGCAATAAACATCAGTTGTGCTTTTGGCTCTGCCTTAGAGTGGCTGGTGGGGCAGAAATGAAGACAGAGTGATTGCTGGCACACGCCCTCCTCCCCACCGTATTTAGGGATCAGCTGCTGGCAGAAATGGAAGAATTGCAGAATGGTTCTCAGTTCTAGGAACAAAGATTAAGTTTTATTGTGGCAGCCAGAGCCCTCAGCTCCAGCATACACTTTATATTGATTTTAGAAAAAGCAAGGTGTTGTAGAGGGGCAACAAAAATACTCTCAAGAAATATGCCAAAGATATAAACCCCCTAGACCCTATTGCTGAAAAATCTCAGATTATCTTTGTGCTACTAGTGCATCTCATATATGATGAAGTTGGCCTAGTACGTTATCTTCATATTAAAACAATGTACTTTGAAATTTCACACTCAAGGTTATCTATCCCACGTTCTAGATGTTCTAGTGATCCACGTGCACACTCTGAGAATGGGCTTCAGTGTGTTCCACACACTTTTCCACAGTGAAAACAACTAGGTTTGTACAAAAAACATTCATTTTTGCCCTGAGAACTCCTTTTTGGTCCTCTCATGCTTTGACTTACCTGAATTTTACAGAAAGTGAGTTTATAGGCTTCCCTATAAACAGTGGTAGATGAGGCTTTTGTTGAGCAGAATGTGGAAGAAGTGGTTCCAAACATGAAAATTTAATGTGGTCTCTTTAGAGCAAGACTAATTTAATGCTTCCTCCCTTCTTGTCAGTTTTAGTGGTTCATGGAAAGAGAAACCTTTCCCAGTCAATTTAGGGACTATGATCACAACCTTAAATTGGTTTGTAGCCGAAAGGTAAATATCAGAAATAGACATTTAAGGGCATTTGTTACTCTCTGAAAGGTATGTATGTTTCTCTAATGCATTAAGGAGCAATGCTGTGGAATATAATCCCCTGGGAGAGAGATTAGATCCAGGAAAATGGAAGATGCATGAAAATTGTTTATTCTGTAAAAATTTTTAAGGAAAAAATCGTACAGATACACTATCAGCTGTAGACCCTACTAAAAAAAAAGGCATTAATGTAGGTGTTAGGCCAATGTAAGATAACACACAGGCTTCACATATAAGTCATTATTCCCTTCCTAAAATGCATCAGTCTTTTAAAATATAATTTCTCCTTAATGAGGAGTATAGATCTACAAGGTAGAATGAATGTCTTGCAGACATTTCCACATTTCCTTGATTTAGTTCTGCAACCCTGGCTTTGTTAATGGAGCAGCATAATCAGTGTTTGGGATAATTGTCCCCAGTTGGAACTGAAATATGGAAGATGACATGCAATAATACATAATTGCATGCATTATGCAATTATGTATTATTGCATGTCATCTTCCATATGCAACAATATGTAATTCTAATATATAGAAATTCCATATTGCCCACAAATTCCATATTTCCAACCCACCCATTGTAGATTAATATGAAATTTATTGTCAGCTTTTCTGCTGGGTCACACACCTTTCATGATTCTTTAACAGGAAAATTGAAGTCAGCAGATGTATTAATTAATAAAATTACATGTCTATAGATGGATATATTTTTAAAGAAATTATTAAGAACATGACATTTCCTAGGATTTTCAGAAGAAATACATGATTTTGTACAACAATGTGTGACATTCACTTACATTTCATCCATTAAAATATTCAGCACCTCCCTGCAGTAATTCTTATCTTAAAATTTCTGGTTTCCCTTTGTTTTGCAAATTATATAGTAACTGAGGCAGCAATTGGATAACATTATCAATAAATTGGGATCTGCCTGCAGGGGGCATGGACAAGGAGAAAAGGATTCTGTTGGGTTTCCTGAACTTGTGATGAGTTTCTGCTGGCAGCAAAGTCTTGAGCAGCTTCATGCACTGGTAGATTGATCTGAATCATACTGAAAAGTCAATGACAAGGCAGCAGCAAAGTTTGTTTCCAAGAATGATGCCTCTGTTTCAGGACACCAGGTGTGGTTTGTGCTGAATGTGCTTTATGTGCTCACATGACAGTAAACACCATAATTTTTGGTCATGAAAGCTATTCAGTGTCAAAAGAGATCAAGATGTTAATTCTGCTACTCTAATAAAAAGGTGGATGGACCCATCCAAAAGCTCTTGGCTTGACTTAAGTCTTTATCTTCATTTTTTCAGTCTTCCTGACTCATAAAGAAAGAGTATTGCTTAAGAGATTTGTGTAAGTCTTTTCTAACTTGGCTAGGAAGATGGCAAGCCAACCTCCTAGAAATTGTTGATACTGTTGGAGAAACCCAAAAAGCTGTGTGGAGACAGGAAAGTTTTGTAAGAATGAACAGCAATTACTTAACAGAATGAACAAAATTATTTTCCCTTTCAGTATCTAAAACCACCTCAAAGTTGGGCAAAGCTTTTGCTTTTCCTTTTCCTGTACAAGTTTGTACAGAGTAAGAGGAGAATGTATTAGTGATCCTGCTTCACAACAATGCCAGTAAGTGTTGTGTGAATTTTGTGGTTTTGTATGTGCATGAGAGGGTTCTAGTACCACCTTGAGCACATTTTAGAAAGTGAAACTCGGGGATCTGTGCTAGGGCAGTGCTTAGCTAAAAGATTTGCTGTGCAGTTTCTTATCCATGCGCAGAACCTGGCAGTGGTGTTAGCTACGTGCTTTTTGAGATGCCAAATAAGTGCAGCTAATTCAGATTGTGGGGCCTCCTGCTGACCCACCAGGAAGCAGGGTCCCATGGCTGGTGCTGGCTGAACCTAGGGAGGAGTGGAGGAGCAGCAGATGCAGCTCTGCCCTGAACAACATCCCATGGGAAGTCTAAATACAGACTAAGCGCTTGCAGCCTGAAGGCAAAAAATAATTTTATTTTGGTTTCTGAATCTGGTGATCCATGAATTCTAATGATGCATTTGTGACACTATTTAAGAGTTGTTCTAAGTTCATCAGTCAGCTCATGCTTGTATTGTTTTGCTTTCAAGTGCATATTGGTTGGGCCCTGGAGAGTGTCTTGAACAGAAGCAGAATTTCTCAGCATTTTGTAGTGTGTGTTAGTTGCCTGCTGCCCCTGATTTGATAGCCCAGCTCATGGCATGTGAAAGGAAGTGTTGTTCTCCTATGTTGATCTGATATGTCAGGGGCATGTATTTTTGTTATATTCTGGTTGTCTTCATAAGATGTTAAGAAGCTTTTTTCTTTTAATAATTTTATTTATTAATATAATAGCCTATGTTTGGTGAATTATACCACTAATAATTAGGCATGGATTTATGGAGGAACTCTTCTCTGGTACACATGGGCATCTTCCTAGAGTATTTTGTGGATAAAATATTGAAGGTGGTCACTCTTTGGACTTTATTTCTGATTTGAAAGAATTCTTAGCCAAGATATTTGCTGTTCTAGCCTTAATAAAGGGGGTTAGACAGTAATAAATTCAAACAAGTGGTCTTAGAGTAGCAGCTCTTCAAGAATGTGTTAGGCATCAAGGAGCTACTAAGATTTTCATAGCAAATTTGCAAATGTATTTCAAACTTAACTTGCATTCTTTTCTAGGGATCCTTCATTTATGAGATTGTGGATCCTCATAGATGAGAGACAGACAGATCTATATTTTGCATCTTTATCATATATGACTCTGTTATATATTGATTAATGTTGACATGATTTTTGGAGGCAGATGCTGGATTCATGCATCTGTGTCCAGACATTTCAACACTGATCTTAATTATGTAACTATCCATTTCTTACTAAATACAGTTCAAAGAAAATAAGAAAAATTAAGTTGAAAACAGGATTGTCTGTACTCTGTGGTGTAGTTTGCTTTTACTTGAGGTTATCATTTTATTTTTCAAACAAGCTTCTCCTCTTAAATATATTTTCATGCAAGTGACCGATCTATTCTATGAATCATAATTACATCTAGTCAAATATCCCTATTTTTATGACTGTCACATTTGTCTACCTACCTCCTATTCCAGCAATTTATCTCTTCAGCATTACATGAAGTAATGCAAAGTAAATTATGGCTATATTAAAGTTCTGGTATTCTGCAGAATTTAAATGTTCTTCTGTTGTGTTACTCACTTCTCCCCAAGATTCCTGCTTCTTGTAGACATGGAACTGTGAAATGGATTATGAATATATAGGCATCATAAAAGAGCAGAGATTATCATGAAATATTTCCTGTAACTTGACAGAATTTAAGGGTGAGGCAATGTTTTAACTCCCTGAAAATGAATTGAGTCATAGTAGCATCAGATGATTTCAGCATTGATGACTGATAGTCATATTTCTCAGCAAAAAGACTGAATCAGTGTAGAAACTCAGTAGTCTTCTGAACTTCCTAAAAGAAATGTTGAATTGCAGTGGAAGGCTAAGAAAGAGCTCCCAATTCTAATGAGTCAGGGCTCATTATATGATAATGAAAAAGCTCTCTGCATTTTTTAATTTCAGGTGCCTTTGATAGAGAATGTATATCTGCCCAGAATAAAAGCATTTCAAGGCATGTGTCCTCCAGTCCATGCATAATGCATTGGTACTGTGCATCAAACCAATGAATTTAACTTAAATTACAGTTGCTCTACTCTTAACATCTATATATTAGCATGGCTGGTTCTGCTCAGGAAGCATGGAATCATATGTCTAAATAAAGATATATCTTAAGTACAGTACAGAAATTTATTGTTGCATCTCAGGTATTAAGTGGATTTGTTTAACAATTGCGTTTTCTGATTTCAGTTACAATGATCATAATATTGTCTTAAATTCTGTGGTTCTAAGAAGTGGTACTTTTAAAACCTGCCTGTTCTCTAACAGCCCTCTCTCAACATTTAGTCTCAGCCTGTTTTCCTAAATACTTCCTTTTGTCGGTTGAATTACAGACAGAAGAGCCATGGATTCTCTGGAAAATGGGAATGTGTTGTATTCTTTATTAAGGCAACATTTGTTAAATTCACCAAAATAAAGCTTAATGAAGAGCATATAACACAAAATATTTCCACAGAGTACACTTGGTTGCAAAAACACTGCTAGAACTAATGAATCCTGAAAACTGCCAGATTTTGTAGCTGAGATGTCCAGTGAGGCATTAACAGTCTCTGTGTATTGCCATATTTTGTTTAGCAGTTAATCTATTTCTATACAGCTACACAAGTCATTTCAGATTTCAGCCAGAATTAATTTTTCCATTTATGGAGCAGGGGAAAACTGTTTCAAAGTATTTGAATAACTTTCTTTCACAATCCTTGGTCATTTGTCCATAAACCCATACATTTTTAGAGTTTTGAAGACTGGCTTTGTAGTTCTCAAACTTTCAAGGTCATGCTTTAATCCTCTTGAATACTTTGAGAGTTAGAGCAGTCTCACAAGTGGGCAAAAATGCAGAGCAGAAAACTGGGTTTGGAACAGTGGGAAACAAAATTATTTTAAAGTTTTGCTTATTTCTAATTTTCAGTCTCAATACAAAAAATGTTCATGTGGTTACACAGCTCCCACACTTGTGTACCTCTCTAAATACTAAAAACCATTTTTTGTAGATGAAGATGTATTTACACTTCAGTGTTTCATTTTTTCCACACTGCTTTGAACAGCTGTTTTCAGTGCTTATATTGGTTATCGGGTGCAGATGAAACCCATTTTAAAAGACTAATTAAACAGTTAAAGTACATCCATAGTATGGGTTTCCAGTGCTTTAGGAGCACAGAATCAGTGAAGTTAAGTTAGAGTGGTTTTCCCCACACTGGCAGAACCTTTTCAGTAGTGCAGCATGCTATTGATTTTTTGGTACTGCTTTTCTTTCTCTCTCTTTACAGAAATCTGAGTGTAAGAGAAAAATTAATTATTTCTTAGCAGTTCTGTTTAGTTGGGAGAATTCAAAGTGCCTGTTACACTGAAAAGTGCAGGAAATTCAGTCTATAATTTATAGTTATACATTTAGATAGAGTAAGAATTCTATGTAGAGTAATCCTTTATTTTAAAGCTATAGTAAAAATAATTTTGGTTGTTATAGAGTGAGCCAAATTCTGTCTGTGGAGATCTTGCTGGAATCTCCTAAGACAACTTCTGTCATGTTACAGTTAAGAGGGAATAGAGCTTGGTTTTAAATAATTAAGAAGGGTAGGAATCTCTGACATCTGGCTTTAAGAGTAAGGGAAAAATCTTATTTCTGAAGAGAAATTCCCCAAACTAAAATAAACATCTCGACCTTGTTTTAATTGAATAAGTTATGACTCTGAACTCAATGAATTTTAAGGAAAATGGCCTAAAGATTGTGAAGTTTGACAATGTGTCAAGAATTCACTGACTACTTGACTTTTTCTTATTAATTTCAGATTCAATATTTTTTTATTTTTCCAATAAGCAGCACTTCTGTACTAATTGCTTTCTCGTTTGCAGATGCAGAGCCACGGTATTTGGTTTCAGTACGACCAGCACGAGTTTCAAACAACAAGAAATCTTGTTCAGGTATTCTAATATTCCTGCATCACTTTCTTGAAAGATTTGAAAGAAAACTGCCCCTTGTGCTGGGTTTCTCTGAAAAGATGTTTCTACCTGTAGGCCTCTCACTGGATGCACAAATTCCATATGTGGAAAAGTAAAATGTAGGACAGTGCTTCTCAGCCACACACATGGTGCTCAAAACATGAAGATGTACCTAAAGATTTTTTTTTGTATAAAGTTCTTACAAATGAAAATTGAAATTTAGAATACTAATTTCTGAGGTTTAGGGACATTAAAGTTATTCTTCCCAAACTACAATAAGGATTTCTTTGTCCATAGACTTGTAAATGCTCATAGCTCCTCACTGGAAAATGGTAGTGTGTGTCTGTCTCTGAATTAATACTACTACTAAGTTTGCTGATGCAAGAAGTTACAGAAAGAGTGATATTTCCAACTGAATCTATGCACAGCTGAGTAGAAACCTGAATTTTATTCTCATCTATTTCAAAGCCTTTCTATATGGCTTTAATCATGTCATTAATATTGTTAGCTCTGAATTCCTTGCTTTAATATGGGGACTTAATTCAGGATGAGTGGACTGTTACAAAAAATAAACTCATGACCTATCCCTGGAGGCACTCAAGGTCAGGTTGGACAGATCAGGTCTGAGAAACCTGATCCAGTTGAAGATGTCCCTGCTCATGGCAGGGGACTTGGAAGGTTCTTAAAGGTCCCTTCCAACCCAAATTATTTGATGATCTTAGGTGATTTTTTTTTTTCCTAACTCCTGGTAATGCTCGGGATAAATATTTTCTTCCTCTTAGCCAGGTATAACACAATATGTCTGGAAATATTTTGCAAAGTGATTTACTTTTCATATACAACATACATATACAACTCCTGCAGATACAGACATTGCCTCAGATCTGCAGTTAAAGCAAAAGATTATTTTTAGGTTTTATTTTACTCTTAACAATGCTCTAAAAATATTTATTATGTGTAGATATATTTACAGTGTTACTGAGAACCCTGACAAGAAATTACTATTTTTATCACATCCCTGGAGACTTTCTAATGTTCTGGACTCTGTCATGTCTTCTGTGATACAGACCAAGATAGCCAGAGATTTTAATTTCATCTACCTTGTTCTTATACCAAGTATACTTCAACCACCGAGTGATCATTTTCAAAATCTAGTTTTAACTGGAATACAGGTTGAAAAAGTGACCAGGGACACTGCCACTTTTGTACATCATGGGATGGAAACAGTGACCATGAAAATTAGAGAACTTCAAGCTTAGAAGAGAAGTAAATCTTCATTTACTTAACTATCCATCTTGCAAGACCTCTCCTTTGCGTAGTGCAGGGGTGAGAAATTAACTGTGCATGTTTTCTGTAGGTCGGAACAAGGCACAGAAGCCGCTGCAGCTGGTGGTTGGCACTCTCACCCCAACCTCTGTGTTCCTCTCCTGGGGCATCCTGGTCAACCCTCAGCTGGACTGGACGGCGACGAGCAGCTGTGCTGGTGACAGGTAACCTGATGGGTTCCTGCTGCCAGGAGCTCGCCCAGGGCAGCTCCTGCTGGGACTGGCCCCAGTTTTACAGGAAAAGTTCAGGTGCTGCAAGCAGCAGTTCTGAATGTGAAGTTGGTTTTTGTGTTTGCTCACGCTGGTGCTTTGCAAATCTTGACTTGACAGCAAGTTTGGGAAGCTCAGCCTAGAGGCTGAATTACAAATCTTGCTGTTTCACACTGGATCCTTTGTTCTTAAATGAATGGCCTTGACTCTACCTTCATTTATATCTAAAGCAATTGAAACTTTGTTAAATCACAGGACATATTTTGCTTTTCAAGTGTAAAAGAAGTCTGTTGCTGCGGTGAGGTGGGGGAATGGTGCCTTGTTTTAACACCGTTTGATTTTTGTTTCCTTTATTTTGTTTTATCACCAAAAACTGATACAGTACAGCTTTCATTAATTTTCTGTTTTAAGTAAAAAAGGATCTCTTCTCTGTCAATATTTTTGGTATTTACTGGGTGGCATGAAACTCAGGAAGGCTTGCCAAGTAGCAAGTGAAAGTAGAAGGTGAAATTTTGAAGCATTCTTGAAGTGACTGTTTTCTCTCATCTGCCCCTTAGCACTTGAATTTAAAATAAAACAAAAATATCTAAATCAAAAAAGTGAAATGATTAGTATTATGCAACTGATGAAAACTACATAACACCAGAAAGAACCACTGGTGGAACCTTTCACAGCATCCTCAGCTTTCTGACACCAGGGGAAGACAGCTGATGAGGGAAGATGGCAAAGTAATAAAATCTGGCTGCACAGCCATGTTCAGTTCCTCTTTTCATTATTTCCAAAAGAGTAAGAGGCTTGTTTCCACTCTGCCTAGCTGTGTTCAAACAAGTATTACTGGACAGATCTGTCAAATAAACGTACTGGAGCTTCATTTACTGTCCATCCAGGTCTAAAAAAGAGAGAATACTCCAGATTTTTCTGTCTTTGTGTTTGCTTTGATTAGAACATCTCTGTAGCTGGGGGTCAAAAAAGGTGGACTTTGATTTTCAATTCTTCAGGAAGAAAAGTCAGGGGATGGAGCATAAAACATTATTTTCCATGTTAGATTAAAGCAGGGTTTATAGATACAGTGAAATATAATATTCTATTGAGTGGATTGTATAGAAAAAACAAACACACAGATACATGCAAAAATAGGAATTTAAAACTTGAAGGTATGTCTTTAAATTAAATACTATGACAAATTCACATTGGCATTGTTTTAATTGGTTTGCTTGTGGTTTAAATGTCCTGATGTCATATTTGCAAGTAGCACAGATTTTGTTTTATTTTGTTTTTATCTGATACTAAAAATAAAAAGCAGGAAAAATGGTAAGGGAAAACCAGGGAAGAGTCCATACTTAGACTTTATGTTGTGTAGTACATAGTAGTAGAGTTTTTAAAGCCCTAAATTCAGGAAGATATGTGCCTATCTTCTCCTGTGCTCAGTTAAAAACTTCTATCATTATGCAGCTGCCAACTAAGTCATACTTTGTATTGCAAGTGTTTTACAATATGTATTTTAAACATAGCAGAATTTCTTAAAGGAAAACATAAGCACCAAATACACGCCTCGAGTTTCAAATGGTTTTGAGTTGCTGCTGTAGAGGCACATGCTAAAAGTTTGTTTAAACTGAAATGATTTGTTGCTGTTCAGTCTCTCCTTCTTCAGAGCCTCTCACTCTTCATTTCAGTCATTCTACTGAAAGTTTTAAGTAAAAGAAGTGAGTTTTAATGATTATGTAAAAGTCAAAACTAAATTAGAAAGTTAGAAAGTGCTTTGAAAACTTAACTGGTAAACATCACTGGTGTCATTCTTTCCATTTTTTATACATGCCAGTATCTGTTAATTTAAAGTAAACTTAGCAATAAAAAGGGGAACAATATAATCAACTTCATGGGTCAATTTGTGCAATGCTCAGTGTCTGAGCAATCATAGTTCAAACCATTTCTTTTATTGCTTTCTAACATTAAATGGAAGCTGCACTTCATTAGAAGTCTAACTATAAATAAATAAATACCTGGTATGCTGATAGTTTGTTTTTAAAAAAATTCTGATTGCATTTCTATGAACAAAAAAGAAATCAGCTTTATAATCTTTTGTCTTGTGCAACACGAAATCACAGAGCTGGAATGTTCTTATATCTCCAGGGCTTAATTGTTTGTTTAGTGTTACGTGTGACTGAAACAGTTGTGACTATATTGTTTGGAGTTTTGGTTGGGACCTGGTTCCAAATAAATCCATTGTATTTATACAAACTGACCTACTCTTGAAATCTCACAAAACCGTCTGCCTTATAAAATTTCCAGTGTTTAATTGTTTGTGTCTGAATATTTGACTGTGCAAGCACGTTCTGGGAATCTGTCTGAAATGAGATTTGGTTAAAAAATGGAAAAATGACACTGGAATTCTTGGCAAAACAGTATCATGAACACTGATAGATGTCTTGCCTATCCATCCTAGAATTCTACTTCTTTTAACAGTGAATAAGATTTGCTTCATCTCAAAAGCAAAAACCCTCTGTGCGGTTTCTTTAAAATTATAATTTTATTTTGATTTCTAGTGCAATGAAACGGCTGTCTGAGCACTGCCTTGCATTGTAGAGTTTTGAAAAACAAACTATGTAAGCTGAACACAGAAGAGAAACAACTTTCTGTGTCAGGCTGAGAGCCTTGTACATTGACTTTGCAGATACAGTCATCACTACAGTGGCTGGCCTGTGAGAGATCTTGTGCTCTTGTGGCTTCCTCTAAATTATCAGCTTGGTTTTATTTCATTTCTGCCATCACATTTTATGTATGTCTTATGTGGAGGCAAGCAAAGTAAAAATATCATCAAAGACACAGCATTCCAAGAATATAGACACTAAATGATTTTGCACAAATGCATATGGAGAGAGGCTTTCTTGATGAATGTAGGCTCTTATTGCTCTGCTGTGATGGATTTTATTTTTTTTTTTTTCTCATTATTATAGCAATTAATTCTGGGTGCAACAAAACCCCTCACCTGCCTATGACGCCTTTTGTTTTAAATTATTGGAGTTTTAGCTATCTGGTAAAAAGGGAGGAGGTAAAATTTTTCTACAGTTCCCAGGGTGGCCTGATTGGTGGTATCTTAAACAAGCACTGCCTGTTAGTGGGAGAGAGGGAGGTCCTAATTTTTATGGAGTTTGATAAAAGAGCTGTAATGTTTTATAGAGTGCTTGTTGGCAAAGGAACAGAGTAATCCCTGCAAACATTTGATTATGATTCGTCGTAAATATAAATACAAGAGTATTCAATAAACATTTTTCTGATAAAATGGCCCCCACCAAAATACATAACAAATCAATTAATCACAATGAAATGTTAAATTAAGTTAAATATTGTTAGGTCTTTATACCTGCTGAGAATCTAGATTAAAATAATTTCTCAGCAGGTGTAGCTGGGTGTGCCACCTCCTTGCTGAGACCTCAAACCACATTCACAGGTGGGAAGACATTGCTAGGAGCATTGCACAGGGCAGTCGCTGTTGGAGCCCATGGTGGGCAGTCAGGTGGGAAATGTTTTACTGAGAAACATGCAGTGCAGCTTGCCCCTCCATGTGACATGGCAGCACTGTAGTTCATCTGCCTGGTGCTGTTGGAGGATCTGTGAGGATGTTTTGCTGCACGTGTCCAGCCCAGCCAGCTGTGCATGTGTGTCCGTGCCAGAGGGGAGTGATGGATGCCAGTGGTGACTGGACCTTGCTGCTTACTCATGGCTGCAATTAGACGTGCTGACTCTTTGATATGGTATTTTTGATGAAAGAAAGGCTTGAAAAGGAGAGAAATTAAAATTGCAACATTCAATCAGTACAGTGTTCTCAGGCAGACACCGAAATTGCATTTTATTTGGCAGTTTGTTGGTCTGGTTTAACAATGAATTGTTGTTCTTTGATGACAAAACTTGGCATTTCTGAATTTTTACTCTGTAAACAAATGATTGCATTTCCCCAAAAGCACATGTAGATATTTAGATATTTTTAATAGTCAAATGATTGTGACCTGCAAATTCTTAAATGGAACTTCATTTTTATGGCTTTTTATTAAAATGGTTGAGGAAATTCTGTCATCGCAGTCACTGTTTTTAATACTCACTATGGCAAGTTTCCACTGAAATAATTATACCCTTGGTGAAGTTTTTATAGGCTTGGAAATCTTGGAGTTGAAAGCACATTTCTTCTGTTCTGTTCTTCTGACATAGTTTGGCACAATTATGAAAATCTTCTTTTCATATTTTATAATACTCCTGAATTTAAATGAAAGATGGGGCCTTTTTAATTTTTTTTAAATTTTTTTGTGCATGTGTTCTTAGTATTTTAATTTATATTAGAGTGAAATACAACATGAAGGAATTTCCAGGTGTGGAGACAGCATTAAAAAGTAGAACACTTTGTCCACTAGAAGCAAGTGAGGACAGCCACTTAAAAGCCTATTCGTTATCAACAAGTTTTTAGTGCTTTTTCCTCCTCGTTTCTGATACAGCTGTTATTTTAGATTGTTCAATAACTGAACTGAAACAATATACTCTCTCTTTTCCATCACATGCAAACACTTTATTTCTATCCCATTGGATTAAAATAGGAGGAAAAGGCAGGGATGATGATGAAAACGAATGAAAATTCCTCTTTCAGGCAAGGGAAGAAGGTGACTGTTTCCACTTGAATTCACATCTGATGTCTGTCCATACTTATTACATATCCCTCACCAAAAGACTGTATGGGTTCCAGAAAGAGGCATTTGTGCTGAAGATTGAATGTTTATTAAGGTTACATCCTTTGCAAACAGTGACAGGGAGTTCAAAGGAGCTTTTCCTGTTGCTTAATGTCTCTGTGACTACATACAAATAGATTAAGAGGATACAGGAGAAGAATTTTTCCTTCTTTTGATATTGCCAATAATTTATTGTTTAAAATGTTCTTTGTCAGTTTAACTGACAATTAGATCTATTATTGGACGTTTGATTAGATCACAGCCCACAGAAGTAAGGAGGCAGATTATTACTTGGTAGTCCTGGAACTGAGAGAGGATAGTAACTACTTGTCTGTCTTTTTTTTTTCTTTTTTTNTTTTTACTTTTTTTTTCCTTTCCTTTTCAAGTTTTAAGTTAGACTATATCTTGTTCTGAACACAAATTAGTACAGTGAATTAAATTATGTGAGCCAACATAAATAGTGATCTTGTAGCCTGGATGAGCTGAATTGTAGCTCCTGGTTTACTAGGAGAATCTATATTTTTGGTGCCAAGAAAACAAATTTGACAGTTATGAGACAAAATATGTAAATAAAGTTAGCCATTATGTATGGAAATATTTTCCATGAGTGACACTTGTCTTAGGTTGTGTTTTAAAAGTGAAGTAGGAATTTCTGCCTACTTAGCAGTCACGTTTCATGTAAACTGTACTCTGAAAGCACTCTAAGTTCAGCAGAAGCAGCTTTATGAATTGACTGCATGGTTGGGTCCACTAAGTAATTTTAGTCTGGATTTCTGAAACTTTTTCAGTTGTTTAAGAACCTGATTTTTGATTGGTTTGGGTTTTTTAAGTTCTCTCCCTTTGTCTCTATATAACTGTCTATATAATGCCTGCAATAAATCTTGCAGCCTTGATTTGCAAGCATTAAGTTGTTCTATTTAAGTTTGGCAAAATACAATTGGACTGAATTCGTCCCTTTTCAGATGATGTTAATGTGAGATAGATATGGATGATGAATATGAATTATTTATGGTATGTGTAACACTTTTCAGTTATACTTGGATTAAAAAGTTGCCAAATCTCTCTGAGATTTGCTTTTCCCAGAAAAGAAACCTCCAGTCCATTCTGGTAGTGATTCAGCACGTATATTGGAAATGAGACCAGAGTCAGCAGGGGAGTTCTTGTGCTGAAGCTCTCACCATTTACACCTTTTTTTTGATTGGTTAACATTGCAGTCATGCTTTTTCAGGGTGGTGCTCCTTGACAGAATTGGGCAATTTCTGTAGAAATATTTCCTAATTTCACAGTCTGTTAGTATTCATCACATTGTAAATTTAAACTGCTGAAAGTAATGTCTCGGTTTATTTTTTTTTTTTTATTTGAAGTGGGGGCAATACATAATGGGATATCTGAATGAGGAATGTATTATGCAAACAATGGATCTTACTGGTCTTCCCTGGAGAATGTTTTTGGACTAATTTTGATGGGAACACCTTTCCCTGGATGGATATAGAAGATTTTGAGAAATCAGAAGAGGCCTCATGACTAGCAGACTCATGATTCAATTGACTGGTTCTGGCAAAAGTTGGAATCACAGGAGCTGCTTGGACAATGAGCTTACACTTTGTGGCTAGAACCCCACATACAGTGGGTGTTTGTGAATAAGGATGTCCTTCTGTTCTTTGTGCAATACTCCTAATGTCAGGGTCTATATGATGGGGTATGTCTATGTGGAATAAGTCTGGCTTTTCTGATATTTGGTGACCTTAAAGAGCCAGAAAGAATAAGAACAATAGAACAACATCATTACTATTTTTATTTTTATTTTTATTTTTATTTTTATTTTTATTTTTATTTTTATTGCTTTCTCACAAGAATTGTTACAGTGAATTCCTTTACCTAGATCTATTTTTTTTTTCCCAAGCAGGTTCTATACAGTTCGCTACAGAGAAAAAGGAAAAGACAAGAAATGGGTTTTTCAGCTCTGTCCAGCTACAGAGACAGTGATTGACAACCTGAAGCCAAACACACCTTATGAATTTGGAGTTAAAGACAATGCAGAGGACAGTATTTGGAGCAAGACTTTGAATCATAAGACAGTTCTCTCTAGTAAGTATTTGACAACAGTTAATAAAATAGCTGCTGATTTTGACAGTATTTTTTCCTCTATTATGGCATTAATTAGAGTAGGCTATTGATCAAATTTTTATTGTTTAAATGTCATCCATTATGCCCCTAAAAATTCTTTTTTGAATTGCTGAAACTAGAAATATTTTGGTTTTGAAAAACTGCCACCTAGTCTGCTGAAAGGTGTTCTCTTATCATTGCAAATAGAGGATCTGCTGCAGGTTGATAGAATTCTAATGATGTTTAGTACAGATGCACATCAAGTGTTGAGTATGAATATTTATACTTCTGACTGGATTCTAAGCTTTTTCTTTAGGCCATGAATAATAAGATGATCAAGTAATGAGCTAAACCATCATCCAACTAATCTGTTGAATTTCTTCCATGAGCTAGTATGAGTGATGGAAATTATTAGCATGTTTGAATCTTCTTTTGCACCTCCATTTCCATTGAAGCTGGTCTCCAAGCTGGACAGGGCCTGTCCTGCCTCAATGGGCCCTTTATGGCTCCACTCAAAACTTGAATAGGAAGCTAATTTTCAATCAAAGTATTCTATGGATCATGTCTGAAGCATGCAGTGTCGTGTATTCTTTTGTTTTTGTTTTCATGGAGGCAGTGTATAACACCTCTGGCTGGCTGCCATTTATATTTTAAGGTTCTCTGAAATCCCAGGACAAGGCAGGAAACATGATGTCAAGTTAACCCTTGTAAAAGCATGTACTGCTGAAAGAATCACTCATACCAGCAGAGGAAACAGGCATCAGTAGAGTTTTCCTCCTTGTAATGAGAAGACTTAACAGAGATTATCCAATTTTATTTATTTTCCTCGAGTATTTGCATAAAGGTATTTTGAAACATGATGTTGCTCGGAAGATGCTGGAAACTCCTATGCTTAGTTAGCATTTTTAGCTTGACTCAAAATATAAAGAATGGGAATTCTCATTAGAGAGCCTTATTCATATGAGATTTCCTGCAGAAATTTAATTTGGACTTCAGTTTTGACTTGTGGGTGAGCTGCAGAGCTGAATACACTTGAGGATAAGGGAGGGGAGCAGTGTGGTGGCTTCTAACACCTTCATACTCCCTCATAAAGAGCTTTGCTGGCCTTCATGATAAAGTACCAAGCTGTAAGTTTGGGCACCTGCCCAGTGGCCATAGAGATGTTTCAGCAGCCCAGAGCAAGGCACTGCTGGGCCATGGCTGAAAGAGGACAGTGGTGGTGGCCTTTTCCTACGCCTGACTCACAAAAAGCTCTGTTTCTCAGCCTTACAGTTGTCTTACCAAGTGGTTTTTTCTGGTTTTTTTCTACATTTGAAACATAAAGTTATCTGTAGAGCAAGTGCTGAAATATATTTCAGCACTCAGAATTAGAGGGAGTGATGAGTGCAAAATGTTTATAGTTTATTACTTGTTCAAGTCTGATGAAAGCATCACCAGATTTTATCTTTCTATGTAATGTATTTCTAACTGGTGTTTCTTACAGACACTTTACATTTTTAATAAGTCAGGAGAATCATGCATTGACTTTAGTTGGAGGATTATTTCTTGTTCATATTCTATTTACATAAGATTTCTTTTGTCTGCAATGTAGACTTGTGTATTCAGTGATTCTTCTGCAGCAGCTAAATCCAAGGAATTTGTGATTCCTCTGCATGTCTTCATTCTGGTCTACTGACAAAGAACCTCATAATGGGAAAATTGTCAGCACTCTTGAATTCAAGCCTTTCATATTTTTAGTGTATTGCAGGTACATAGAGGAAATGTGGGCAGTGAAGAGACAGCATGTAATTATAATAAATGTATAACCAGGTGCCTGTAAAGGTTAACAACCAACACAGACACCTCTGTGCTAATTGCCTGATTTTCTCATATAGGAGAAGCATCTCAACCTAAACCAAACTCCTTCACTGTAAATGTTCTTTCTTCCACTGAAGAATGCATCAATCACGAGAACCTGGAAGTTCTTTTGCACGCTCCTGGATTTGTTGATTCTACAGGCTGAATTTTTGTTATGTTGGGAGGGGTTGGGATGAGAATCTGCTTTTAATTCATTATTTGAGAACACATGAAAGGCATGGCAAAAGTTCAGCATTTCTTTAACTGATTTTTTTCAGAAGAGATGAGTGTAGCTTATTTCATAGCATCTTACCATGATTTTCTCATGAAGTCATTGTGAAACTTCTGTCCCTTATCCCTTGAATTTAAGCCAATAGTAAGTCCTGTTCTTTAGAAGTACCAAGCACTTTGAAAGACTTTTTTCCAACTTAAATGAATTTCAATTGATATTTCTTTAGAGTTAATTTTTTTTTTCTACTTCTCATCTGTTTTGGATGGAATTTGAAAAATAATATGATAACATGTAGCTTGACATGTAGTCAAACATGTAGTTTGCATATCCATTAATAGAAAGGCAGCAGAAAAGTGTAAAGGTGGATGTTACAGAGAAAGTTTGAAGCAGCATGCTAGAGTAGAGTAGGTGCTAACAGGAATTCTTGGCTTGCTCAACAGCTGCATCACAAGAAACTTCTAATACTTAGAAACTAACAGGAAAACCTAAGAGAAAAAGATTCAGAGTTTAAATCTGAGGGTTTGTTGATACACTGAGGTAAACAAAACAAGAAGAATATATTTAATTTCCTTGCTGTTAAAATGTCAAGAGAAGGCCTTGCAGATGTATTAATGGATCTGGAGACACAGGACAAAAATATTTTTCCACAATTTGTTTTTATACAGGCTATCCAACCTGACAAATAAAAGGTGAATAAACTTGGTTTGCTTTGCTTTGGGCAAAACAAAAATTTAATTCTGTGTATTTATTTATCTTTCTGTCAAAACAGGTAAAAAAGTAAATGGACAACTCCAGAATATGTATAAGTTGGTACCCAATTCCCAAACACAGGTATGCAAAACAGTCTCTTTTTTTACCTGATTCATGTTTCATATGATCAAATTTTTAATTTTCTATTAGTCTTCAGTGAGAAAGAAATTATCAAGGCCACAAACTTCCAATATAGAAAACAATCTGTTAAATGCGCTGTATGGAAAATGTTTAAATGTGCTGATGGACAAAATAATTGAGAACTGTAACTGAGATGATTGCATACACTTATTCCAGCCTATCAAAGATAAATCTGACGGTTTCCATCTGCAGATCCAAAATGTAAAAGTTGCTTATTCCTTTGTAATAGGTTTGTTAAACTGTGGTGTTTGTTGTGATCAGGTAGCTTCAGGATAACTTGGTGACGTGATTTTATAATAATAAAATTATAAGTAATAATTACTTCTATAAGCAATTTTGTATCTATTCAGGTCTTCTAAATTAGTCATCGCACTGAATTCACTGATAGCTCCCATATGTGAGGCAAGTGTTTGCAGAACCAGAGGAAGCTGGAAAGGGCATCTTAACTAAGTTTGCTAGGCTGTCCTTTAAATCCTTTTATGTGGCATGGTAGAATTTTTAGCATTCATTAAAAAATTAATTTTTATAAATAAAGATTTTTCCCCTCATCTGTCTTTTTCTGTAAATGTTCTAAAGCAAGCGTGGATGGATTTTATTTGTTTATGGATTCATGTACCCAGATATTTGTTTCTTCCAAGAGTTGAAGCAGAAATGAAGGCTCTCTAGATCAAAGCAGCTAGTAAGTTTTAATAAAAAACCCGTTTTTTTAGTGAAAAATAGACATTTTAGTCATAACTGCTGTGCATTACCAGCTCTACTATGAGCTTAAATTGGTTTCTTTGTATTTTCTTTCCTTGTTTTTTCATCTAAGTGCAAGTTTCAGCATCTAATCTTCTGGATGATTTTTTTGTTCTGCTTCTTCTTAGGTTGCTATCCTTGAGGCAGACTATGGGATAACTTGGCATGAAAAGTTGTACAAATCCCTCTTAATTTAGAGATTTGTTTTTAATTTAGAGGGTTAATTAATGAGTGCTAATTATTACAAAATTAATTACCCATTCTTCACAATTCTGTCTGAAATTTTCCAAATGTTTTCACGGTAGGATATGGTAATGTATGTTTTATCATTGCTTGTTTTTCATATTTCCGAATATTATACATGGTCTGTAATTCTCAGACCTGGAATTCCTTCAGGAATCAAACCATAATCTATTAAATACATTTTTTCTAGGAATAATTAGGTATGCACAGATTCATAGAATCAATGAGGTTGGAAAAATCCTAAATTTCCTCAAGTCCAACTGCTAACCCAGCACCACCACCACGTTTACCATTAAACCATGTCCTCAAGTGCTGTATCCATTTTTGTACATGTATGTTTTAACACTTCCAGGCATGATGACTCCACCATTTCCCTGGGCTGACATTTCCAATGCTTGACACCCCTCTCTGTGAAAATGAATTTTCCTAATGTCTGATATAAGCCTCCCCAGTGCAACTTGAGGCTATGTCCATTCATTTAGGGCAGTAATGCTTCAATAATTGCACTACATACAGAGTTAGATCAGTGGAATGCTTACATTATTAGAAATACACTTATGTCTCGAGTTCACGAGAAAAGGTTTTCTTTGTGAGTAGGATAAATCCAGTTGGTTGGATATTCAGGAGGTGCTCATCTCATGATGCTGATGAAGTCAGCTTTACTGTTTTTCCCTTGGTGCCACGGGTGTTTTTGAAGCTGCACAGCCCAGGACCAGGTAATTCATCCTGGGCTATGGAGTGCACGCTGAGCTCCTTTGCTCCTCTCAGCAAACCCTGTGTGCCAGAGCCCTGAGTGCTCCGCTGCTTCTGTGCAAGCAGGGATCCTGTTTATGCAGGAGAAGCCCTGAGAAAGTGAGCTCAAACAGTTCTCCAAATATTTGCACAGCTCAAGTACAAAAGGAGGACTAGAGGTGAGGTCTGCTCTTTTTTGTGATCTTCGCAGGGCTCGGCTCCAGAGCAGTACTGCTTTATCACCCGCCACAGAAATAGCATGAAAACATACCCTAGATTATTCTGAAAATTCTCTGATCGTCCTTGCTTTACTGGCGCAAAAAGCCAGAATGCAGATGGTTTAGGTTGTTCCTTCAGTTTGCACAGCACGAGGTGGGGTATGTGTCAGTGGTGTGAGCAGATCATGGATGCAAAGCCAAAATGAGTGTTATTTGGGCCAAGTTTGTTTGTGCTTTATTTTGCTCCAAAGACACAACTGACTCATATCAGCATGGTCCTAACTCTTCTCTGTAAGGACATTTTTAAAGGCTGTTTATTAGAACAGCGTTACCAGCCCATCCAGTCATTCTGCCCTTTCAACATCAGTCACTTATCATCTTGTGTTGCTTTTGGCAGTTTCATCCTTTAAGTTTGTCTGAGCTCCCGGGCTGTGTGAGCAGCAGCTAACGAGAGAGTGGAAGAAAAGGAGTGCTCTAGAAATGCTCTTTCCTCTTCCTTCATAAACAAGGGGTAGTGGTAGGGCAGAGAGAATGCAGTAGGAATTGATTTCCTCTTCGTTCTGGTTAAGTTCCTCTAGTTTGTTGTTGGCCTGGAAGGTGAGGCTCTCCCCAGCTTTCCAGCCAAAAAGGACTCTTAGCTTCTACCCTTTGTTAAACTCTAGAAGGAAACATTCCTGCTCTTCCAAACCTTATTCAGTCCGGACTGACCCTGGTCCTTCCTGGAGGAGTCTCTTCTGTGCATGCCAGTTAGTTTTGGCTTTTTGAAGTATCAGAATACAGCACAGAAAGAAAGAACAAGTCTCTTAAAGTAATGTTACCCTGTGCTGTTTCACAGAACGTTTGAGATTTGCTGTCCTGTAAGAATGTGCTGTGTGTGTATGGTGAGAAGTGAGATGCCTGACGTGGTATAATTTACATCTCTCATTTTCCTCTGAAAATCAGGAATATATTATTTGCCATCTTCTTTCATGATGGCAGCAGTTGTTTAAATAACTAATGTTCCTAATACCTGTATGCTTTATATTGCCTGTCTGAAAAATATGGTTGATAGTGCCATTCCTACAGATGATGGGATGGCATTTCCAAAATAGTTTGTAATAGTAAATATTACTAGGGATATCTAAATTAGTCACTTTGTGGAAACGGAGAAGGATTTGATGACATGGGTAGATTTCAAGTGCAGTGGTTACAGATTTGTGCAGGTCAGCAGTCTAATTATAGCATCTGGGGAAAATGGATTTCATGTCAATTATTCATTCCTGAGTGATAAACTACATTTTTAATGTATTAAAATGTATTTTGAACTTTTATATTGCTATCATTGTAGCCATCCATTATTACTCAACAAAGGAAGAATGCTCTTGTCAATACAAGAGCTGTTTACTAGTAAAAAGGCTGATAGTAATTATGATTACAAGTTCTACAGCAGAGGTCACACAAGTGCTCACTACAGCTGCAGAGCTGTTTATTGGAATGTAAGGCTTCTGAGGAGAAATGCAATAAAATGAACACCTTCTTCTAACAAATGCATTATCCCATTTGTTAGTCACATGAATAGGAGAGCTACTTCAAAAGCTCATCATCTGCAACACAATTTTTTCACTAGAAGACAAAGTGGAAATGTAAAAAAAGGGAAAATAAAGGAGGAAGATTATTTCTATCCTCATATAATGACAGTGATTGAAATCTCCACTTAAGCCCATGTTCACACCACTGCAAAGCTGGTATTAGGCAGCTGACAGTAATGGCTTTCTCAGTGAAGTGTCTCCATCGATTTCCCTGAGGAAAGGCCCATCTTACTTGTGGAGATTGGCCCTCTCCCAGCTTCCTAAACTTTCGTATGTGTTTAATGCGTACCCAACCATTGTTTCTTAGGCTTTTCAGAAGTATTTAGAATAGAACAAAGATAGCTATCCTTAGGTAAATGATTAGTATTTGTTCATCAAATGCTGATTTTATGCAAGTATTCTTTTACATGAAGTAGGCCATATGTCATAAAATGCAAAATTAACATTATCTGATTCTGGTTTGAGCAGAATGCATTTAGCATAGAAGGTGATTGTTGGAGTTATTTTCTTTTTTGTAACTCAAAAATAACTAAAAAAAATCCCCTTTTAATGTATTTAGCATTTTTATGTTGTTAGCATTACGGTTTACCTTCTCTCATCACTTGAGTGTATTATTAAGCTTTCAGAATTTGTTCATAGTTCTTATTTTTGTCAGCTGTTTTCTTTTAATAACTGTGGGGTCCATTCATGTATTCCTTTTTATAATGGTATCAATATAATTGGATATTCACATTTAGGCAAGATGTAATCTGGGCCAAAGAGTAATGAACAGCATAAAAGTCCAAGTATTTAGCATGAAAATATAAGAATCATGTGGGTGGCTGGCCGCTTGTCCTTTGGAAACAATTCCACTAAATAAAATTTTTCTGAGCTGATCTACTTTAATCAGGCTATGCACCCAAGAGTGCTGATGGTTTACAAATGTGCACCTGGTTCTGGAATAGTCTATGTTCTAAATATAGTATTGCTGAGAATATGTTTGTGTCCTGTGACCAAATTGCAATTGCATGTTTCACATGTTTTGCTGTAGTTAAATTTCAGCTTTTCTTCAGCATTCTGGACTACTCCCCAGTGAGTGCTCCAGAGATCCTTAAGAGAATAAAGAATTGGGGTTTCCTAATATGTCAAATAATATGTTTTTATTAAGCAAAACATCTCAAGCTGCTAGAAGGAGATCAAAATGCAATAGTAACACATTAGCCCGTGGGAACTGAAGCAATAGCACAGCCATCAGGGACCAGGGCCACATCCAGTGTTAACTTGGGACAGGCCTGGTATTGGATTATTTTTATTACTCAGTTCAATTACTATTATGGCAGTTCTCCCAGGGCTCTACTTTTATCTTTTTTTTTCTCTTTTTTCAGATTATACTGAGTGATAATAAGAAGTTGGTCCCTGTCACAATAATCAAACAAAGTAAGTTTGTGCATTTTTAAAAAATGTATTCTTAAACTCTGCAAGACTAACTTGAGATTAAAATGAGTGTCAGGGCAATGGGATTATTATAGGGTCCTGCAGCTGCCCCTGTAATAGCATAAGCACAGAATGTCAGTTTAACCAAAGTTAGTATGCCAGGGGAAAGAGATGCACAATTAGGAGATGATGTAGAGGAAATGCAGCTTGCTGTCTTTTAAACTGAATGTAAATACAGAAATAATTAGCATGGTGACCTTATCTGCAAATACTGAGGAGAGGATTTTAGAGGTTTGTTTCAGTTGTGGTTTTGTTTCTTGTTTCATTTTTTTTGTTTTATTTCTTTTAATTAGCTTCTAATATCCCTGTGTTGTCTCCACAGTTATTCAAAATCGGACACAGTCAAAAGCACCAGATAGTTCTTCTCTCCCAGGAGCAATATTAGGTGACTAGAAGATATTTTTATTATTTCTCTTAACCCCTGGTTGAAACTTAGAATTGTGCAAATGCTTTTCATTTTCTTGATCTTAATTGTTTTTCCTTGCATATCAAAGGGTATTTTGGAGCTGGTGCAGACAATATTTATTACATTATTATGTTGGTACAGACGGTTCAAGAATTTTGTAGCTTAAGTGAAAGAGAATAATTTTATTGTCGTATGTAAAAGCACTGTCACTGTTTAAGCCAATGAGTTCTTTCATACTTCAAATGAAGTTTTATGGCAAAGATCCTGTTGAGATGAGAGTTTGATCTTATTGGGCTTTTAAGATAGCACAGTAACATCACATCTATAGTCACAAACCTGATATATTAAACTGCAGAGATCTTGAAATTAGAATTTGATGTTATATCTTGGGGCTTTACTGTTTCCCTCCAAGCCATTCAGTTTCATGCTTTATGTTCTTATTTCACCTATAAGAATATGCAACATTGGCTTATAACATAAAACCAGGGGCAAGTCTGTCGTGTAGTGAGGTGAGCTACTGGTCTGCCTGAAATTTCCATGGAAGGCTCACTGCACCATGTGCCTTGTGACAATTTATTCCTGGATTTATTGTTTACTCATTTATATATTTTCTGTGATGGTGTAGCTTTGGTTTAAGTTCTCTTTGTGTGAGTTTCTTGGGCCACCAGGCAGAGCCTGTGCAGTGCCCGTGGTGCTCAGAGTTCCAGAGCTGTGCTCCAGGCTCCGATGGCTTCCACCCCTGGTAAATCATGGGATGGTGGGGGCAGGAGTGGTACGAAGGGGAAACGGCAGCACATGGGAGAGGTAACTACAGGATAGAGCAAATTCATTTCCCAGCTATTCAGACCGAGCTCCCGGTGGTTCAGGACTCGTGACTCGTGTATCTCAGGGAGTAGAATTTGCTTTCATGCCTTCTGCAATTAATGGCACTCATCTTTCTCTGCAGTGCACCTTATTGTTCCAGGTCTCAATGAGAGTCAGCAGAAACTTCCTCCTCTCCTGACAATAGATGACATACCTCAAGCATCCAGGAAAAAACTGGGTAAGCAGAAATGCTGAACAAATGAGAAATGCTGAAAACCATTTTGCACTGTGAAAATAACCATTCATAAGTCATTAAATCCTTGCTGTTAATTTTATTTTAAAAGTATCTTTAATGAACAAAACAAAACCAAAAGCATATGTGTTCAGCATAGCTTGTTGTGACTGTGCAGTGGAAGTTCATTGGGTCCTAAAGTACTCAGCTATCCACATTTATCCATGTCAGCTTGCTCAGTCAAACTGAAGTGGGACAGAAATAAATCTGTGGTAAAACAGAGCAGAAATATCTTTTTAATTGCTCTCTAATGTCTGTTCTTTTAGCTAAGAATGAAACTGGAGTATGGCCTGCTGAATCCAAAACACCAGAAGTTCAAGAAATCTCCCCACAGTCCCTTCCAGGTAATGAAAATTCTGTTTTTAGAAACTCGGTGGAAATCTTTGCCAAATACATAAACTAAAATGAAACCCATCTTTGTGCTCTACAGTTAAAATAGTAGTTGGAAAACAGGAGGATAGTGGCTGAATTAGCAAGGAGAGGTAATGTGGATAAAAATCTGAATCTAATTTTGGATGAAAGTTTCAGGTGATATAATTATTAGGTTTATAAAACTACTTAAAATTAGATGTGCTTATTTTATTCCTTAAGTATATTTAAAAATGCTATGCTTAAATTCATACCACCTTAGTCTTAAAAAAAAAAAAAAACAGAATAAATAACCCTCCCTAAAAAATACATAAGGACTTAAAAAGGTGCAAAGAAATGCAGCAATCTCATGTAATCAGTGACAACAATCTTTCAGACTAACTGATCCATTTTTTTTTCTTTTTCTTCTGTGAAAAGGTTAGAACTTTACTTCCTACTCAATAGATAAATATATTTTCCAATTCTACTTTAAACCATTTCTTCCTTCCTGTAACAGAAGTACAGTGTGAGTTTCTGGCCTAAACTTTGCAGTTCGTGACTTTTATTTTCTTTTGTTAATATAAAACTGCAGCAAAATACATCCAAAACATCCTATAGATTTCCCATCTGAAAACAAAAGTAAATATTAATCATGATGGTTTTGAGCTGCTGTAGAAATCATTCTAATCATGTGATGTGAAATGGTGATAAGAAAAGCATCAGGCTTTGGGCAGTGGATCAAGAAAAGTTCGGGGGGATTTTAAATTACATTAAGCTTCTTTCTTCTAGCTCAGGCTGAGAAAACACATGGACCTGAAGATTTTAAATCGACGCCTAAACCCAAATTGGTGCAAACTCAAAATATACCGGGTAACTAATTTTCTGCTTTTTACATTCTTTCTGTATTAAACACTTTTTCAGCTTCAGCAGAATTTTTTCTACTCCTTGCTGTAGAAAAGCTTTTCTACTACTTTTCTACTACTCGCTTTCTACTCTTTGTGTTGGCTCCAAAGGACGTCCTGATTAAAATATTCTGGTTTCTTATGTGGTTCCAGTGACTAATACTGGAATGAATTGTAATGCAGGATGAACCAAGCTCTGGATGAGCTGTGGCTTTCACAGATTTCACTGCGGGATTCAATTTGACTTTTGAAATTAATGCTTTCTGTCTATGTGATCTGCATGTTTGACATAACATAAAATTTCCATCTGTAAAATTGACCTCAGTGATAGAATTTAAATAATTACCTCCTTGATTTTCTTCTGATTACAGGTTCATTTAGGTAACACCAACAGTAATGAGTAAGAACAATTTTATATAGCATGTGGTGGGAAATAATTTTATTTGCCTTGAAGGAAAGAGGAGCTCTACTGAATTTTTTTTCATTTTTATCTCAATGTTGTATAGTTAGTTTTGTGATTTGGTGTAACACCTGTTTAGTTCTGGTATTTTGAATTCTCTAATATTGATTTTAGTGCTTGTACTTTCTTCCCTAAGCCACGCAAAATTACGAGGACAAATCTAAACTTGAGGTTGTTTTTAATTCTTTTTTTTTTTAAAAACTTTGCTTAGGTTCTTCTAAAGCACAGCTAGCCTGCATTCAGGAGGATTTATGATAAAGGGAAGGACCAGGAATGTTTGCAGGACTGAAATGCAGATCTTGCCAGAAAGAGTACTGCTAATGCTTCTCAATAAATGCATTTTACACAGTCCTATTGATTCACATTAATGTCTTACTTGCACTTTTTTCTTATTTTCATTTAAATTTTGACAGCAGATTGCCAGAATTTACTGAAGTGAAACCAGCAGTCAATCTAATTTCATTTTAACTTCTAATTGTCTTTTTTTAACCATACTCAACTCTCCTTGGTTTTGCTATGTTTCAAAGATTAAAATATGGAAACTAATCAAGAAGGATCATTGATAAATTTTAAACTAGGTGCTTGCAGTTACTGACAGATGTTCATTGTCAAATTCCCATGATTGATAGATCTTTGTTTAACAATTAGGGGAAAAGGGCATCCTTCATATTCCGCATACCTTTTAAAGTGACAATTCATGTGGGTCTTTCTCTAGGTTGGAACTCCTTTATTTTTTATTAATTATAATTTTTTTCAGGAGTGAGTGGTCCAGATACCAAATATAAATCCAAGTTGTGCCTTGTATTATTCTTAATCAAGAGATGTTTTGGTTATTTTTCTTACCATAGCTTCTAACGAAATTCAGCTACTTCCTTCTGGATCCAGAATTCCTGATGCTCCAAAAAGTCCATTGACAGAACTTGGTAATTACTTTCTTTGTAAATATGAGTAAACTTCACTGAAAAGCTATCTTCACAAAGCTTGCTCCAATAGGAGAAGTAATGTAATTAAAACTGTAACTCACAAACTTCTTACATCGCATCCTTTCTGTGGTGTTTTGTGCATTACATAAATATTACATAAATATTCATTGTTCATTACATAAATGGACCCTCAGCTCAGTGCTTTGATGCTTGTGTTGGTGGTGAGGGGGGATATTTCAGCAAGTTATGAGCATCTGGAGTCCTGTGCTGGGAAGAATGATGTTTGTGTGGATGCTTTCTTCCTCCTCCCTTCTTTCTTGCTTCCTTCTGCTGGAGACATCTCAGATGTGAGCCCACCACATGGGGGGCCTTTTTTGTATGGTAGATATTATTTCTGGGTCCTTGTTGGTACCCACAACTAATTTTTGTCCAGTTCCAAGCGTGCAGTTTTTACAGCTGGTGTTGCTGAGCTGTTTGTGGCAGTGCCAGCCCTCGTCCCATCTCGTGCCTCTGCTCCTCTACTCTGTGCCCTGTGTCTCCCTTTCTCCAGACCTCTGATTTCATAACTGGCCCATATTTTCTTTGTGTTCGTGTTAAAATAGCTCATTCTACCAAACCTATTGCTTGTTGCTGCTTTCAGTATTAACAGCTATTACACTAGTTACCTGGAGGGCCCTTGAGTCAGATTCATTTATATTTCATTAAGCATTAGTCAAGAAGTTACCACAGAATAGTACTGGTTTATTAGGATGGCATACTTTTGCTTAATGTATTCTGCCAAATTTAAAAATAATTTCCAGGAACACCTCTTAGTTTTTGAAATGCATATTTGAAGCAGGTTCTTAAGAGCGTGAAAATAATCTTCACAATTTATTCTTAATTTGTTAGTTTTTTGGTAGCTCTTTTCCAGATATGTTTGAGGGGATGGAGAGAAACATTTGGCTAAATTCAAGTAGCAGTAGCACTGGAAAAAGAGAAACACGATGATTTAAGAAACTGTTTGCTATAAATGTGGCTGAAGAACTGACAATAATTAGGCATTATTAGGATTAGGGATTATTATTAGGGATTATTTTTTCTTTCTGTAAAAAAAAGAAAATAATTATCTAATCCTATGTTTGTCTCTGTGGTAAAGGTGGAATAATAGCAACACTTGAGGAAAAAATCAGTGTTTCATTCAAGTGGTAAAAGTGTTGTTTCTAACTTCAACAATTATTTCACTGATTTCATTGTACTACTCTTCTCTTACCTTTTGCCATTACAACTCCTTTAAAAATAGTTATGCATATTGCAGTAGTGACTAGAGACCTGCAAGTGGTGTGAATATCAAATATTGGGTTGTAGCTGCCTTGCTGTGAATAAAATCCTCTGAAGTAATAAGGATTCAGCTTGATTAGACAGGGTATGCTAAATATGAATGGAGTATAAATTGATGGAACAAAGAGACCTTCAAACAAAAAAAACCCAAACTTGTTAGTTACAGTTGAAATCAGATTTTGTATCACTTGCCAGAAGAGTCTGCCTTGGAATGATAAAATTTTGTTTCATGTTTGCTCTTAGCTACTCAGAGTCCCACCTTGAAATCCGTATCTCTACCTTCTGCAGAAACAATAGAGATGGAAATGGGTAATTAGCAGATTAGTTCCATTTTTTTTCCATTATCTTAGCGTCATGTTGATCTGCAAATGTTACTCTTGGCTACCAGCATTCACAGAGAGCTGCTTATTCACCATTTTGTGTCTGTGTAACTGCCTGAAAAATGGATTTGTTGTCATCTTAAAAACTGCCCAAAGACAGCGTTGTCATATCTCATTGTCGTATCTCGTCGTCGTATCTCATTGTCGTATCTCATTGTGGTATCTCGTCATCATCTTATTTCTTTCGGTATTGCTGGAGCTCTTACCCAGAAAATTGAGTAAGAGAGAATTCCTTGCTGGAGAGCTCATTGAAGCATGTGGCACTTGCATTCCCAGGCCAGAGCTCTGCTTTTCCAGCCATCCCCTCCCATTGTCTCGCGTCTCACCTGGGGCCACTGCCGTCCTGCTGAGCTCAGTGTTCCATCACCTGGAAATGCACAGCCCCGCTCAGCTTTTGATGCTGATCCAGCGGGTCACAGCTCTCTCAGCATTTTTATCTTAGGTTCTTTTTTCAGCTTTTGAGGAAAAACAGCCTGTTCCTTCAGGATCCAAACCCGCCGGTACCACGGAAGCGCAACCAACCCGACCCGGTAATGGTTTCTCATGAGCTTAATCCCCCTGGCAGCTGGGAATTTTTGGAGGAGACAGTGCCCCTCATGAAATACTTTGTTCAGTTTGACATAAATGGAGAATAGGTGTGGGTATGGAAGTGCTGCATCAAGTGTTAGATCTCTTTATGGCATTCTATGTGAAATATTAAGCTGGTAGCTCAGGGGGTTTTCCATCTTTGGCAACAGCATGTAATTCTTAATTTTAAAATTAAATTTGACCTACTGTAAATATCAAATTTAAATAGGACTGTCCACACATGAGTTTCATAAATAGAATATCCTGATTTGCTGAAGGGTTCTGAGTTGTAAGAGATTAATGGAAACTGGAGAAATTCCAACATATTTTGATACTATCACTCTCCTTTTAGCTTTTCTGTATAAACGCAGACATAATTCTGCCCAGATTTCTAAAACAGCACTATAAAAACATATCACTGACGATTCAGATGCTTTCTAGTTGCTCTTTACAAAATTTCTGTTATGTGTTTCTATTATTTTATAGATGTTATTTGCCTAGGGCAACTGACAGTTTTCCAAAATAAGGAAAAAACTAATAAGATGAGAGCCAGTTGGAAAGATTTCATTTCATTAGCATGCCAATAGCGTAATGCCTGATGCATATGTCTTTGGAAGAAACTAACATTGAAGGAAATCCATTACTGAGCAGCAGATTGATTACAAGAGTCAACTGTTCACATGTCTGACAAAAGACAGTTCCTGTGTTTCATTTGGTCCAGCTCCTGTTTTGTCATCCTTTTTCCTTCTCCAGTTTGCTCCTTTTTATTAATCATTTGTTCTCCTATTTTGAATAGCCTTGTATTTGCATTTTTAACTCTATTTTCATTTTTAACTCTATTTCACCTTTTTGTGTGACTCTGATAACAATTTGGTCATAAAATGCATTATGCATTAATGCATGTTTTTGGAAATAATTTTCAAGTCACACTTAATCACTTATTGCGCATTACATAAATATTACATAAATATTCATTGGTCATTACATAAATGGACCCTTTCTGTGGAACATGTGTTAAGTATTACCCAGAAGTTTTGTCAGTCTTGCCACTTCAAAACAATTCAGCAATTTTTTTGCTTTTATTTTCCAGCTTCACATGACTTTCTTCATGTTATTTCTACTCCCCAGACTCTTACCTCTTCAGAAATACCAGGCACTGGTAAATTACAATAATATTCTTTCAGAAGCCTTTCATGCCATTTTGATTTGTTTGTGATGAAAAGTTCATTGCTGCTTCCATGTTGATGATTTCAGACATTTTCAGCTATTTCATACTGCTTGCCTTGGGTGCAGACCTACATCTTATTTTTTCAACTCCTGTATCACCATCCGCATTCCTGTGTTCAGGCAGAGTTTAAAGCAAGTCTGGAAGTAGCTTGCAGAATAATGCAGTATTGATCAAAGAGATGTGTCAGGAAAATATTTAAATTTTTCAAGGCTCAAGGCTGTTCCAGTCAAGTAAAATACCATGCTTTTTAGTGATAAGATTTTTTTTTTTTTTTTTTTTCTTTTCATTTTTTTGCTTCCGTTTGTTTTGTTTTTTTTTTTTTTTCTTTTTTTTTTTTTTAAATTAGTTAGTTCACCCCGGTTAGGGCCGGTTCTTTCCAACTAAGCTATACTTTGAGTAACAGCTTTGGGAATATATTGGTTTTCCTGGAGCCTAGTAAGGTGAGGATGCCCAAGTTAAGATCTTCAGCTAAGTAAGTAGTGATGGTATTTGAAACAGATGAAGGAGGTTAGTTTTTAAATAAATAAGTAGAAATAATAAATGCAGAGTTGGAAAGTAAAATTTCTCTACACCAAATGTTCCTTCTTTATTTACTTGCATGAAATTATTTCTCAGATTTGTGTGTTTGTTCGTTTAACAGCAGCTAGAGGTAATACTGCTTTGGAAATATCCATGCCTGTAATTACTACAGAGCTTCAGCTGTTAGAATGGCATGGGGTAAAATTGAAAAGCTGGCTTCAATACAGTTTCAAAAATTCTGTTTTCTTTTTTTTTATCCTTGCTGCTGTTTTTTGAAGCTTTGCATTGCTTTAGTTGTCACCAGCACAGTAATTCATACACTTATTGCTGTTGTTAACTAGATTCTCATCTGCACTCATTATTCATCTTTGTAGATGGAGGATCAGAGGCAAAGAGGAGAGTTCCCTTTAACTGGTTGTGTTTGGTTTTCTCATTATTAAGACTCCCAGCTGTGGACCTGCCTCCCTTAGTACTTGAGTGGCTTTTTTCCTGTGCTGAGAGAACTTAGTTGTGAGAGGGAATAAAAAACTTAGACATTTCTGTGTAATATTTCCATTGAAAGTCTAGCCCCTGACTACTTTCTGGATCCAAAGGTGTTTTCTTACTATTGACCATGCATTATGTGCTAAGATTATTAGGTAATAAGAATTCTCATCAGTATGAATAATTAGGTTGCCTGGTTTCCCCTGGATTTCTACACCAGCCTAAAAGTCCATGAGACAGGGTAATGCCCAGCTGACCTGCAAGCAATTTTCCTTGTGCTTCCATTTTAACAAAGCAACATCTCTTCACCAAGTCCTGAGTTACTCAGGTAGCTCTGAGGCAATTGAACCTTTTAACACGAGATTATCTTTCCAGATTTAGGTGAAAGGAAACCTCCTTCTTCGAGATTCACAACATCTGGCATGCCAGAAATGCCACCAGTCTCAGCTGGTAATGACATCTGTCCTCTCTGTACTTCTCTTCACATCTAGGCAGCCTCTCAAAAGACACAGCAACGCTTTGCTAAACGGAGGGTTTGTTCTGACTTGCTCTGTATAAAGCTGGAGAGACAGAAACTAGTTGCATCTGCTTCAATGTTTGAGACATTTGGAATTAAATACTGCAATGATAAGATTAATTTTTTTAATGTTGGTAAACAATTAGCTTGTCTGGGTTATCTTGTGAAGGATTTTTTTGTATTTATGGGTATATATACATATGTGGAGGCCCATTGTTAGGAGTGGGTAAATAAGTGTTAACATATCCAATTTGATCCTTTTGCACATTGGAAAAGCTCCTCCACAGGCAGAAAAAAGATTTATCTACAGTTCTTAAGCAGGTGCAAACACTTTGGTTAGTGAGTCATTGAATGTTGCTAGAAAAGGATCAAGTTGAAGAGACTTGAACAGAAGGATTTCTGTTTCCAAAGACTGGGAATGTCAAAATATCCCAGAGGAATCACTCAACACTATTTCCTTATTGCCTTCAGCTGCATCCAAGGGCATGTTTGTAAACTGTCATAAGTCTTGCCTGCCAAAAACCTGAAACCAAGCCCAAAGCAATGGGCAAATATGCACAGTAGTAGTGAGTACACAAAGTCCAGATTTGACACAGGCTGTGCATTCTTCCTGTGCAAAATTAGAATAACGGGGTATGAGGAGTTCACTTGAGTAAAGGGACTTGTTCTTCAGTGTACAAAGAGAAGTTGAGTTGCACAAGTGTAAGTTGTAAGATGTGCTAGAATTTTGTGGAAAATTTTCTTTTTTTTCACTTGCTTGAAAGAATTTATATACAGACAGATAAATTCTCTACACTGTGTTTTATTATTGCCAGGGACAGTAATTTCTGACTCATAGAATGAAGGATTTCATTGATTGTAGGAAAAAGTGAGATCAGATCTTGAATTCTAAATACATAGTTGTGATTCTTAGTTGCCATGCTACCTCTGTAAGAACTGTTAAGAGTCTGTCAAGTTAATATAAGGAGTGGTTTGGTGAATTGGATATTTTGGCATTTTTCTGTGGATGTAGAGCCATTTAGCTACTGGGGCTCAGTATTCTGGAAGCTGCAACCACGGCAGGAAACGTGACTGCGGGCTTGAGTCGCAGGGGGCTGCCAGGAAAGGGCACATGTGTCCCTAAATGCAGACATTTAGGGTGTCTACCGCTGTGGCAAGGCTGAGTGGGTATCTCAAGATCATTTCTGTGTCTGACCGCAGCGAGCGAGAGGCCAGAGCTGGGATGGACCTCGTGTGCCCCCCGGGAATCCAGCAGGATGGGTAAATAGCGGCGATCCCTGCTGCCGTGGCCGTGCTCTTCTCTGCAGCGATGAGCTGGAGATGCGCTGCTGTCCCGGCGAGCGGCTCCGCGCTGCGGCCTCACGGCTCCTTCCCAAGAGCCATTCCAGCTGCAGATGTCCCGGGGAGCCGTTCTCGGTGTTCTCTGCTGCCCCGGCTGCCGGAGCCGGCCCGTGGGCAGCGAGGCCGTGCGGCGGCAGCCCGGCCCGACGGGCCCGTCCCGCTCTCTGCAGCCGCTCTCGGTGCGAGCCTGCGGCAGCAGCCGCAGCGGCCCTCAGGGCGCTTCCTGTGTTTGCTCGCAGCCGCTCCGAGCCCGAGCCCGGAGCCCAGCGCTCCTTCCTCCGCGGCAGCTCAGCGGGCTGGGACGGGCGATGGCAGCGGCCTTCTTCGCCATGTCGGCCGTGTCTTCGTCCTGCCGCCTCGCCTCCCGGCCCTTGCCGCCCGCACCCGCGGGAGGCCGGGGCGCTGCGCGCTGGGCGGGCCGGGGCGCTCGCCCCGCGGCCCTGCGCTTCTGCTCTCGGGGGCCGCCAGCATCTTCTGCACGGAGCATGTGGCATTCCGCAGAGACGCCCCGCTGGCCCTGCCCGCAGCTCCGCTGCCCTGCTGCTTTGGTCCGGGTGCGGGGCTTGCTTTCCCCGGCGCGTTCAAGCTCGGGGCGCTCCGATGGGCGCACCCAGCAGAAGAGGACGCGCCTTTCCATGGAATCACCTGAACTGGGAACGCTCTGCTCTGCTGCTGCTTTTGAGCCTTGTTAGGGTTTTAAATCTAAACCTCGTTTCAGCATTTGGCTGCTTCTTCACAGTTTGAGACACCAGCTGCCTGTGGTAGTAATGACATTTCTTGCAGCTCTGGTAGTGATGCGAGATGGGAATTGTCCAAGAGATATTGTAGTGCTTTTAGCCAACCTGCTACTTCTCTTGGGCCTAGATTCCAGCAAAGCTTCAGCACAGAGGTGAAAGGGGTCATTCCTGCAAAACCACCTTTAATTCCAGCTTTGGCTATGGCAATTCCACTGCTCTTGTCATGTCATCTCTTCTTCATATTTCTTCCATCTCCTTTGTAATTTTCATCATCAGTGCATTTTCATATATTTACATTAGGAATTCCATGGCATGTTCATATGAGATGTTTTCCTTTTCTGAATCCCTAGTTTCTTAGTAAAGTCTTGTAACCTGTACAGTCTATATGTTCAGATGATGCCAAAAAATATTTTGTTTTGGTTTTCTTTTTCCAGCCTCACTGGACTCTAATCATATTAGTTTCCTGTCCCAAACTTCTGCATCTGCAGAAATATCAAAACCAGAGACTGGTAAATTGTATTTATGGTACTTCCTGTTGCTTAGTGTTTGGTTTTGCATCAAGCATGTTTGTTACAGGCTGTTTGCTCTGATTGCTTGGTGTCTGAAGCAGAATTTTGTTTGCAGTGTCTGTTAGGCTCTAGAATTACATGGTGATATTTTGGGGTATAGGATCAAATACATATGAAACCACAGGAATTAATATTTTTGTGTGGTTTTTAGCTGTTGAATAGATGAAGACCAATAGGACCAATAGATAGATGTGTTCATTATCAATTATAAAGATATGTTCTTGACTGGGGCATTTCATCATGGGGGATTTTCTGTTAGGCGTATCATACACATTTTGCAGTTTTCTCTATTTATAAGACTTTTTTTCAGGTTATGTTGCTATTGCACCTTGAAACTTTTATTACTGGGTCATAGTTCAACAGTTTTATGTTAAATTTTCTGCCTCAGTCTGTCTCTTTGATATATCACAGAAGCTGTGTTAATTTATATTATGTCAAGTAGATAAAATACCACAAATGACAGATTGCATGATGTGTAGTATGTTAAAACCTGTTAGTGAAAATACTGGCATTTGCTATATTGAAACATGCAAAGCTTTGGCAATAGAAATACTTGGTTGTACAAATTAATATTTGCATGCATTTTAAGTTCATAAGTCTCTTTCTGTGGGTGCAGGTGAAGTCAAAAGCACAGGCTTTTTCATGCTACATGGATACAGATCAATTGACTCCTGTTGATAAATCTGCTTTTAGGGGAACTGCAGTTCCTGTTAGGCCCTGTCTGTTACAGGCATGTGACATCTTCAAAACTTTGAAGTTTTGTTACTTTCTTTTTAAGCTGGAAATTTATGATACTCTGTTATAGTGGTGTTGGCATCTTGCAAAGCAGTGTAAAACAATTTTTTTTTTCTGATTTTTGCCCCCCTTGCTATGTCTGCATCAATATGCATCTGTCTCAGGGATATTTGCATTTTTCTACAGTTACAAGTTCAGCTGACTTGGAAAAGCCTTTGTCTCCTCTTTCCAGAGCACCTCAGGTGCTAACAACAACTGCGGGTAATAGTAATGCTTTAGCTTTTCACTTAAACCCCTTTTGGTGTTTGGACAGCCTTTCAGCCTTTTCTTAAATTTCATTAATCCTAGATATTTTCATTATCTTCCATGTTGCTTCTGTGCGAGTCACAATCATTGAAAGCATCCTTTTTTACATGAGAAGTTGTGCTTTCTGCTGAGAAACTCACCTGGTAGTGTTTCTGGTCTCACTTTCATTTCTTAGAAACTTCTAGGGCTATTTTGAGATATACTTACATGAAGTAAACCTGTTTAATACTACTAAACTAGGTTTAATACTACTACTGACTAAATCTTATTAAGAATACCAAAACAACGTGTTTTTTTATTATTGTCTTGTCAGCATAGGAAGCTCCTTTCTTGCTATTTTTTTGCTGGTTGGCAGGTTTTTTTTACTTTACTCTTGTTTTTCTTGTGTGACAGATTATATAACATTAAAATTCACTAAAAAATATTGATGCAAAACAAAGCACTGAAGAGAACTAAGGCAGGTGCTTTTCTTCATGGAAATAACCTTACAGTGCTTTTTAGTTTTCATAGTTTTTGTTGGTGGGGGGATTGAGTACTTTATAATTGTGGTATCAGAAGTTTTTATCTTTGTATTGTCTGGGTTGTTTTAAGCTGTGTGGGCCATGTGTTCCACAGCAATGTTAGCTATGGTTGGCTGACAATTTAGTTTTAGTTCTCACTTTAAGCACTACCTTCAGCTCACACTCTAATCCAATACTGCTCCATTCCTGAGGTATGGTGAAGTGCAAATTATGTGTGCCATAACATATCATATTTTTGATTGTTTTTCTGTGATCAAAAAAAGCTGTGTGTAGAATTAATAATCACAGACTATGTGACATGTTTTTTTTTATAGTTTTCAGTGGTATTCAGCCTGTTCTTTCAAGTCCTGTGTCACCTAGTAAGCCTGAAATGGCAGAAACTGGACCAGGTACAATAATCTCTACCTAATTCTTAATTCACAGCTCAAGCCATGCTCTAAAACTCCAGTGATATACACTGCTGTTGTTTTCAGTAGACATTTGGATTAGTCCCTAACAGCTGGTTTCAAACTTAGGTTGCTGCTAATGGTTGAACTTGATGTTTTCTCACAGCTATAAACCATATGGCAACTCACAATAACATGATTCAGTATGTTAAAAAATGTGCCACATAGAAAATTGATAAAAAAGTATTTGTAGAGTAGTTCTGATGAAAACACTGTGATGTGAACTGCAGGTTGCATTTTATTGTTGTAGCATCACTAAAAATGTGATGTGCACTAACATTAGTGCATCATTAACAGCATGAAATTGGTTAATAGTTACAGACATTCAGTGGTTTTGGACTGAAACCACAGCTGGATCTGTTGTCAGGTTTCTATTCCAAATTTTATATGTTTTAATATGTGACTAATTGATTGTTCAACATGTCCTCTTCATTAAATATCTACATTGTAGACGGTACCGCCTCCCTTAAGTATTGGACCAAAACTTAAAATGTTCAGAAGCTCTCCTTAAAATCTTACTTGGCAGTGGTTGAGATCCAGACCAGTTGCAATGAAGGCAAGAGGAAATAAATATCCAGAAGTTTTGTGCATCACAGATGTGCTGATTTATAGTCACTGAAGCTCTGTGCAGAATTTCTCCCTAATGTGTACTAAACTGATAAATGTCCAAACAGTCATGAAATAATTATTGTTCTTCTTAAAAAAAAATTATTTTTGCTCATGAAGGAAGAGTTTCTTCCATTAGCTCTTTGCTCTCTTATGACTGTCATCATTTCTTCCAGCAGCAGCAAGTGAATCCATTCTGGAATCTTTCACACCTAAAACTTCCCATCCTTTTCAATGGCCAAGGGTAACATTAGGTAATGTTGTTTTCACCCAGTGAAAAACTTTGTGTTTGTTTTGAGCACTCCATCCCATATGAATGCATTCCTTCCACATATCATTTCACATGCATAATCATTCTTTTTCCTGGTTAGAGAGTCTTGCTCTTCCATCAGTGTTACATTGATTGTTCTTGGCATACCTGTGTATGAGAACAAGCTTCTGGGTGGATTTACTGTCTCAGAGAAGCAAAATTTGTCTCTTGCATGATAAAACACCATCATCCTTTTATTAGCGTGCTATCTCTTTTACTCCCAATGCACACGCATGTGCTGATTGTGTCTGAGATGTAAAGCTTTCAAAATAGAAATTTTAATTGTTTTGGACTCACAGAATCTTATTTCTGATCAACGTACAGCATTTCAGTATCGTCTCCATTCCACGCTTCAAAATCTGATTTCATCAGCTGGCTTTGACATTCCATACTAAGTTGTCTTCAGTACAAACATGTGACATGTGCTGTTTGTTGTGGGAAATGCTTGTTTCATTGCAAACTGAGCTCTTTCTTTCAGCTCCAAAAGAAATACCACTTATTCCTTCTAAACCGAAACCATCTGCTACCCCAGGAGTACAACGTGTGAAACCTGGTAATTGTGCACATCATTTTCATAAGCTGGTATGCAGAGAGATATGTTCTCTAAATACCTAAGCAAAACTTCCTAAAAAGGACAGGAGCTATACAATATGTGAGCATCCTGACAAGCTCATCACTCTCAGATAGGTCATGAACTCTCATTAACTTAATGAGAGTTCAGCTCCTCAGTTTTATGTGTTTGGGTCCAGTGATAAAAATATAAACCAGTTCTCTAGTGTTGTAACCTTTTTAAAGGACTGAAATGGAAAAAAATACTCTGAGACTCTGGGTGGAACAAGGGTGTTTTAATATCACTCCTATAAGTAATAAATATGATTATTATTTTTATAATCTCCTTTGCCACTCTCCGTCTCCCATTTTCACACAGATGTACTATGGCAAATATGACACCTTTACTAATAGTGTAGGAACATAATCATTTTGTTGTGTATTTTTTGCCTTTTGATCAAAAAAGCTCCCGACCTCTACTCATTTTCTTTGGATTTGGGATTAAGGGAAATTAATTTGCCTCCTTTAATGATTTAGGTACTGGACGAAAAGCTATTATGCTGTGGATTATTTGAGACCCAAAATGTTTCTGTTGTCATGTCTTATAAACAGATCAGTAAAAAACGGGAGCTGCCTTTATTGTCTTATACCTCTCTTACAATTAACTGCAAGTACTGATTTAAGATTTTCAGCAAAACTTTGGCCTTTAGAAGTTTCTTTCCATATAGATTCTCTGGTGTTCATTACATTACATTCATTCTTTTCTTCCTTATCTCTCCTTTCTCACTATTCTCCCATAACAGAAGAGAAATTCATTTGCTGATTGACTGAAATACAAGATTAAAACTGTCCTGAAAACATCAATAGGAAGGAGCCTTAGAAGCAGGCTCTCATACACTCATTCAGTGTGCAATTTCATAGGAAAAAAAGCTAAAAGGGATCTAGGGTGTTACACACAGGACTAAGGCTTTTCTAGACTGTTATAAAACAACTCCCTTGAACTCCTGGAATGATAACACTTTGGCCTTCGTGTTGATACACCTACTGATTGTTTTGATTACACTTGAATTTTTCTCTTCTAGCCCCTAAACCACCACTTTTGGAGCCTAAAACTTCTGAGACTGTAGAACAGCCAAAAGCAACCCTAGGTAATACATGTTTCTGTAGCTGCTAGTCACTCTCCTTCGCAGTCCAAGCCACAGTTTGTGCTGTTACTTCATCTCATAGCTTTTGCTCTATTTAATCCTTTTCTCTGAAAGAAGGTTAGGAGATAAGTGCTCAGAAATGTTTTTCTAAACTTAGGAGAAAAATAAACTACTTTCTTCATGCAGCTTTGCTAGTTCCATGGTACATAAACATTTTTGTCTTCCATTTTGCTGAGAGCTTTTCTGCACCAACACTCTTTATTCAGAAAACTGATTGGAAATACAATTGAACTGCCAAGTGTAAAGGTAGTATTGTGGATGTTAATCCCAGAAGTCTCAGGGAAGGATTCCTGTGGTACTGGTTAACATGTTAATTCCACTGCTTTATGAATCCCTCTGGATGTCGCTTTGGCTTGAAAAACACCTCTCGGTCTCTTCATGGCTCACTCCTCTCTGCTCTTTTTGAAAGCATCAAACATTTTTTCACTGTGTCAATTGCTATGAAACATTTTCATGGAAAGCAGTCTCATAGCACTGCTTTTTAAAAATGTACAAAGTTACTTAACTCTGCCTGAAACTGAGATTGCACTTTATCTGAAGTCAGACTAACAGGCAGATTAACTAATTACAATTTCAACCCGTGCATGTTTAGTGGAAAAAGGGTTTCTAGGACTCATTGCTTTTAAATTTTACCATTTACCATGATACTGCTATTCTACTTATATTATTCAACTTATATTAGCTACTTCTATTCCATTAGCAGAATTCAATGACTGAAGCTATGAAGCAGTTCCATTTTTTTAATTGATTCCATGTTCTTTCAGCTGTTTGCCAGTAATTTCTTTACTGTGCCAAAAAATGAGGACATTTCTCTATCTTTTGTCTATATATGTCTTCTTATGGCTTAAAATAGACCTGGAATTTAAAATTATAAAAAAGCATTATTGTTTTATCTCTTAGGTATCTTGTGAAAATGAATTTGCTAACTCAATGAGAGGAATGTTTGGATGTGATTGCAAACTGCATATTTAAATGCGATTACTTTTACAATGAAGGACAAACAGATTTTCCTGGAGTAGTCAATTCTTAGGAAGATTTTTGAAAAGCCTTCTTGGCATATCTGATTCTACCATTTGCTTTTGTTGCCAGTAGCCATTCATTGCCTTATTTGTTTTTTTTGTGTTACAGTGGAAAACATACACTTATAATCCAGTATATTTCTTTCAGCTCCTAAAGAAGCAAAGCTCACTACTTCTGCAAAGCTCACTACTTCTGCATCTAAACCTAGACCATCTGCCAGACCCCAAAAGCCACGAACTAAACCTGGTAACTAATTTCCATAGCAAACATTTGTTATAGCATATCACTTAAGTAGTGCATTTTAGCTTGAATTTCTTCTGTGCTAATGTGAAGTTCAGCACTTAATCATCAGAAAGGAGAGGAATTCCTCCTTGAGGAATGATATTTTTGTATTGGATCCCCAAAAAACTAGAAGCAAAGGAATAAACCTTTTTACTTCTATATCCCAAGTCACCAACTCATGCAGCCAGACATCAAAGCAAATTGATTTCCTGCTTTTCATTTTGGAATAACAAGTTTTCCAGTTTAGTTCATCATAGGGTACAGAAAACACAAATTCTGCTGTTTTGCTGATGGTTGTAGCATCTTACATAGAACCACAGAATTTTATTGATTCAGTGATCATTAGAGCATATGTAGACTTACCTGAAACTGTGAAAGAATGGAATTTTGTTCTGCAAGTCAGTAGAGACATATTTTATGATCCCAAATGAAATAGCACCTTCACATCAAGGTTAAATTTCATCTATGATATATGGCAGAGAGTAAAACACACCTGGCATTTTCTGGACCTGGAGAATATATAAATAGAGTTGTAAAAATATTTCTGGTGTTTCATGGTTTATAATGAAATTAGCCTGAAATTGCATAATTGTTTATTGTAAGAATATATTACTCAATGCTGAAAGAGCTCAGATGATTTTATTAAATTCTTTCCAGATTCCCTGCAAATTATTTTTTGCTCATAAAAAGAAATTAACTCTCTTCAGGCCAAATTATTTCCTGTGAAGCTTGTTAAAGGAATGACACTTATGACTTGGAATTGTCTCAGAATACTGTGCATAATGAGTTTTTTATGCTGATTACAGCTCCTGCAGTAAAATTAATTTTTAGTGTAGGAAATCCAGTACTGTATTAGAAGAATCATTACTTTTGTCTCTGCTGGAGATGTCTGTGTCTGAATATAAATCTGAGCCCTGCATGTTGTCTTTTGAAATGGCTGAGAAAAAAAATCAACTCATTTGGAAACTGTTGCATAGATTTGTTTTAAACCCTGGGACTGCCAAGATCAAAATTTTATCCTGGTGTTTCAAGTGGCTCTATAACAAATTTCTGTATGCCTACAAGGAAAGTGTCATTATTCCATATTTTGTACACATGCCTCTGGTTTTTTCTGTCCCAGAGTGGTCTCAGAAATCAATCAGGAAAATCTTGAGCCACTTTTTGATCTGGATGAAGCTTGCCATGATTCTCCTGTAAGCAGAAGTGAAGCTGGCATGTGTTCTGAGGTGACAAATTATATTCTTGTTGAGAAAATGTTATTTGAGCCAGAAAATCTGCAGTGCATAGGGATAAGCTGGCTTTTGGGAAGGTGGCAAAATGGCCAAAAAGCAGGAGCCTCTCTGTGTTCCAGCACCACCTGGAAGTTCAGCTTAAATTAGAAACTTGATCATGTCATGATAGTGGTTGTCACCTTTCCCTAAGAGTGAATCGAAATAATGAACAATATATGCCAAACTCGTATTTAGTCAATGACTTACTGGCAAATAACTGCCTTTGGGTGAAGCAATTAATTCTTACTCTCATTATTAATATGATTTTTGTGCTGTTTCTGGTAAAGTATTTGCCTTTTTTGGCAGTGGAGAAAAAAAGGCTTCATATAAAAAATCCCAAACATTTAAATCATTTTCAGATTCTCCAACTAACCAACTGTACATTCTAGTGTAAGGTCACTGTTTTATTCTCTTTCTTGGCATTTGGATAACTGAATCTATTGCCTACATTAAAAAAAAATAAGGTTTTGTTGCCAATATGATCATGCCCAGCACCTGTCCTCACTTTTACTGTTGTTAACATGAATACCTCTCTAAACATTCTCCATTTTTCAGAAAAGGAAATTATAATGATGGATTTTCTATTGTAAATACAAAAGTTTACAGGAAAGTTTTAAAATATCTCCAGGGATTGAGACTCCACAACTTCTCTGGCCATTTACTTAGATGAAAAAATTTTTACCCTGAAGACATCTTGGAGTATTTTGACTTCTTAAAATAATGGCAATATTATCAAATATAAAATCTCTCTAAGCTATAAAAATGTTCATAAAGAGGGAAAATTTGGAAATCTGAAATAATTCAGTCTTTTAAATTTAAACACTGTCCACCCAGGTAAACCACCATAAACCTTCATGTGGGAAAATAGAGATTTTAAATTAAGAATGCGATTTTCTGTCTAAACTGACAGAGTTTTGGAAGTGTTAGGTCTCAGATTTCATTGTATTTCAAAATTTTAAGGTAGCCTCTTTTAAATAAGTTTTCTTGTGAGTCCTAAAATGCTTGTGAATTGCAATATGACAAATTGTTGGTATGTCCATAAATATAGTTTGAGGGACATCATACAATATTTATCCATCACTTTTTCTTTCCCAATTAAAATCTATTGGGAGGGACAGAGGCTGAGAGTCAAAACAGAGTAAACAAAGCAAAATTTAAAGGGAAAGCACAAAGATTACTCAATATTTGTAGATGTGTTTGGAAATAAAAATGGATTTTGTTTGTAAAGTCACACTAATATCAAACAGTTCTACCAACTTTGACTGCATAGTTCTTCATATTTTTCAGAGTGTTTGGGTGTTATTCCTTTCAAACCCAATTAAGTGCTCTACATAGAGATGGGAAGCTTGTTAACTTGATGATCTATGTGCAGTGGCACTAGATAACGTGCTGGGATCCTCAGCCTTGCTTTCTGTGACTTTACACTTATTTACACCTGAAGCCTTTCATATTTATCCTTTGTATCACTATGGGAGAAACCCAGGAAAATTAACTGAAATATTTACCAAAGAAAATTGACTTCTCTGGAATTGTTTCTTTTTGGTGATCTACAGCCATAAAGATATTTTTAAAAATTCAGTAAAGCAGGAAAGGGAAGCTTTAGAGAGCTCCTCTCCCAGTGTGTTCCTGTAGCATAAATGTACTTTTTATTTTCCAAAAGCAGCAAAAGGAACATCAGGTAATTGCAGTAAATGTATCCTTCTCTCAGTGTTTCCATTGGAAGAGTTTTGAGGAGGTGGATTTCAGCTGGGGAGCAAGAGCAGTTGAGCTGTACCAGCAGCTACAAAACAGATCCAGATACACCTGTATTTCTCTTAAGGAAATGTTCTTTATTCCAGCAGCAGCCATGCCAGGGTCAGGCACTTCCAGGAGTCCCTACACGTCTGAACGTGCCAAGACTGCAGAGGGTAATGACTGAGTCATCCTTAGTCATTCTTCCTTTCATTGCTCTCATCATGTGTGCCGTTGAAAGCAGCATTTCCTGGAGGCTTCTTGCTTATTCGTGTGTGGTCCAAACCCAGCACATGGAAGTCTGATCCTGGTGCTTTGTTATTTCTCCATGTTTCTAACATGGACATGTCTTCTAAAAGACAGGATGTCACTTTAAAGGCATTTACTTGAAAGTTTCACTTACATTAGAAGAAGAAAGAATAAAAATTATTGCAATAATAAAGATTTTATGGAATATAGAAATAACAGTCTAAAATGACATTTAAAATTACACACTGCTAAACAATTCCTGCAGAAGGAGTTTTATGGCATATTGCTTGACAATTTCTCACATGTATGGAAAATACTGCATTTATTCAATTAATACATCCAAACCTGTGTTCAATTTAAAGAAAAAAAAAAGTAATTTTGTTTTCAATGCAGAGCACAGTTTATATAAAGTAATATATGGCCTTTTTTAGTATGGGAACATATATAATGTGTTTAATACATACATTTTTTTATGCAGACAAAGAACAAGGGTCTATCCTTTGCAGTGAGCCCTGAAATGCTATATTTAATGCAAAGGAAAATTTGGATCACTCTTTGCATTTACTGTGCAGGCTGTATTCTGAGAAGGGCTTCAAGATGTTTTCAGCAGCTTTGGTCTTTTAAACCTGGATTAAGCTGACTACCTATATGATACCTCACAGGACAAGGACAGTTCGAAGCCTCACGCAAATTATTTGATAAAATAGAATCAGTTTGGTTTGGTCAAGTAGCAGCAACTCACTTAAACTCATAGTTTTTCAACTGCTGCAAGTTCTACACCATGAAATACTCTCAAAACTCTAATGACATTGATTTGTCAAGGTCAGTGTTGCGTAACAAACTTTTCTGAGCATTGCTTGTTAAGTCTTTTCCTTGGCTTTTGACTAAACTATGAGAAGTTAATTTTGCTGCACGAGAACATCCAGCTCTTTGATTATCCATGAAATGGATAATCATCGCTTGTTTTTTTCATATCCAACAACATTTCATGCCTTGAACACGTGTTGCAGTTCATTTTTCTGTGGTTGTTCATTGGTGTGGACAGAGGCTCATTTCCTAACTTCTTTTCTTCACTGCTGAACCTGAATGTGATTTACTATGGCACCATTTACTCTCAGCTTAAAAGCAGGTTTTCACAAAACAAACTTTTCCCACTATCCAAAATACACATTCCTCACATTTGAAGCCCAAATGATCTGCTAAGATCAAAATACCTCAAGCTGAGCCTGATTAGGCACTTCTGTGGAAATTACCTACTTTGAGACTTGCTATTAGTGCAGAAAGTAAAGAAGAGAACAACTTTTTTTTTCCCCTAGGTGGGGAGAAGAAACATCCAATTTTTTTGGATAATACTTGTACACAAGGAAACCACATTGCTCCAGAAGACAGTTTGCAGACCTAACAAATAATATTAATATCTTTCTATTATTTGGAAGCTGTTTTTCTCTTGGTAAGAAATTATTGATTTTTCAAATGCAACCTGAAAATAGAAATTGGTGTTTTCTAGGAAAATATTTTGAATCTGAATTCCAAAGATAACTGATGAGCTTGAACAATGGCAAAGTCTTTGCAAACCAGGCATATGTGGTGAGAACATTTGAAAAATTAGTGACTGGTCTGACATTTCTGTGGAGTATCTGGCCACTGTCAGTAGGAGTTAATACTGGTTGTTTTGGGTTTTTTCCTTCATTTGCAGCAATATTAATACTACAGAATATTTTACTGTGTATGTTAATATACATGTAATAAATACTTTAGTATTTAATAGTATTAGCCCCCTCAATTGCAATCAAAGTTTTATAGTGTTATTTACTGTGAAGGCCATTTTTAAAATGGGTAGATGCATAAGAAAGTTTGGGAGATAAGTGAATGTGGGTTATAGAACAGGTTCTATCTTTAGGTGTGTATACCTGTGTGTTATATGCTACTTTACTTGTTACTGCCTTGAGAGGAAAGAATTAGTGCATTAAAATTCTTTTATATGTTTTTTTTATTGCCAGGAATTTTTTATAGATTCTTCCATCTCATATTTTTTTGTCTCATTTGGTACAGTTTGTGATCAGGAAAAGGGCATGATATATTGGTTTTGTGATCCAGATTGTAAGTGGATATGAGAAAAAATGAACAGGCTTTATAAACTAATTTTTTTTTCCCGATTACTAATAAATACAGCTCTACTTAGAGCAGCCTTTTAGTCCTCTGTTTAATTGCTCACTTTAGAGGAAAAATTCAACTACTTTGTCACAGTCAGCACACTACTTTCAAGTAACAGAGTTCAGTTTGGGGACTCCTGACATTCTGTATATCAAAAGTCTCTTGCTGTCTCCGAGTTAAACTCTGCAATCTCTTCTCTTGCTTGTTCTTGCATTTACTGATTTATATCCACATATTTTTGCTTCTATTGCCATCAAGTCTGTCCAATTACTTATTTATTTTACCTGTATTATTAAGAATTTTAATTGCCCATGATTTAAAAGTCAGCTTGAAGATCCGTATTACTGTGGTGTTGTGTTAGTGCCTGCTTTTCTGCTTACCACTGGAGTAATTTTAAATTTTTGGAGCGTGTTCCTTACTCACTTTGTCACACTGTTTCTGTTGCAGTCTTGGATCCTATTACACTTAGAATTGAACCACCAAGGTCACCCATAGGTAATAATATTTCCTTGGCAAGCTGTTGTGTTTGCTTTATTTACATCACAGCAAGCATCACTGAAGTTAGTCACATTATGCCTCAGGATTGTTTCATTTAACCTCATTTTTATTGTTTCATTTAACCTCATTTTTATTGTTTCATTTAACCCCATTTTTATTGATTCATTTAACCTCATTTTTATTATTTCATTTACCCTCATTTTTATTCTAGGTAATTATCTTGCTTGGCATTCAAAACAGTTGGGTGTATTGCTCTCTTCATAGCTGGAATGTCTCCTTTATGAAAAAAGGAATTATGCTGGCAGCTCTGAATCACCTTTCTCATAACTATGCTTATTTGCGCTTGTTCCAGTTTTTATTTTAAAAACACGAACAAAAGCTGAGCTTCAAAAATGACTAAAATTCCACTTTCTTGCTTAGATTGTTGTAAACACGTGGAGAGTATTACCTGATTCGCCTACTTCTTCTCAGTTGCAGGTCTGAGGTTTCTGTGCTTGTGTGTTCAGCTGCTATCAGATGCTAATTGCTGTGCAATTTAATTAACTCATTGCCCACATTTTCTCTTCCAGCTCCAAAGGTGACTCAACGTGTTCCTTCTAAGCCTAAAACTTCACCCAAACCTCACATCCCACAAGCCAAAGATGGTAAACTACTTTGTGATTGTTTCTAGTTTGGTTTATTTTGGATTGAAATGTATTTATGAGCAGCTGTTTAGTTACCTGAGCCAGTTAAAACAGAATGGAGTTCTGTTCTGTTCAGCAATTTAATTGCAGTTTTCATGAGTAGTGACATTTGCTGGGTATTATTCACTGAGCAAAAGAATAAACCTCTGCTACTTCAAGAAATAGGATGAGAATAGTGTTATTACACTCAGATTAATCTTGCTAACTAAAGCAAATACGAAGCAATTAAAGTGTGTACTGAGGCTGCTTGGGAGGTAAAATTCTTTCCAACGTTGCTTTGCATTGTTAAAATAAATCTGTTTCCCTTCTAAGCCACAATCAATTAATTTCATGTCATTATTATTTTCTGCATGAAGGAGTAGATTTTGCCCAGTTATACATACATATGTAGTATTTGCTTATAAACATTTATTGGCATTAATGATTCTTTATATTGTATTCCAAAATACTGGATTTTTATGTCATTAAATGTGTTAAATTCAGTAGTAGGCAGAAAAAGTTACTTTCTGTCCCATGCTCTCCTGCTGGAAATAGCAACAGAAAATGTCAAGGGTCTCAAATATCAACATCCATTATCCTTTGGTAAATGTGAAAAATTTAAGGATAAACATTTTATTGAAGACATTTAAATTGTAGACACAGACCAATATTTTTGAAATCTGATTTTATTTATGTGATTTCTTCATGTAACAAACAGGCAAAATCCTTGTCTTCTCATAAATTTTTAACTATGGCATCTGATTATAAAACATTGTTTCCAAGTTACACCTTAAGATGCCACTTCTCATATGCCATTTTTTACCTTTGTGACCATTTTTCATTTTTAGTGTAGTCTGTCCTTCTCAGAAGTGGTTTATGGTTTTGTCACTCAGATTTTATGAGCTTGTATTGATCTGTGTTTAAAACAAACTAACAAACAAAAACAAAAGCCCCAACAACTTACTGTTTCTTCAAGAATCTGTAATACACAGAATGTTTTCTACAGCATCATCCACTTATCTTGTAATTGTCTTAAAATATACAAAGACGTTTCTTCTTTAAAATTGTAATCCATACAGAAGAATTGACAGAGAATTGACATCAATTTCACATCTTTATGACTCTAAACCAATGGACTCTAGATCCATCCCAGTTTAGAGCTGAATTATATGACTGGCAATGCTATACACCATGTCATGCTCTTTGATAAGTGTTCAGTACACAACCAATTGCTGCCTGATTCTAGCTGTGTACATAGAGTGCAATTGAAACACATCACCAAGGGAAGAGATTCGTGTCCCTAAACATCCATTTTCTGAATAACAGAATGAAAATATTTGGCTATTTTGTGGAAGTCTATGGGAGAACTAAGCTCACACTATGCTGGAGCTTACTCTGCTTTCTCAGATATTTATTTTAATACAACTGTTTCTGTATGAGGTAGAATACAAAGTACATGATTCAGAAAGTAGTGCTGATTGTAACTTTTCAATTTTCAAAGCATCTTTTCTGTTTTGTTTCTGATACAGTCCTGGAATCTATAACACTTAGAACTGATCAACTAAAACCAACGCTAGGTAACAGTTTTACCTACAGGGTAAATCACCTGGGGACCATCACATTTAGCTTTTTCCTCACTGGCCATCACAAGCACTGCTTCATTGCACTCCACTCTTGTAATTTTTTTACTATTAAAGTTCATCCTGTAAGGGGGGGTTTGGTGATTTTTCACTAACAATTCATAATCGTCTTTGTCTTTTTTTCTCACACAAATGTGTTCTGCAAAGGGGATGGAAGCACCACAACCTACCTTTGACTGCTTGTCTCTATGCTCCATTCCTATCATGTGCTGCTTCACCTTTTATACTGTGCAACCATACTGGCCTTGTTTTATATTGTCCTGTTACAGAGGTTTTCCATCAGCACTGGGGTTTGTTATGTACCAAGCCTCCATATTTCTCCATTACTCAAGTTTTTTGTGATTCCAAAGGGTCCCAAAGGCATGTGTTCTTCTTTAATGTTATACTTTCTGTCAGTATCAATTCCCAAAAAATAAAAAAATTCTAATATTTGCTGGTTTGGCTTTTTTTTTTTTTAGTTCCTAGAGGACCACAGTATTTTCCTTCCAAACCTAGAACATCACCAAGCCCAGAGGTGCCACGGACAAGACCCGGTATGTTCATTGCTCCTTTACCTTTTCATGCTGACACATGTGTCTTATGGATTCTGCTGTAACCAGTGGAGCTTCAGATCTGTATGTATTCCTTGGGCATGTATTTTGGAACATTCCTTGAGGGATAAAATCCAGTGACATGTAGAATTTATAAGCAACCTGGTAAACTGAAAATATCTTCAATTCTTTATTACATTTTAAGTCACTGCAGCAATGGATGTTTTCTGTACAATTCTCAGTGAAAGTAAGTCTTTTCTGTGTAACTGGCTTGTGTTCTGGCAAAGTGAGGGTGAGGATGAGGGGTGTCATTGCAAAGAGGAAGGATTTTCCTCTGTATTTCTTAAATTGTGTGCCTGCTCTTTTTCAGGATTCATACTTGTTGGTTCACTTTTCCAGAGCTCTTGTGTTGTTCAGAGATTTAAGACTGTGTAATACTTCCTATAATTGTATCTGCATGGGTTGTTATGCCCATATACAACCTTGGGGGAATTAAGGAGGGAGAAAGTAAATTATGCAACTCACATTTGTGTGATGTGAGGTACCGCAGTGGGTTGTCCCTGGCCAGAAGCTAAGCACACACTGACCTCTCACTCATTCCACCCCACAGTGCTCTGGGGAGAGAATCAGAAGGGGGAAAAAAAAAAAGGAAAAGAGGGGAAAAAAATCATAGTTCAAGGTAAAGACAGTTTAATAAGGAAGGATAAAAGGAGGTGGAAGAAAGGAAGTGGTACAAAGCAGCTGCCCACCCCATCCCAGAGGCAGACCAGTGCACCATCAGGAGCAGTGGGTGCTTTGGAACGTTGTGTTGCTAAGCATGACTTTATGTGAGTGGAATATCCCTTTGGCCAGGGTGGTTCTGCTGTCCTGACTGTGTCCATCCTGCCCACCCCTAGCCCAGCCCTCTTGCCTGGGGGCTGAGTGAAAAACAAAGAATTCTTGGATGCTGTGACAAGGCGTATTCAGCAACGACTAAAACATTGGTATTTTATCAACACTTCCTTGCTCATGAATCCAAAGCAGACTACCACAGGGCCTGCTATCAAGAAAATAACCTCCATTTAGCCAGGACCAGTGTGGGTATCCAAGACACAGGGAGTATTGGATGGTGTTGAAGAGATGGGCAGAGACACAGGAGTCAGGTTCCTTTTCTCCCCAGTATGTCTGCACCTATGGCTTGAAAAAAAACCTTGAAATAAGTCAGGAAAGCACACAAAGCTGAAGGTACAAAAAACCATCCACAGTCTCTCTGTGGCAGTTAGAAAAACTTCAGGTTTATATTTGGGATCTGTTTTGTATTAGAGCTGTTACCTTAAACTGGAGGAAGTTCTAAGGAACATAATACTTCAATGTTGAGTTTCAGGGAGAAGTGAACATCTGTCATCAGCCCTAGTAGGGATGGATGATTATTGTGCAGACAGTGATTGTTCTTGGTAATATTTTGGTTTTGTTGTTTTATTATGCTAAGGCAGCTCTGGAAACAATTAGGTTTAGAACTGAGAAACTAAAGGCAACAATAGGTAATGATGCTTTCTTGTTTGAATGGTCACACTGTCATTCTTCTTCAGCACAAATTGTCAAAAGCAGACCTGAAAAAAATTTTCATCTTTCTTTGCATGTTCCTTAATAGTTTAACAGTCAAGGTCCTCAGTCCCTTCTTATTTTTATGAAATAATTGAGGAGAATTCCTGTTTCTTTCAAGTTGTTATGCACATTAAATAGGAAAATTTCCTTCAACATTGAATGGTAAGAAGCAGAGAGCAGATCAGAACAGGATCCTAATCATGTTCTCAGTCATCCTGTGGAGGTACACCATTGCAGGTGCAGGGCACCATGGCTGGGCAGAGCTGCATCCTGAAAGCTTTCTTTCTCTGCTTCCCTTCCCCTCCAACTTTGTGGAATTCAGTCCTTCAGAGAGGACGGAAAAATAATTCTGTTCCACTCAAACCTCAATTTTACTGTTGGAATACAATCACTTCATTAATCCTGGGTCATATGATTGCTTGAGGCAGATCCATTTATCTAAGGCATTTTTGTCACTTGAATCTGATATTGTGAATCATTCCAGGACAACACCCATTACAGAGCAGTGTATTTGTATTTGAAGCTATTTATTACTTTAGTAATGCTCAACCCAGTTTTCTTTCTTTCAGCTTCTAAAGACACGTATCACAGGCCTTCCAAACCTAAAACATCACCCAGTCCACGTGTTCCTCCAACTAGAGCAAGTAAGCTTATCAATATTTGTCCTTTAGTGCAGGAAAGTTTCATCACTTTGAAGTTTTCAAAACTGAGGAGCTCTCTGAAGACACAGAGATACTTATTGTACAGGCTGTGCTTTGCTCTCATAATCAAATTTTGCTATGCAGCTGTCATGGAATAAGATACTCAGCTGGGTATCATACAGGTCAATGACACACAAAGGACAGGTGTGGGTTAACGCCCTTGCTCACAGGAAAATCTGCATCTTGATTTCCTTAGAGGGTGACAGAATATTTGTGACTTGCTTCTTTAAGAGTGTAAAATTACAGTACTTTGCTGTTCCCAAAAATTTTTGATATAGCTCTGTCAATTTGAAAATTAGAGGTAAATTTCCATGTTTCTTCTGCTTTGACAGCTTTGCTGTGGATTTTTGTTTTTTTTTAATGCAGAGTTGATTTGAATGAGCAGCAGGTTTTTGGAATATGAAACACTTGTGAAGCACAACTAGGAAGTATTAGAACTACAGCAGTTTACTCTGTAGAAAGCTGTGTTTGTTATTGATGTTAGGAGTGGAGAGTTGATCTGACACTGCGCTGTAAAAGTCACTTTGCTTTTGGTCTCTGCACTGGCATTGTATTGATTGCACTAACAGGAGATCTCCTTGGGATTATTTTAAAATGACAGAAATAATCCCTAAAAAGTTTCTTAGGAGAAAACTAATCCTCTGATTCATCAGAAAAATCGAAAGACATATTTTGAATCATCCTCCTCTACAATGTGTTCAAAACTTTGCACATCTTCACAGGTCCAAGAATCATCATCCTCAATAACAAATTCAAACTTTGCTCATTTCCACAGGTCCCAAAGAAAGTCGACGAGTCCCTTCCAAGCCCAGGGCATCACCAAGTCCGGACGTACCACACACAAAGCCTGGTACCTACATTGTTGTTTTGTTGTGCCTGAATGCCCAGGGGTCCTTTTGGGTTCTCTTTCCTCAGCGAATGCAGTGTTGATTAACTTTTCTTCATATTACAAATACATTCTCTGATGATCATTAAATGGGCTTTTCAAGGAAAACAGAGCTGATTTCTATTTTTAATGTCTGAGTTTTAGTAGTTGCCTCTGCTTTTCCGCCACACGTCTATCAATTTTTTATTTTTTTTTTTTTTTNCACACAACAAACATTATGAGAAGTTGGAAGAAATTTCATTTCTTTTGTGCCTGTCAAAAGATGCTTAGAGAAAAACCTATTTGAGAGCCTTTATATATGACTCCAAATACTCTCACTGAAGTCGCTCATAGGTTTGTGTGACCTGGTAAAGGAAGGTCACCCTTAAAAATAAACTTAATAGGAATTTACATGGTAATGAACTGCCAGACTCTGACTTCTAACAGTTCTGAGAGTATCCATTGAACATTATTTTGAGTGAGTGTATATTCACTAATTTTACAAAGAAACAGAAACAAAAAAAGAATGTTTTCCAAATTGAAAACAAAACAGTCATTTTAAAGGAAGTATTTTTACTACTAACTTATCCTCACCGCTAACTCTGGGTATCTTATTTTTTTTATGGAGTTTGGCATTTAGTACATTTACAGTTGAACACCAAAAGACAGCAGCAGGTAAATTTGTTACCTTGAACTGTTCATTATTATTTTTTCAGTACTCCTTGGGCCAATGCTTATATACCATTGGTCTGTTTTTCACATAATCTGTTTGTGGCTTTGAATTGTTTTCTTTTCTACTACCTGAACTATGTTCTATTCTGTTGCAGGTATTGAAAGATTCCTAGCTGGTTTCTTGTCTTCACATAAAATCTTTTTCCCTGTCACACACGTTGTAATTCCTTTGACACTTGTAGGAGACTAGCACTCCATGGGTATTGCAGTTAGGAGTTCTGAAATGCAGATGGAAATATATTCCCTGTACTTGTCTGTGCTCTTTCAGGCTTTGTTGCTTGACTCTAGATTTTTCTTACCTGATTAATTTTCCACGCATATTTTCATTGAGGATTTTGCTTTCTCTTGAGTTCCTGTGTGTATGTGACACTCAGTTTTTCAGGCTGTCATGCAGGGATTGTTTTTTCTTTGCAAGCATGTGACATGCAGTGCCTGTGCAACACACCTAATTTTGTCAAAGTATAAAGCCTTAAAACAGATCTTTTCTTTCAGCTCTTAAAGAACCACAACATATTCCTTTTAAACCTAGAGCAACTCCCATGCCGGATGCTCCATACAGGAAGCCTGGTAAATTATCTGGTCTTTTTGAAGCTTCAGTGGATAACTGAGCAATTGCTTTTGGGGTGGCAGTGGGGGGAATAATCATCAGTGCATCCACTGTTACCTGGTTATTATTCTAAGTTAAGAAACCTCTGCAGATATGCAATTAAATCTGACAGAAACTTCAACAGTTCAAGAGTTTTTGTATTTTATGCGTATATTAACAGAAGAAAAAGTATCTACCTATATTTTATAATCAAGGATAAAAAGTTATTTGCAGCTTCTATCTGAGCAACACATTTTAATAGTTTGCATCATGTTTTTGAAGCTCTTATGAGAGAAACCTCCTAACGGTGTTGCATTGCTTTTTCTTTTTACATGTATTTTCACCCAGATTAGAATGAGGATTCCCTTCAATTACATTTTGCTTAGGTGACTCCCCATCATAAATTAAACAGATCTATATAATATAATCAGTGATTTCACTGAAGGTTTGTTACTGTTGTTTCCTAATCATAAATTTCTGAGGGTAAATACCCATTGCTGTTTTAAAACATCTCTTTCCTGTTATATACAGTATAGTACTGAAAGGTTTTTGGAGAAAAGGAGGAAAGGGAGATGCCTTTCACTATTCAGATAATTTATTGACTTTTTTTCTCAACAGAGATTTTTCCAAGCTTTGATGAAGAAGATACTACTGTGATTCCTCATATTCCTGAAAGAACAAAAGCAACATTTGGTAACTGTTATTTCATAAATAATTATTCTATTTTCCACCTTTTTTAGAGAATATCATCTTAGAGAGAGCTCATTATATTTTATTAAAACCTAATAATGAAATTTTGCTCTACTTGCAGATACTTACTTGATCTTTGCTCTTGATAAGGGTGACAATGCATAAGTTCATTTACTTTCAAAGGTTCTTTTCTTTCTCTTCTAGCCTTTCCAGTCAGGATGATGCAATTCCTCCAGATGTTATCTATTTTTCAGTAAAAGGTGACTTTATTTAAAGAGCAGATAGTGATGTTTCACAGAATCACAGTCTATTCTGAGTTGGAAGGGACCCACAAGGATCATCGAGTTCCACTCTGAAGTAAACTGGCCCATCACAACCCTTGCATTTTCACCATGCTTTAACAACTGAGTTAATCTCCTATTCTTCATGTAAATTGTGGATAATTTCATTCTAAAGTACTCTTCTTCTTCACTCCTCATGGTTTAATTTTACAGAAAAAAAAAATATATATCAACAATGGCATAAAGTCTCCAGACCAGCTATGTGACCGTCTAAATCCCACTCTGCTTCTTTACCCATCTCTGCTTTCTTCTAGTTATGTGTTGGGAAAACTTGCTGAAATAGATGAAACCTTAGCTGGGTGTTCTTCCTTCTTAACTCAATTGTCAGATGTGGACCAAGTAAGGGTCACTGCAGTAAGCAGGAGCATTGCTTGAGCAGTTGTGGTTCAACAGTTATCTGTCCCCAGCTTCAGAGACAGACCTTGACTGTGATTTTCTGAGAATGAAATATTTAATATTTAATATTTAATGAAATATTAATAGGCATTTTATAATATTCAAACTATATTTATTTTCTTTTGGAAGATGAGGAAATTAAAACTGCTTTTAAACATGTTTCTACTGCAATATATATTCCCTGTATGCAGTGATACTTAGGTTAGTATTCATTCAGTACTTGTTCATCTAGCTTTATGAAGTAGGTGCCCTGTTGTAAACACCTGAGCTACCTGAGCCATAGTCACATGCAGAAAATGATTCTTCAGAGCAAGGGGGATGAAAACTGCACAGGCTAAGGCAGATCATCTTGGACCTCTCACATTGGTGGAGACCACAGACTAAAAAGTGCTAAAATAACCTTTTCCAGTAAATGATTCCTACATTTACTTACAAGATTTTTTTAATCTGAATAGTGTGAAGATAACAATGCTAAATCATTTCCACATAAGAACAAAATAATTTAATTTAGAAATCAACTTTGACAGTAATTTTCTACTGAAAAAGGAATCCTGTCCTCATATACTTATGTGTGGCAGATGAGGAAGACTCAGGCTGCCACTGTCTATTTTTGTCCTGTCACAGTATGAAGATGGTAATGATTCTATCCCAGACTGCTTGATGCAAAGCTACAAATTTGTGTATTTATTTTAGAAGTCTTCTTGTATAAGTGACCATTTAACTTGTTTTCCTTTCTTTGCAGGAATTCCAGCTTTCAGTTTATTCTTACATAATCTGCCTTATTCTAGATCAGATCATACCTATGTTTCCTGTGTGCTGTGAAAAGCAGTGCATTTTTTCAATTATTGTTTTGGATACTTTTTGTTTTTATTCCAGCTCCAACTGAAAAACAGTTCATTCATACCAAACAAAAAACAACTGAAAGACCAAGAGTGCCATACACCAGACTTGGTAATGGAGTCATTCTTTTAATTTTTTGTTTAATCATTCTTTCCCCAAGTTTCAAGTTTTGTGCTTCTTAATGGGATTACTCATAGCCAGTTTTGTGGTGAAACAATGCATTAAATTTCATATGATTAATCCAAAATAAGCCAAAACTTCACTACAAATAATAGTAAATATTTATAACATATACAGTGGTATTCCTCTGTCTATTGCACATAGCAAATGATGACTGAAACGTATTAATGAGGGTATTGACAAATTCCAGTGGCTAGGCAGACTGAGTTCTCTGTGATTACTGGTAATCTTGGGTGCTCTTCTGTGAGCATTTCTTTTTATATTTTCTTGAAATGCAGCAGACTTTCTTTACAATTTGCTTGTGCAGTTAGTAACAGACATTGCTGTAGTGAAATGAAAGTAGCTTAAAAATAGTTATGGAGGGCTGTGTGATTTCCCATTTTTGGTATAAATGCATAGCAGAAGTTAATAGAGAGATAATTATATGTGTCAGCAGTTGATTATCAAGATATTCTGCTGCTCCTTAGTTTGGGACATTTTGCAGGTTTTAGCAAATGCTAATTGTTTGGATTAATATTCTAAGATTTTTCACATTTTCTTCTTAACAGCAATATATCCGACAACTCCACAACCAATTGTCACAAAATCTTCTACTACTGGTCCATCAAGGGCAACAATGGGTAAATAAGTTTCCTTAACATTAAGATGCAGGTATTTCTATTTTTTCAGTGGAGAAATTTCTAGAGACCATGCTCCAATGTGGCATTTATGTAACACCATTCCACTATCATTTGTTCTGCTGCCACATGCACGTATCTTAGCACAGAGGATTCTCATTTCTATTTGTCAAGTAAAGCAAAAATAGCCTACAGCTTATGTCTGGTCAGAAATCTGTATTTGTCAGATCTCCAACCAAAATCAGTGGCCTAATTTTTCTTTTAGAGCAAGAATTTTAGCCACTAACTCAACTTATCCTACAGCACACTGCTGGGACTTTTCTGTGCTTTGGCTGGTCATTTTGTTCCAGGTTCCAGAAAGCCATGGAATTGTTGTTGTCTTTTTTTCAGGCATTTCCAGGCATTTCAGGCATGCATTTTCTGTGGGCTAAGTATGGCATTGGATCATGGCTCCTGAAGAATACAATAATAATCTTTTTCCTTTTCTTTCAGCTCCAAAAGAAACACTGCTCATTCCTTCCAAATCCAAAACATCTGTTGGGCCAGAAGTACCACAAACAAAACCTGGTAATTTACAGTTTGTAACTTTAGAAGTGTTGCTGTGGCACTGCCTTAGTTATATTTCTGCTCTCACTGAGTTTTGTGGTCATGCAGCATGCATAATAAGTAGATAGAATTTTATATCATTGTTCAGCTGAGAACTTGTTCATAAATTATATCAAAGTGAATGCCCAAGAATTGGATATCAATTCCATGGAAAGCAGTTAAATGGGTTTAGTAGCCATCAAAAAATGTGAGAAATTTAATTAATTTTAATAAAAATATATTTCTGTGCTTACATTCAAGAAGTTCTTTTGTTTTGGTGGAATTTTATTATTCTGAATGCATTTGATTCAATTTCTCAAGTACTTCTGAAAATCGGGCTACAGAGTTTTAGTCCAAGTTATTTACGTGCTAAGAGCAGAAGTGCCTCCAATACCAGTGATTTTTGCAGTAAGCATGGTAGATTCAGGGATGCATGCCTATAGTGAAGGGTGGTGATAGCTCAGCTGTACTATTGAGTGATCTGTTTCAGTAAAAATTGCTGAGGAGAAAATATAGTTAGGTTAGGAGAAACTACAGAGCAGCTCCTGAACTTTCCTTCTCTCTGATCTAACCTCTGAATTGATAAAATTTCATTCTTAGACAAATAGCTTAATGGATAATTTAGTAATTTCACACCCACTTCTTTCTCCTTGTCTGCTCGTTACAGCCAAAAAGATTTCAAGCAGAGACTCTCTTCATTCAAGAACTATATTCTATCTACACATATACCATATGAACATATATATTACTGTGAACATCAGATTGAACAGTCCAGGAAAAAGGACTGAAAAAGGAAAAATATTTCTAAATGCCTTGTTTTGCAAGGCTGTTCAATAACCAAGTTGGATTCCAAGTCTCAGCTGAATAAGAGCTATTTCCAATCATGTCATAGTTAACAAGTGCCATCTTTTGGCACCACTACAAATTTAGTTTTAGGGAAAGAATTTTAGAGAACAGAATTTAGAGGCTTAATTTTTGCCTTTTAAAGTTTAAATCATTATAAAGGTGTATATGCAAAACAAGCTACTGGTAGGAAAAATTGTAAGCAAATGTTTACTGTGAAATATAATGTAAGTAGGTTATTTTCCAGCTTCCATACTTTTACCTTATTTCTGAAAGACAAAGAGCCATGTAGTGTGTGCCTCTGCCTGCCAGTCTGTCCTTTTCATCCAGTAACTGAGAACTTTCAGTTAATTCATTCAAATTCGAGTGAGGTCTGAAAAATAAATACATTACTTAAAACTTCTAGAATTTTTTTGAGACATGTAAGTTAATCAACAAGTGGGAGAAAGACCAAAGACTGCCAGAACCCCAGGTTTAGGGCAAGTGTCCTGAGGTTCGTGGGGCCCTGCAGAGCAGTTGCCCTGTCTGGTTGTCAGCATGAAAATCCATCCAGACTAATCAGAATGTGTCTGCCTCGTGCCTGTTAAAATTGTCCCAGCAGATGTGCAGATAGGTTTTAAGGAAACAATGAAGACAGATCCTTCATGAAATCCAACTTCTTTAATTTGCCTTCTCACAGAACAATGGTTTATTTTTTATAGCTCCAAGGGCAACACACCTGGGATCAATTAACCTTGTAACAGTTCATGTTGTTGATGGGTCCAAAATAACTTTGGGTAATGAGAATATTACATCAGTTTATTTTTCATCAATCTTTACTTTCTCTGCTTTTGCTATATGGCTAAACCTACACTTTAATCAACAGAAATACCATAATATATCTTTGTCATGTTCATTTGTTAGTTACAGTCCAGTGCATGTCCAAAATGTTGCTGTTTTTAATTTTCCAAACATTTTTCTTATTCATGTGATTCTTTATAAAATAAGTATTATATGTACGAGGCTGAAGAGTCATGTAAAAAGGCATTGCCTTATCATCTTTTCTGATTTTGTCTTACTAATGATATATATCTTACCAGACACAAAAAGTCTTTTACATGTATAAAAGCATGATTTTCAGCCAGATTTCTAGCACTGACTCTTTTGTTTATGATCTGCACAGACAGTTTGAATTTCCTTTCCACCTGTGATGTTGTATGTTTAAAATGCAATCATTTGCATTTGCTAAGCAGTAATATGTCCATTTTCAGTTCCCAATGAAACATACCACATTTCACCCAGACCCAAAATTGGTCAAGCAACTGAAATTCCTTGGTTCGATACAGGTAATTTTTTAAGATTTTCTTAAGTTGTTGTATTGAGAGTCTGTAGGTCTTATGTAAAATCAGTGCAGTTTAATGTTTAATGGTCTGTTCATTACTACCTTTAAAATTGTTTCAAATACATATATGAAAACTTACTTTCCCCCTTATCAAATATTTTAGTTTATTGCACTAAAAATGCAATTTTCTCAATATTGTCTCAAATATTGAAGATTATATGAAGTTTTTAAACAGTATTAGAGCTGTGTTTTGTATACTCATATGTATACAGCGTTGCAAACATCAAGTTAACTGAGTTCCAACTTTTTCCTTGCAAAATCTACATCTGTAAAACTTCCCTATTCTAAATATCAAAAATGAGTAGTATGTTCTTTCCTGTATTTTCTCTGATGTTTTGGAGAGGCTGAAGTAAGTGTTATGGGTCAAATGTTTTATTTGTCTTGAATATCAAATAGCCAGCTCTACTTAAAAGAAGCTGATTTACAGACTTTGCTAATTGGGCACAAGATAACAGTGACTACTGCTTATGCTTTCAGCTTCCACAGATCCCATAGCATCTAGACTATCAAAATTATTTTGCAAGTGAAAGGCAACAATAAAAAAAAGGTTGAGGGTTTCTGATTCCGACCTTACTGATGACACTGTGCCTCAGCTGCCGTGCACAGTGTCTGCCTTGGATGCTCCCAGTTGTTTTCTCAGCAATATTTTGATGTTGCATAGTTTTATCTAAGTCTTTGGTTTGGGGGGCTTCAGTTCAGTGTTTTATTTTGAGGTTTTTTGTTTGTTTGTTTTTTACAGAACCTAATTAAATGTCTTAAGGCCATGGATACCTTGCAGAGCTAACTCTGTATCCATATACAGTTGGGTAACTGGCTGTAAATATTTTACATCTTTTTCCTAAACCTACATATGAATGTAACTGGTCAGACTGCATGATGGAGCCATCTGGCCACTAAAGAAACTAGCATTTTCCACATGCATTTTGGATTAGAACTCATAGAATTCTCATGTGTCCATTTTGCTGTATCACATTGGTGCATGGACCTTTTTTGTCTGGCGAATTGCACTGCTTTGTCCGTGTTCTGTTACACACAGCATTGAAACAGGACCTTATTTCTTTTAGCACCTCATAAAACTCGTCTCACTTCTGCAAGACCACGGCCATCAGATAAACCACAGACCAGACCTGGTAATAATAATGTTTATTCAGTCTGGGATGGGGAGGAGATGAAATAGTTAATTAATTTTATCTATACTTAGTGGAATTTTAAATCTTGCTGGGAGGAAAAAAAAGGGGATATTTTTTAATCAATTAATAAGTCTAGTGGTAAAGCCTTTCCCAGTCAGAAAAAAAATGAAAAAAGAAATGAAACCAAAACTACATGTGTCATCACAGCAGGTGTTACTTCTTCTCTAGAGTGGAATTCTTGGCATCACATAGAAGTCTGTTCAATATTTTTCTCATGCAACTTCTTTTGGTTTTTTTTTCTTTTTTCTTTTGAAACTCTCTCACAGCTTTTAGTAAAACCACACTAGCACCAGCCAGAACAAAAGCACCTGCACTGCCAAAGTGGATTGTGCCAACAACAGGTAGAGTTCTGGGTTTGGGGTGGTTTTTCTTAATTTATCAATAAAAGATTGGAATGTGACTTCCCCAAGTCATCTTGAGCCCTGCAAAATATCTCATTGTGTTTTATTACAGAATTTAATTCCTCAGAGTGCCATGTGTAATTGCTTCTACTAATCCTGTTATACAATTCTCGAGGGTGATTGTGCAATGCTATTGGCACTCAGTCTGTGTAAATTTACAGATTGATTACTCTGTGGCTGCTCTTTACTAATGTTTTCTAGATGTCAGACCCACAGTAAGTACTGGAAAATGCCTCATTGAGAAAGATCAGCCACTTGTTTGAGTCCAAGTCAGGAGGCTTGGTAGGGAAGCCTCAAAGCCAAGTCCCTCTCTAGTTACTCTGTGCATGTGCTGTGCTCACATCAAATCAGCATAATATTTTGACTGGTAATTCATAATGAATCCTTTTTTTTTTCCATAGAGCATTAATTTATTGCATCAATACAAATAGCATTGTGGATTTCTGTTTTTATACAGCCATTGGTTAATTAAATATATCTTTTGGGGATTCCTCATCAACATTTCAAGTTTAAAATTATAAATAAGTAAATAATGTACATATTCAAGGCAAACTTTTGGCTGACCACCCACTAAAAGTGCTATTGTTCCATATTATTGCTGGCTGCTGTTACTATTTCTATGCTAGCTAGATTAGGATAGCCTGAGTGATATTCCATCTATCCGAAACATTTTTGCCTGTGTCATGGTCAACATAAAGGTATTGTGGTTTGAAACTTTGTCTTTCTTTTCATTACTGCTTTACTCATGGCAGAACAGCAGTGTATGTTTCTGAAAAGAAAACAAAACTACTGCTTCCAACTAGATCATGTACAACATTTTGTTCATTCTCAGCTGACATAACTCAGAAAAGATTATGAATCTAAATTAGGTTCTGAGAAGCAGAATAGAGGTAGGTTTTCTCTAGAGACAGTAACATGCACAAATAATTTAGACTTGTGATATACACTTGGGTGATTTGGTGTGAATTAGTCAAAGTGCTGCCATGTTTTGTTTATGTTCACTAAAAGGTGCGCTGAGAAACTAAAGAAGCTCTAACTATACCTCCTGATGTACAAGTTTTTGGGTTTTTTTACAGCTGGTGCTGGTCTTCTCATGCCTTTTCTTCCTTGAACATCATTGACATGAAACATTATCACTCTGGTGTTTTGTATAGCTGAAGATCTAATTAATATTTTTAATTACCTGAAGGCAAATTGCAGTTATATATGATATGTTCAGATATTTTAGACATGGGCACCAGGTCACCTGCATCCTGTTCCCAGCTTACTGCAAGTCTAACTCCCAGCTTACTTTAATCTTCAGTAAATTATTTATCATGTATGGACTGTGGATTTGTGAGGAACATGCAGCAAAAGTGATCAAATAGTAAAGTAATTCAAAAATTATCTGCTGCATACCATTAAAATACTAGTGAAATATCAAAACAAATTGAGAACCAAATGATAAATCTATTAAATCTTTAGCTAGAGTGATTAGATCATGTTTGAACAGGTTTGGAATTTGATAATTAAATTAATATTGATTTTTTTTTAATATAATGAATTTTAGAGGTTTTTATCTTACATCATGAGCAAGGGTGCAGGGCAGTTTTTCCCACAAACATTATGAAGTTGTAATGCATCTTCTTGCTTTACTATATATACAGTCTTTATAAAGCAAACATACTTGCCTTATGTAGAGACAGGACATTAATTTAACAGTTTGACTGCCCTATAAATATCAGCACATGAAACAGTTGTTCTGTACCAGGAGTTGTGTTGATTTTTTAATGCCACTTGCTTTTTAAAAAATGTGTTTATATAACTTTTAAGTAGGACTTTCTCTTATATACAAACTGGATGTTGTGTATACTTTGTCCCCTGTACTCCAAATATGGTGAATATATTTGGTCCAGAATTGCTTTAACCTTTTAATATGGAGGATGACCAGAGATCATGTAATGGGGAGAAGGATAACTTTGCCCTTTGCAAGAATCAATGGACATTTTATTCTTTACAGTGAAAAACTAGAATGTTCTCTCTGCTTATTTTTCTATCTTGGTTTAACTCATCTGTTACTTCTTCATCGTATTAATTTTCTCTTTCCAAATATACTTTACTCAAGGAATGTTTAAAATTAAACTGCAGCCTTTGTAGAACCAGATCACTTTCCGCTTATCTGAATAAGAAGGTAATGGGTTAAGTTATCAGTAAAATCATGGGTGAGGCACACGTTGGCTTTGCACATCATGTCAGCTGGAGTTTGAACATATTCAATATACAGGTATACCATGATTTGGTGCCACACTGTTGATACTTACTTCATTTCCTTTTTCTCACAGATGACCTTTATACACCTGAGGCTACTGCCAGACCAATTGACATGGGTGTCAAAAGACCTCCAGAATACTTTGATACCTGGCAAAAGCCAATTTCTGGTAAGGTTAATAAATTAAACAATAAAGCCATTTTTAACAGTTGTTATTAAAAATAAAAATGCTGCCTTTTCTGCTCACAAAGCACCTCCACTGAGAAGAAAAAATAATTCTTAATCATTCTCATCAATACACATTCTTATGGCTTCAGGATGCTACTAAAAGAGATAAAAATAGGAATAATTTATAGCCAGTCCTTAGACACTTACATATGCTTAGTCACTACATATGGTAGAAATGTTCACCACCAGAGTTGTGTCCTTATGATCTAGCAGCTACAATACTGTAAGCACTGATTTTTTTCATGTTAATAGTTTCCACATAGCAAAGGTGAATAAGGTAAAAGCATAATCAACTTGTATGGGGAATGTATGTGCAGTATGTGCATAACCAGCATATATGAGGAAGTTTCACTGAATATTGGGATTGGAACAATTAGAACATTAGACTTGAAGGAAAATAACAATGTGGAGTAAATCAGGTTACAGGTTTTTTACATGTGTAAGACTTAAAAGGTTCACTCTTCTGGCAAGTCTTGCAATCATGTTTTCAAAACAATCAAAATATTTTAACTGGAACATAGATACAACAGGTAAGTACCCGATGTGTAAAGAATTTCCCTATTTCATAAGCATAATCAAGGACTAATTTGCTTTAGCTGTGGTTTTTTTCTGACATAGAAACTGACTGAAAATGAAATCTCTTGTTTTACTCTTGGATTTACTACTCAGCTGCAGATGCTCCTTTTAGGTAGCTTCATCTTTGAGAACATGTTACTGTATTTTAAAACACTATTTTATAAACTGCTGTGTGTTCCCAATCCATGTTGAATTTCCTTTCCACCTAATTTACCTCTACAAAGATAAGAGCCTCTCTTGATGGCCAGGTTCTGATGTTTTATCATTTTTAAGTTTATTCAGTCTGACCACTGTACTTTGCAAAGATTAGGTCTAGTGTGATGTGCTAGGCAAAGTGTAAACTCAAAACAAGGGTGATATTCTGCACTTTTTGTTACTGAATGTCAGGTAGTGGAGTTTCCTTTAGTAAATCCAACTTGTGATTTGCAGAAACTTGAAGGTTCTTTTATGCACATAGATTTGAAGGGACATTAAGACCAACTTTTACTTGTTTTATGGCATTTGATGTCTAAAGTTAAGCTTTTAGAGTTTTGAGGTCAATCAATACCTTGTCTGTGTTTTGTCTGCCCTAAGAGGCTGCTCATTCCTCACGAGTGACCGAGTCAAGGACTCACAGTCCATAATAAGCCTAGAGATTAGTAAATCCAAATATTTCACCATGTCGTCGTCCTACATTCACAAAATCCCAAAATTCTATTGTGCATCCTAATTTACAAGTCCAGTCTCCACACACTGGTAATTAGTTTTGGTAGCACCATCGACCAGCGCCCAAATCATCATGAGAAGTAGCAGAAGGGAAAAGTAGGAATTCCTGGTTTTCCAGAGTACAGATTCACTTGAGACCCAGTACACTGAATGCAATGTTTTAGTTTGCCTGTAACTGTTGTAGTTGTGCTGCTCAGAAAATAGACAGAGACCACTGGCAAGTCAGTACTTGCACATTCTTACTTCATAAACATCTTGGACAATCCCTTCTCTAATTATGGGCAGGTAGAAAAGTAATGAATACTACCATACAGTAATATCTAGGGTATGATAACATATATACAAGAATTTCTTATACTTTTTCAGGCCTTAAGCATATTTTTTTCATCTCCATCTGGAAATTAAGAATTACTATGAAACCTACAAATGCTATTTTCAAAATCACTACATTCTCTTAAATTAGATAGAGCATTATTTTCTGTCTTGATCTGAGGGATTTAAAAAAAATAATAGCAACTGGTTTTTTTATAAGTGACTACAAGAGTCCAAAAAGGAAAAAAGAAGAGAGAGAGATGGAGATATTCCTGTTTGTATATTGTAAATATTTCCAAAAAAGCTCTCCTAAATGAGTCTTTGGATCTGCTCCCTTCTCGCCCACAATCTCTCTGTTTATAGGGTAAACTAAGGTCTGATCCACAGGACCTGAGGTACCTTATGGAGCCAGTAATTCAGTATCAGGCAACTTGCATAGTTGTTGACATTGGCAGCCTAATGAGAATTATGCTACTCTTGAGGATTTTCTCCTTTTAGGTACAAAAAGGCTTTTGTTACATAAATGTGTTGCACATATCTCCTGGATTTTCTTAAGAAAAGAAGGGCAAAGGAACAAAAATCTTTTCCTTTGCCTTTGCATAATAAAATGTGTCATAATTGTCTGGAAAATACAGTAAAATTATTTGTAAGTATGAATTAAGGGGTTTAGGTTTTTCTTTTAGACCTCACTGTCAAAAGAAATTATCGGATAAATGTAATGGGTACTGGCTGGAGCTGCACATTGAAATAACCAAGTAGAGTGCTTCAGAAATTGAGACAGCAGTAATTGACTTTAGCCATGTCAGTGTACAAGGTGACAGTAACTTTTTTCAGTTTTGAATGACACAGAATAAAGTGTTCCTAATGATAATTTCATTTTCTTACATCTTTTGCTTCAAGCTGAGGGTGGCCGGTTGTATTAGTCAGAAAGAGCAAGAGGTCAGAAATTTTGTGAGTAGGATACTGACGATGTTTCCTAGCACATTGAGTTGATGTTTGTTGTGTGAAGATGTATCCATTTGAATGCCAAAAAACTACTGTTGACAAAACTGAGTAACTGCACAGAAAGTGAATCACTGAAACACTTGTGCAAAATCTCAAAGGAACTACATTTGTTCAGTTTAAACTTTGTTTAAAACTTTGTGGCACACAGATCTCAGTGATTTAAGGCTGAAAATACAACTCGGATCAGCTCCTAATCTCACCTCTCCACTTTTGGTATTAAATCAGACAGGAAACATTGCTTGAGAAGTCAGAATACAACTTCTAGTGTGTTTCTGCTTTTATGGAATTTGAGGATAATTAATTAATATTGCTGTCTTGTAATGTCATTCAGTGACCATACCACCTGGCCCTCAGCACCCTCCTATACCTCCTGCCAGACCCACACAAATGAGAAGAAAGCCTCTGCCTCCTAACACCGTGACTGGTAAACCAGGGAGTCCAGGTATTTCAGCCTTTGCAGCATAAATATTTTATCTGGCTAGCAGGGTATAGGAGAATTCTATAGCACAGATTTCTTTGATCTGTGATATTTATAGAAACTAGACTTCTGGAACATACAGGCCTTGTGTCTTTTGTCTTCTTACAAAGACCCTGGGTTTTTTTCCCCTAACCTAGTTATATCGAAATCACGCCTAGTAAGGGAGCTGAAAACAAAATAGCACACTCCAAGTCGTCCTTTAAGATCAACCTTAAGAATATTTAATGTCTACTAATATTGTTTTTGCTATTTAATGTGCATATTGAATGGGAGATGTTGACTATTGTGCTTCAGTGCCTAGTACTAACTGGTTATTTATTATGGAACTGCTCATATATATATGGTACATGCATTAGCTACTGCAAAAAATGAGCTAATAGTCACCCAGAGAGCTAACTGCACTGGGAGGTAGAGCAAGCTGACTTGTGTCATCTGCAGAGTTTAGCTTGATTATTGTGCTAAAGTATTCTGGCTTCTCAGTACTGGTTTAAGAGGACATAGAAACTTTCACCTTTCCTATTTTATTTTAAGTTAATCCTGAAGCAGGTATTCAGTATCCACATGGATGTTCTCTTAGTGGATTCCATATAAGAATCCTTAGGCTAACATTATTCCATGTAGTCAGAAACTATCATCTCCTTAAGCCTAACATCATGACAGTTTTTTTCCTCTTCATATTGATCTCTGTAGTTCCTTAGAGATATATTAGAATATACAGCTATATATGAATATACAGCTATATATGAATATACAGCTCTACTGGATTTCCTATTGTGGATTTTTCTTTTTTGTTTATTTCATTTGGGACTCTGTGTGCTATTAAGGTACTAAAGACCTAAATAATATTTTAGTATTTTGTGTGGCAGATGAGTAGCAAGAATCTCCAGACTGGATGAGGCAGTCTATATATTTATTCATCAGCAGAGCCAAGATTGAAATACTGTGTCTGTACTTGTTTTAGGGTGGTGTTTCCTTAGTAATAGTTCTGAGAAAACAGTCCTAAAACCTGATATATTTTCTTTTGCTTGTGCTGGGGTCTATACTAATTCTCTCCATTAAGTGTCTAATTAATTTACCAGTGTTTTGAAATTTCAGCCTTTTTCCTTATGGTGGAGGCCAGGTTATGTGGTAGTCAGCATTTGCCATACCTTCCTAGGCTTTCAAGATGGAATAAATTGGTTAAATGATCTGGTTCTTCCTTGTGGGGACAGTAGATTTTCCTTCTTCTGTATTTCCTAGTGTTTTATCCAGCTTAGTTTTAAACATTATAATTTTGTTTCTTCTGGTTCCCTGGAGAGACAGTTCCACTGTAGTAACAGGAAAAATTTGCCTCAATGTTCTTCTTGGATTTTCCCTGTCAGAATTCTGTCCTCTTTCTCTTTAGCACCATGATTAATTCCTTACTTGCATCTTTCTAACTCATCCAGTGGATATTATGGAAAGTTTTCTATGCAGACATTAAAAGTCTCCTGAATGGGTAAAAAAATGGAAATGAGAGTTCCAGAAACTTTGTGAAACTGAACTCTAGCGAGAATCTTTCAGATTTCCACTCTATTAAGAAAATTAGTGGAAAGCAGGGATTTTTGTTGTCTTAAACTTGGCTCACCAGAGTTCTGTCTTCAGTTGCCGTGTTCTGTATCATATATGACAGGGAGGTAACTACATTATATAGTTCTCGACTCTTCAGAGTTGAGATTTCGCTGTCATATCATGGTTATCTGGGAGTATCTGCATGTTTTATGAATTTAATTCTTGTCTTTTACAGCTGTTATGCAAGAAATCAAGACCTTTACCCTGGATTGTTTGCCTCTTAGAAACCTGTTTTCTTTATTAGGTGGTAACAGCTGAAGAATATCAGCAACGTCACATAGCCTAAAATACTTTTTTAAAATAGTTGTCTAATTATAAGTGATAATATTGCCTCTATCAGTTAGTTTCTGCCCAGACTTGTGGAACCTACTACAGAAATGAGTTCATCAAGAAAACTTTCCTTCTTGAGTGATACAGTGCTGTAAATGTTGAAAATGCTGGACTTGGCTGCATTTTCTTTGCTTTCATTTGAAGTGTATCTTAATTTCATTTAGTGGAAGCTCCAGTACTGTTCTGTGGTTAAACCCTCAGTGCAGACCACAGTTATGGACTTGGTGTTTATCACTAGAAATGTTCCAGCACCACTAATGTATGTGCTGTATTGAGAGCAGAAATTAACCTTGCCTATATTTGAGGGAAGACTCCAAGTTTCAGTTGCTGACTTCAGCTTTTGTGCCTTGCAACTCAGGAAGAAATGTGTTTTTTCTTCAAGGAACAGCAAAGTCAGTGGTGGTCATTGTGCATCCTTTTATCAGTCTGTGTAGGATGGTTCTGTGCATTAAGCCAGGTTATATTCTAGCCAAGTAAAGCCCTCCAAGACAACCTCAAAGTAGCAATGAAATTTCTTACTGGGTTTCAGGATTGGGTTACATTTGCAGCTAGCACAGTTCAGAACTTTCCTAAATCCAGCTGAGGCATTTACTATGATTTGAATGAAAATACTTGTTGCATGAAGCAGTTGTCACAAAACTGAGTTCTCTTAGAAATCTGAAAGCAGTTTTGCTCCTTCAAATGCTGAATGTCTTGTTGCTACAAGTCCCTCCATCTGTCACTATAGCTAAGCCTGCTGGACCAACACCACCTGTGAGGACAGGAACATTATATAAGACACCAACAGCTTTTGCAACTCCAGAGTATTATGGTAAGCATGTTAGAAACAGTTCTGGTTTATTTTTTTTATTTTTTTTTCTTTCTTTTTTTTTGTTTTGTTTTGTTTTTTAATTAACATTAAAGTTCCTGTTTTTATTTTGCTTCCCTTCCCTGAACTTTGTTGATGCACTGTATATTTAACATAAAACGTTTTAGTCCGGAGTAATTCTGATTTCTTTTATGCCACTTAGTGACTTTTCTGATTTGACTGAGCTCTAGCTCCCTTCTTGTACACATCTTGGTAATTGAGAACATGACAAAGCTTCCTTCTTCCTAGGAATCCATACATACTCAGTAGGCTTTCAATACAATTCTGTGGCTAATTAAAGCTGTGAACAAACCAGATAAAGGCACTTCTTTTCCTGGATGTTTCAATTTTCCCAGGACATAAATTCAACATATTACTTGTCAGTGACTGACAGTGCTCATCATGGATGGGGTAGCCTCCTTTATTTGATCAAACTGCCACCATTTAAATAGAAAAAAATTGTAGTAGTGCTATCATAGTGGGCAGTGGGTAATGTGCCCTTTATGAAGCTGGGAGTGGCTTACAGATTCAGAGCTAAGTCTTTTCAAGGTGGCATACCTGGGTTTGGAGGAGGATGTGCTTAGAATTTTTGAGCCCAAATGTGCAGTTCCTGGTATATTGTCATGAATGATGCTGCTTCTTATTTTGCTGGATTTATAGTAATACTTAAATTCTTGTCTCCTTACAATGAGCATGAACTCACTGTGACCCACAGTGCCCAGTAAAGCATGCTGGGTGCTAGATTTATTTATAATTGCTTGTTAGGAAGGTATTGTGTTTTATCTGTTGAGGTCCATTGTAGTATTTGCATCACGTTCAGTGTAGTGATTAATTAATACAGCATTGTATCATGAATCCTGACTGCTTTAGCACATTTCTCTTCACTAGTGTATTTGCTTTCAATTTCCTTCAAATTTCATAGAAGTTGTACACTGTGAAGACAGAATTTTTTTAATTTCCTCATTTTCATTTCTAGAGAAGTTACTCTGCCAATGTAATAATTCTATATATCCCAGAAACATAAAAAAAAGCCCCAAGCTAAACAGCCAGCACAGTGCAAAAAAGATCCTTTTTCCATGGCTGACCTTCTACTTCCTTACCAAAAAAATTAAATTAAAGTAAATGCAAGACCATAGTCTAAAAAGTATTTTACATATCCTGCATGAACTAAATCCAGCAGCAGTCATGAAATCTGTCATTTTGATTATGGCTGGCTGTACTAGCAGGTAAGTACAGGGCTTACACAGCATCTCAGAAAAAGTACCCAAAATGAAGAGCCAGATCTGGTAGCAAATTCCTACCATTTGTCTATTCTTATAATTATTTAAAATTACAAAGGTGAAATGCTGCAGTTCTAACACTGAAACTTTGTATTTATTGCAAATTATAACTGTATTTTTCTACAGTTGATGAAACTGTCTTCAGCTCAAGTCCTACATCAGAAACAGATTCTTCAGGAAAACCAAGGTACCAAGGTAGGATATTCATAGCTATTAGTATTTTTATTTTAGGGAGCATATGAAGTCTGAGCTATCTTGCATCAAATTATCTTATTTGGTTATTCAAAGGCCAACATTTTATTTGATTCTCTGTCACTTTAGTGGCAGATGTAAGAGCTCTAGTACAAACCAGCATTTTCTAGACTGAATTTTACTTTTACTTTCTGGACTAAAGTTATTGCTGCTTCTGGTAAAACAGCATATGTGATGCCTTTGTATTAGTGTACCCCTCAAAAGCTGCAAGTCTTATTTTATGATATGATTTTTAAGTGATTTTTCTATTTTATGAGAGATTTTAATTCTTTCAAGCAGTGTGCATCACCTGTTAATACCTTCAGAATGTCATTTCATCAGTGGTGCCAGTGGGAAGGGGGTGAAGCAGTGCAGATTCCAGGTCAAACAACAATAAGTAAAATAATAAAAACAAGCAAAAAAACAAAACCCAAAAGTGTAAAATCCAAACCAAACAAACAAAAATGAGAAGCAGCTTGCTATTGAATCCATGGGGTTTATTCTGGAAGCTTTGTGTTTCACTTGTGCAGACTTTTGCTCGGTGTCCTGGGATGGATGTTGTGCACCAGGTGAAATGGCATTGCCATTTTGTAAAAACACTGTACTGAATAATTCCCATTGTTCTTAGCCCCTCATGTCAAGTACATGAAGAAGGATGATGATGTGCCTTGCTCCATCACAAGCTCTCTGGAACATTTTCCTCAAGAAGAAGTTGGCAGCAAGGAAGAGCCCACTCGTCCTCCACAAAATCCTCCGACCAACCTCACGGTGGTGACTGTAGAGGGCTGCCCATCCTTTGTCATACTGGATTGGGAAAAACCAGACAATGACACTGTTACTGGTTGGTTTGATTTCTTTCCCCATTGTGTGATAATATAGTATTTCCAGCTTAGTTTACTTTCCCAGTAGTTTTTTGCCATTTAAAAGTACTTTAATCCCCAGGGATTAAATGAGCTCAGTGGTTTGGGTTTTTTTTGTGCTACTGTCAGCTGAAGTATGGGTAAGAAAATGCTACTAGATTATAACAAGATTTACACAACAAGGATCACTGGTGTCAATGATGACATGAAAAGGTACTTAAATAGGAGTCCATATCTCTTCCAATTTTCTGTCTCCTCTCTGTACAGGAGAAGATCTAGTCAAGAAGTTCCAGCAGTACAGCAGTATATCTAGATGCACACTGATAATTTAGGCATCTTTCTTGACCTGAGGCTGTTGTTTCACAGTGGGCCAGACACAAAGCTTACATCCATCTAATCAGTAGAATTTTGCCAGCATACTACTTGCAATATTATGACCCACTGCAAGAGGGTCAACAAGACCACTCTGTTAAAAGAATCTGGGTTTTTTTTATTTCTAAAGGAAGGGGTTTATATTAAGAATAAATGCCTGTGAGTCATGCAGGACTCAGCACACAGGTAAACATGCAAGATGGCCATTCTTAATTCTTCCATCTTCTTCTGTATTTCACATTAGCTGACAAAAATTTGAACATTGAAGTTAACTAACAACCCAGTAAATGACTCATCAAAATCAATTCTGAAGTCAAAAGAAGGCATTGAATCCTGTTTTCTGAAAACAGCGATTGCTTCATATTGGCACCAGTACATTACTTGTTTAGACAGGCTTAAACCAATTTTGCTGTCATCTCTTTCTATTTCTGTAGTTTATGCATGTTTTTCCAATCATCTTATTTAAGCATCACATCTCTTTTTTTAAATAAATGCACTGTCTCAGATAGAAAGGTGGAAACAGAAAACATAATTTCTTGCATCATTTTGCTTTTTGAATCCTTACTTTGCCTGACTTTAACTGTGTACAATGGGTTTTATTGGGTACGACCAAAACCAATGTATAATGGAAAGGTCTGACAAATAACAACCAAAACAGTGATCACACTCACCTCTTTGTTTTCATAAAAACTGCAGGTGTCAGGAACCAAGACCATTCTGCTCACACCTTGCTCCTTTGTGTTGCCACAGAAATAAAGGGCAGTTTGTTGCTTTGTGCACTGGGTAACAAGCAGGCACTGGATGCAGCCAGTAGTTTTTGGTGTCTGTCTGTGTGTGCATGCACATATTTGCATGCTCAGTCATTTCCTGCTTTTTCTTTTCCAACTTGAATGAATTCAAAAGTCCAAACTGTATGTTGACTTCAGGCTGGCAAAAGGCAGAGAGGTTGCATCCCTGTAAAATTGCATACTCATTCACTATCTTGTTGTATTTAAGAAGTTCAAGTAAGATATGTTACTTGATCTAATTTTTCTTTACTGTAATTTTCCAGAGTATGAGGTTGTGTCAACTGAAAATGGAGGAAGTGATGGTGAAAAGGAGAAATCAATTATCACTACAAATCAAACCCATTCTACTGTGGAAAACCTAAAACCTGACACAAGGTAGCTAAAAAATATAATTTTCTAGGTTAATCCAACTAATTTAGACTCTCAGCTGTCTGCCACATCAAATGGTAATACCTATGGAAATAAGACCAAATCAGTTTTAGTCCTGTTTTGATAGGAAAAAAAAAAAGGAAAAAAAAGTATGGTTTGGTTATCTTTCTTGTAAGTTAACAGATAAAACATATTTGAGGAATCTTTAGGAAATTTCCAAGAGTGTTTGTGGTCTGGACAAGCTGCAGAAGTGACCTGTTGTATCAGAAAGACTACTTGTCAAAAGTAAGAAAATTACTGTGGAGAGGAAAACACGTTTGTCCTGAATATGTACGTTTGTTTCAGCATCTAAAAGAGCTGGCAAATTAAAAATGAGTAAGTGAATTCCAGATCACAATGTGCCTCTCATGCAACTAGTTCAATGCTTATGCTTATGCATGATCTATCTTTAAATATCAAATCTCATTAAAAAGTATTCTACTTTTTATAGTAAAATTCAGAGCAGAGAAGAAAACCCATTGTCTTTTGTTACATTGTTTGTTAATTGATCAGAAAGTTAATGAGTGACACTTGGGGTTTTTCCTGCAAGACCGTCCATTTGGCTTTGGTGAGTGGATATTTCTGTTTTAGACAATCTAAGATACAAAGGGATAACTGTTCCTGAGCAGGGGGCAGCTACCATTCACCAAGCCCAGCCTCAAAAAGGAAAGGCAGTGAAAGCCTTTCTGAACCCAGAGGCTACTGCCCAAAACTGAAAACCTTTGATACAAACTGCAGTGGTGCCTGTCCCCCAGGGCTCACCAGATTTAAGGATGTAAATCCTCAGAGCGGCTTTGTTCAACAAAACTCCCATTCCAAGCAAAATGTGCATTTCCTAATTTTGAGGATACCTTGAGAGCTTTGGCAGAAGTGCAGGAAGGTGCTGTTACCACTTAAATCCAGGCTTGCCTGCACGCTAAACTGAGGGAAAACAAAAATGTGGTTAAGACAGGTGGCATCGTGTAGACAGTATCTGTTCTGCCAAGAAACATCACATGTCCATAATAAAAGTCTTCTATCAGGAGCTGCTCATTAGATAAAGGAAATGGGCTTGTGGATAAAACTGACTGTAAATGGGAGGAAGAGCAAAAATTAAACACAGCTCAATATTTATTAACAGAGTCCCTGGTATGTTTAAAAATTCATCAAGAAATACGTTAAGGCTGGGAAGGAAACTTTTCCATAACTAGCCTCAAAGGGAAGAGCTGTAAAAAAGGTAGAGCTGGAAAAGAAACTTGGAAGAGAAATAGAAATCCCTCCCACAAGTGATCAGCACTTGCAAAACTTCCAGCAATATATGTAAAGAGAGATGCTCAGTAACAGAAGGTGGATTAACTGGATCCAGAAAAAAAGCACTGGCTGAAGAACCTCTTGGCCTGGGAACACTTAGGAGAGCTGACAAGCTGAATTAGAGACCCTAATTTTTCCATCTTTCCCGAATCTCACAGTGAGGCTTGTGTGAACCCCCTGTGCTGAAGGTCCAGTGCATTCAGAGCTAAAGACAGCTCAGGAACCTAAAGCAGACAGACTGAAACAAAGACTTCCCAAAAAGGCATTAAAAGGTTTGAGAATCTGTCATTAGGAGATAATGGCCAGACTTTAAATATTTCAGGAATTTGGACAGTGTTAGGGAGGCAACAAAGAGGCTTTTACAGTCACCCATCAAAAATTCAATGTGCAACTGCAGCTGTCAGTAACTACAAACCCAGAGGTTCCGTGGGATGAGGATTATGGTGTAGTGTCCTGAGTATCCATTTAGCTGTCTGAAAAGTGACTAGATCCAGAAAAAATGCACTGGCTGAAAAAAGAGTTCAGACTTTACAGTTATCAAGTATTTGATTTTAGCAGACTCCTACCATGATAATTTGGAGGTGGAAATGAAAATGGACTTTCATAAGTGTACCACAACTTGTGAAGGTTCATTTTAAACAAATTAAGTTGCGTATATTATGGAAGTTTGATGCCCCTCTGTCTTATATATGCCACCTTTATGTGTTCCTGGTGACTTTACTGCAAGGCTGATACTCTGAGATGAAGGTAAAATAGAGATTTGAAAAACTTCTGACTGAGGACATAGACCCTTGAAATAAAGGTGGAGCACAGTCAGCTGCTTTCTAATGCAATGGGTTGTTTGAGGGTTTTGTCTTAAAAAATGTTTTAGAGCCTCCTGTACAAAGTGATTTCATTGGAATGCTGAGATCCATATGTTTTTTGCCCAAGGAAAGACATATCATATCTGTGCCATTTTCCTACAGTAAAGCATGCCTCACTGTTGACAACCACACATTAATTTAAAAGATTTTTCCTTATAGGACAAATATTTTATCCTCTTTTTCACCAAGACAATTGCCAAATATGGTGATTGCAGGATTTCAGATCTTAGAAGAATTCTGATAGTTTAAATAATCCAGAAAGATCAAATTTGATATCCATTATTTGGTCAGTCAGAGTTCTTGAAATTGGTATTCTTGCTGTCAGTAAACTACTGATTGGCTTCAGTCTAGAATTCTGTTTAATTTAATCAGATTTACTTCTGGTTGTAATCTTTACCTGAAATATCTTTAAAATATCTGTAATCTTTACCTGAAATATCTCAAAGTATGTGGTGTTGGTATGCTATGTGAGCTAGATAATGATATGCATCTTCCTTATACAGACAGCTCACTGGATATAACTAGTGCCTGAAGAAAACTTCCTCTTCTTTTATGAATGTCTTCTGCTTAAACATTTCTCTTTTTGATGTGCTTCTGTGATCTAATATTCACATATACAGTGTTGATTATGACTGCAGTCAGCTTCTGCTACCCTTCACATTATTTCCAAGGACTTCAGAGTAGGTCCAGGTCACATTTTACTCAACCCCCTGTTCAGTATCACACTAAAGCACACACCAAACTTTCTGCAGTTTTTGCCATCTTTATTTTTCTGTTAATGAAAAGATTGTAACAACCAAATTCCATTTATTCTTCTTTCTCCTGGTTAGTCTGAACATAGCCAGCTATGTCCCTACTGTAGTTGGTGAACCCTGAGCTCAAAGGAACTAAACCCCTGTCATGAAAAGGGGCTTAGAGCAGGTCACCTTCAGAGGTGTCTCACAACACGTCTTACTGTCAGATTGGACTTTAGGGGCAGTTTCTGGGCTTGCAGATCTCAGTTTCCTCCAGTTTCTTTAATGCAGGCAGAGTGGCTTTGTGTGTTAATGCAAATATCATTTCTGTCTTAGCAAAGAAAAATGAGAGAAACAAATGCACTAATATGAACTAACAATTTTTCATCCTCCACATGGAAATTCTGTGATTCTTACAGTGAGAAATGCAGTGTTTATTCCACTTGGAAGAGAGTCAAGCTGCAAGACTGATGGTTTTGGTCAAAGTAGTTACAGTCTAACTTCCAAGCAGCCATTTGAGGGATGAGACCTGCAATATTCTATCTAAATTTTCATACAGGTCTCATGTTTCTGAGTTTCCTTAAAAGGCTGCTCACATTGGAACTCCCAGTAGCATACCCAGGACTCTGCTTTTTCCTTGTTGTATATTAAAATTTCATAAGAAAGCATTGCAGTAACTTCTCCTATATTAATAGTCAAGGAAGATCTTCCATATGTGAGCCAAGATAAGGTTGTTATCCACAATTTTCAGTATTTTTTTTCCTTGAGCTGCCTGTTTGCTATAAACATTGAGAGGCCTGAATGAGAAATGGGCTTACTGTGGTTTTTGTTGTCTTAATTCCATGTCTTGTGTAGTAATAATGGTGCTCCTCTGCATATTCTCCTTGGAAAAAAATTGGTTTCACTGACCTGTAGTTTTTTCATGGACTTTCCTAGCCAAAAATATTAAATGCAGATGTTGTTTGGGTTTTTTTTCCAATGAGATTTTTTGTTATTTCTGCTGGTTTCTCTGCCAGAATATGTAGTTTTTATTTCTGTATCTTGGAACCCTTTTTTTCAGTCAGTGTACATTTTCTCTTTCATTCTAGTGGTTTGCTTAAGGGCAGTGTAGCCCATAGCACAGACCAGGAAGTTCTACAGCCCAAATTTCTATACAAGCCTTCAAAAAAGAGCCTGAAGACTGCTGAAAACTGTTCTCATGCATGTTGTGATGGCAGTAATTGGAAGGTAGTTAAGCCAAATATTAAGACTTGTCACAAATAGCTCTGGGGTAGTTTGAGTAACCATTGGAGGATGTGTCCCACCAGCCTACTGCTGCAGAAAAAGAGAATTAATAAGAAACAAAAAGCCTGTGATGCTTGCATTCCACAGTTTTGTATAGGTTCCCAGTAGGTACTGATCTGCTTCCCCATTAATTATTTTGGTGATTTCAAATACACTCCTCTCCTTTTTAAAAATGTCTTGAGTTGTTTCTGTTGGACTTTTGGGTTCAGTTGTGTCCTAACACTGTTATCACCTTTATCTAATATGGTTTTGTATTGTAGTTAGTACTCTAATGTTCTAATCACATACAAGGAAAAACCCAAGAAAATTTCTATCAATGCAGAGAGTTTGGCTTTTGTTAACATCAAGGCTCAAGAGATAGAAACTACAAAGAAAGCTTCAATGCAGCAAAATTCAGAAAGTGGCAGAAAAATGCTGGAGGTTTCTATTTCTTTTATTAAAAAACTAACAGATACTGTAGTAAATTGCTGTTGCTATCAGGGTTCATGGATAAACATTTCCCATTTCTCTTAGCCCTTCCTCCAACTGTGTTAGGAGAAAGAGCCCTCAAAAAACATAGCAGTTTGTTTGTTTTCTCTCTTTCTCTCTTTCTCTCTTTCTCTCTTTCTCTCTTTCTCTCTTTCTCTCTTTCTTTCTCTCTCTTCTCTTCTCTTTCTGTTTCTTTTTCTCTCTCTCTCTTTCTCTCTCCCATGGTCACACTGCTATCCCAGCCCAGCATCTCCCCAGAAATAGACCTGAAGTCCCAGGACTGTCCTCAGCTGCTCCAGTTCTCCTGTTATGGTGAAAATCTCTCTTCACCTATTTTCAGTTCTGCAATCTTCAATCTTCTCCTTCTGCATGATTTGAAAAATGCAGGAGCAGCTGCATTTGCCAGAGTTCCATGTGGTATAGTGATTTCCTGTGCTGGAAAAATACACTCCAAGTAGTAATTACTGTAAGTTAAGTCCATTTAATCTGCACAAGGACTTTTATTGTCTTACACAGTTTGGGAGAATTTGGAAGACCTGGTCTCCAAAAGTTTGTAGGATAGCAGTCTTACAGATGTTAAAGGTGTGCATAGGACGGCAGAGTTTTTAGTGTATTAGGGAGGCAGATATAAAGTGGAATATAGACTCCAGATTCTCATTAGGTAAATCTGAATAAGCAGCAGACATGGATTCTATTAATTTTGCCATGCATTCTCCTTGAAACTCTAAGCATTTTTCCCCTTCTTTGTGGCTTCTGTAGGAGTGCATAACAGATGGTACCTTTTGTAGCCTTTTCACCATTTTAAGTATATTTTTCAGATCTATCGCCTGACACAAAAAAAGGAAGACTTTAGATTGTCTCCTGTTAAAACAGCCACAGTATAGCTTTAAAAGTACAATAAACTATGCCATATTGTGATCCCAGTCCGACATTCCCTTCCTCTCCTTTTCAATGTTCTGTCAACTGGCTAATTCTCTTCATCTCCAAAAGTTTGTTATTTTTGTACTGTGGTATTGTTTTAGGATTGAAATTGGCAGAGGAAAGGAGCCTGTGATGCTTGTAAAAACACATACCACAGAACTGTAGAATTGCATGTATTTTAATATCTAAAATTTCCTTTTAATATTTTTAATAAGAAGCTTCCCTAATTGACTGAGCCAAACTTTGGACATTTCTTTATTATTTTTCTTCTCTCCAATTTTCTTTATATGTTGACATAAGCTGAAATCTCTATCTGTAGATTTTAGTTCTTTATTTAAATTTTGCCTTAATTTTCCAAGCTGTGGTTTGGTCTTTTGCAGAGAACCTAGTGATCTCTAAACCACAATTTGAAAAACAGCTTGGAAAATAACCTTCAGTTCTTGTTTTTGTCTTTTTGGAATTAGAGAATTGGTGAGTCCAAGTCCATAAAGATTTTTGGGAACAGTACTGATTCCTATGAAGAATGTTGCCTGATGCAGCCCAAAGTAGGGTATATCAACTATTGAGAACAATATATTTGTTCAAAAATCAGTAAAGTGCATACAAAGGGACAAACCCAGATTATGATCACCCATGAGGTCAAACCATAAACTGCCCATAATGCAATAGAACATTCCATCTGGATGATCACTATTACAATAATAGCTTTAGATCAAGTGTTCCTCCTGTAAAGGAAGCAGGAAAATTTCTTTGCAGTCTTTTATATCTAGGTGTGGATTAATTTCTGCATTTTTGAAAATGTATCATCTAGCTATTACTTTAAAAACCCCCCAATATATTAGGAAATCTTTGTTCATGCCTCAGTGATTCTTCAGAAAGAATCTCCAACACTTTTGCTACAGTTCTCTAACAAGAGAACTGATATTGGCTGCTAACAAGACAAAACAAAATTCACTTTCAGAGTCAGTTCTGAAAGCACAGAACATGATATCAAACAAAAACAGAAGACACGACTGGGGATACAAACACCATAACGTCCCCCTAGGACATTTATGACATTTCCTACCAGATGAGAACACTTCTTGACCAAAAAAGTTACTGTGCCACATGGCCAATGTGAATACTAACTACTCAGGTCCTATTTTTTAAAGCATGTCTTTGCTTAAGCAGTTTGAAGTTGAGAATGAAGATTTATAAATTTCTTAAATTGATTATTTAGTTAATGTCTCCCTCCTACTGTGGGTAATATAGGTAGTTCCAAATGCTCTTTCAACATGTTTAAATAAATGTCAAGATTTCTCCAAATAGACTTTTTCAGCTCAAAAGAAGACTGTGTTTCTCTTAGCAATATCTATGAATTTCCACAATTCATCCGTTCAGCATGCTAGTCTATATAAATATTTCCCTCAAAAAGAAAATAAATCCCTAGAAATAAAGGCAATTGCTTAAGCAAGCAATTTTAAAGTTAAACATTGTCTTAGAAGTACAGTGGATGGAAAACAGTTGCTGGGTACTGCATGAATACTCCACTGAGGTTAATTAGCTCAGGTTTTGCAGGAGCCAAGGAGGAATGAGAGGTAATCCAAAGTTTGGATTGAATTATTCTTCTGGGGAATTGCAAATGGAGTTTACAAATTTCCAACTGTGCAGAGTGTGGTATAGGAGTTTTCTTTCTTTAGAAAATTGCTGTTTGGAAATGTTTCAGCAATACATTACAATGCTGTGCTTCAGTCGTGAGCCACCAAAATTATCATGGGTAAATGATCCTTCTCCAGTCAAGAGCTGGATGTTTAGTTGCCCACTTCTGAGACTCCCATTTTTTTATGTGTTTACAGCAAAAGTGCCTCTAATTTGGGGCCCATTTTGCAGACCTACAGTCCCTTTGACTCGTGTCCTGTGGCTGCCTGTCACTGATGAATCTCTGTTCAAGTTCCCAAGTCCCACTGTATGTGGCACTTCCACTGTTAATCAAGCACTGAAGGGTGGGGGAGGCTTAAGAAGAGGAGGCTGGCTTGGATTTTTTTTCTTCAGTTGTGTTATTTTCACAGCAATGCGTTTGGTTCCCAACACAGTGATGAAAATGGATCAGGAGATAGATAACTACAGCACAGACCAGTGTTGTGCCACATCAGTAAAAACACATGCAGAAGAGACTCTGCACAGTGTCTTTGCTTCATATACTTATTTTTAACATACGTTCAAGCAATTGGATCTTTGCCTTGGCCGAGCTCCTGTCCTGGAAGACTTGTCCTCTGTTTCCCTGTCTGTCATTGTGGGTGGGCCTGACAGGCATTGAATTGGAGATTTGTGTTCTTAAAACAGCAAAAAGTACAAATAAATAGCAATGTCCTTTACTCAGTCTCTGCTTATCAGGTTGCCTCAGACCTAATCTAACCTTGCTCCCTTGGCCAGAACTGAAACTGCTGTGTAGAGGAGACAGACAAGTCAGTGTTGAATTAAATAAAATATTAATAGTATGTGTGCAAAGAATCATCAAAAGGACTGGTTAATTTTGTGTTCAGTTCCAGTCCTACACAATTAAGACAAAAGATGTCTCCATGGTTTTGTGGCAAGAAATTGGGCTTTTATGTTCTCCAGAAGGGGAGTAGCACCAATGTGTGTTGCTTGCCTGCTCCAGAGTATTCAAGAATGCTTAGTTTGCAAAATGTTCATCTCTTCTATTTTATTCCCCAGTTATGAATTCCATGTGAAGCCCAGGAACCCCCTTGGTGAAGGTCCAAGTAGCAATGTTGTGGCATTCAGTACTGAATCGGGTAAGAATTTCAGAGATCAGACCACCATTTACAGCACCTTCAGTACCCATGTTTGTGGGATGCATGAAAGGCTCTCACTTCACTTTGTGCATTCAGTCTTGCTCTTTACTTCTCCTGATTGGCTTTTTACCACCATGCCTGGAAAGTCAGCCTGGGATCAGAACTGTGCTGTGTGAGGATGTAAGATGGGCAGACTGCAAGAGAAAAAACAGAGGAACTTTGTCTGGTATTCATTGCAAAGAAAATTACTTCATCCTTAGAGAAGGCTCAGTCATTTAAGATTTATATTCCTGACCTTTTTGCATCTATCCAACTCATTAGCAGCTTCTGGATGGGGAACATCAGGGTTTTTTTGGGATGGTGTGTTCATAGGTGTTTTTGCTACCTGTTCAATAAGGCTGCTGTAAAACAGTGATGTTGTTTGGCTGAAATAAGGATTGAGAAAGAGCTGTTGTGAAAAGTCAGTGTCCCAGTAGGTCCCCTTCCACCCTGTTTACTCTCCAGTGAAACTGTTAAAGAGGTGCATACAAACCTGGTTTTGCCACTGGTTGGTTCCCAAGTCAAGTTCTCTCTGACTCAGAGGTGAGAACCAGAGAACTTTTGCTTTCCCTATTCTTGCTGACTTGTTGACTTTAGGCAAGCAAGATACCATCTTTTGTGCAGAAGTGTTTATTGCTTGGTAGTACTGAAAGACCACACAAAACACAAAATGGACTTAGCCTTTTCAAAAGGACTTTCTCAATCTGTGTTTTGAGCCAGGTGTAATAATTTAATAGTCCTCAACTAGTGCTGTCACTGATGGATGAGAGTTTTGGCTGAGCAAAGGATTACTCAGGGAGGAGTGCAGACTATGCCACACATATTTAAAAACTCTGAATACACTCTTTGTAATTCTAGATTGTTGTAAGTGAAAAAAAATTGTTTGTGCCAAGTGCAGTTTTCATGAATGACAAGGCTTATGTTCTGTCTCCTATTTAGTTTGGACAAATTAAACATTCAGTTTTGTTTTTTCTTAATTGCACGCATCCATTTCTCACATTTGGTCTTTCAAAGCCAAGTTTTTTTGTGGCCAGTATTACAGATGTGCCCTTTTTATTATTTAGGTTTTGAAATTGAAATTTTAATAGCACACAGCACAATTGGGTGTTGTTGGTTACTGGTTTAAACTCTTGTTTTTACTAGAACTCTGCTTGGCTGGTTTTGTCCCATAAGTAAAATTATTAAAAGATCATTGATACTGGAGTTTCACACAAGAAATATATTTCTTCTAATTTAATTTAATACAAAAGTTAACTTTGCTTCCAAAACTCTTTCTGTTTCACAAATTACAGCTTACGTCAGCTGTAAAAAAATCACTTACCAATGCTTTTCCATAGAATTATTGGAAATGTTCATTTTACAGTGTCTGATTGAATGTTTGTTTTCTTCCCCCAGCGGACCCAAGAGTGAGTGAGCCAATTTCAAGTAAGTGTTTTATGTATAAATCAGATCAGCAGGTTTTTTTCAGAAATGAGATAGCAGAATTTTACGAGGAGGGCGGCTCTGCTGCACAGCTGGATGAGTTACAGAATCACACAGCTTCACACACAACTTCACTCCTTCCACCCTGCCCCTGCTAAGGAATTCAAGGCTGTTTGTTTACCTGGGCATAAGGCAATCAACGTGATGTGGAACTCCCATGGCAGCTGGGATGGCTTCAAACCAATGTACACAAATGAGCAAAGGACAGCCTCATATTTGCTCAACCTTGTCATTAAAGTAAAGAAAGCTCTGCAAAATTAATAAGCTACTCCAAAGTTTTTAAGTGAGTTAACAGAGGCACAACTGGGAGGATTCTATTTATCTGTCTTTGTGTTTTAGGAAGATTTTCTGCCTCAGAAGGCTTGATCTAGCTCTGCTTTAGGCCACTTACAAGACTCTTCCTGTCCTTGATGGAAGGTGGACTGAGCTTTTGAAGAAGAGCTGAGATCATTCAAGCAAATTGGGCTGTTTTTTGTAATAGTCATCACTTTCACTTTGACAAACACTGTTGGGACCATTTTTCTCCACATAATTAATGACACTTCATTTTTATATGTATTTTTGTCAGATCACAGTTTGCTGCAAGTTGATTGTCTTGGCTTGAACGCACTGAAGAATGGTGACTGTATCACACACTTCATAAATGAGAGTATTTCCAATACAAACATTGTCCCCTAACAAGGTCCTAGAATGAACCTATTCCAAACCTGCACCAGAGGACAGCAGGAGGAGGTCACAGCACCAATTCTATCTGCATACTTTGGTGCTTCCCTGAAATATTTCTCATGTTCAAAATGCAGGTGTCATGGTACATTCTGCTTCATCAAGGTTTCCAGTTCTAGCAATTCAAATGCATTTGTCGTGTGTAATTTTGTATGCAGCATTATACTTCAGCCTCCTTTTTCCTCTCCTGCAGTGGGGAAAGATGCTATCTGGACTGAAATCCCATTCAATTCAGACTCATACTCAGAATGCAAAGGCAAACAATACGTAAAGAGGACTTGGTACAAGAAGTTTGTGGGTGTGCAGCTGTGCAATTCTTTGAGATACAAGATATACCTCAGTGATTCACTTACAGGTAAGAAACATTCAAATCAGTGCTGTCCATATTATATATCCGTGAAATATATTATGGTTTCCAAAATAGGATGTTTAACAAGATGAGCTCTGGTGAAGTGTGATCAGATTTGTTTAATTTAGTCCACGGACTAATCATAAACAGTAATCTGCTTGTGCTCAGTAACCACTGATATGTTTGATACAGAGTTTTCAGACTCCAAAGGAACCTCTCTGCAGTGATCATCTGATTTTAAGTACCTATTCATATACTGGGGATCATACAGAAAACTGATAAAGATCAGAGTGAATACCATATATTGTAAAACAGCCAAATTGGTGTTTAAAGAGTAGCCTGGAATAATTATTAATTGGAGGATGTAGAACTCATTTTATACCAGGATTACACTTGTCATTCCCAGTCCTTTCAGTAAACATCTGGTGACTTCATTACTGGGAGGCTTATAAATATATGACTAACTCTAGTCAACAGGTTTTACTTGCCTGCTCATTTTTGTTTTGTTTTCACATTCCCCATTTTTGTTTATGACCTTTTTCCCTCACCTTTTTGTTATCATATTTTATTACTAAGGGAAACTTCCTGGCCTTGCATTCTGAAATTTTGTTTGGTGTTTTAAGACCAGCTGAGTGTGATTAAGACCTGAATCAGGTGACACATGCTGGGGAAACAGCCTGTGAGAAGTGTTTTTCAGTCAGTTGATAGGAGATCTTTGTGCCTCATGCAGCATGTGCAAGCTGTATCAGCTACATTAAGAAATATGTTAACTTCGTATAATGCATCCCAGGCTCCTGGCTCCCTTCTGTGTGAAGTCTCTTGTCACAGACAGCTCTGTGACAATGGCATTAGCATGGCATCTGAGCACAAAGACGTGTGGGAAATGCCTTTTGAGAGCAAGCCAGGCGAGTGTGTCCAGCACATCACATTGAATTAGTTAGGAGAGACTGTGGCTGGAAGAATCCACTTTCATAACCTAAAGCTGCCCCATCTCTGAGCTCAGCCCCTTACAGGAGCGGGGCTCTGGGCTCTGTGGAGAGAGCACGGAAGGAAAAGAGCAGGGATGTGCAGGGCAGCCCACCCTGCCATAAGTTTAAGCTTCCCTGCCTTGCGTTCAGCACTATTCTCTGATGAGCAGAAAAGGAAAGAAAGCCTTGTCATTAATAGTAAGTGCAATACTCCATATGTAAATAATATCTTAGTGATTATGTGAATAAAAGAGAATGTTTTGAACAGATGTATCATTCACGCAACTGTTGCTGTACTTACCAGCTCTGATCAGATGACAGCACTGGCAGTGAGGCATGATGTGTCCCAAAACCAGCCAGCAGAGGAAATAGCAGTGCCAATCTAGCGGGACTAGACTTTAGCCCTAAATCAAGTGAATTAACACTGCAATGAAAGCAACTCCGATCGGCAAAGTTCAAGATCAGGAGCCCATTTTCCTATTTTCATTAGATTGTTTTGTTCCCGCTGGAAGGGTGGTGGTCTAACCTGGCTGGAAAGATGAGGGGGACACACACTGTTCATATATTTGCTAAGCCTGGTTCTTGCACTCAGAACCAGCGCTGGCCAGGAGTCACAACACTGAGAGCAGCGAGTGTTTGGTGAGGCCCGTGCCGGGAGCTTCCCCTCCAAGCCCAGCTCTGCTCCGTGTGCCCCGGGACGGCGCTGTCCCTGCCAGCACGGCCAGCACACGCGTGTGGGACCGCGTGGGACCGTGTGTGTGTGGGACCACGTGTGGGACCGTGTGGGACCGCGTGTGTGGGACCGTGTGTGTGGGACTGCGTGTGGGACTGCATGTGGGACCATGTGGGACCGCGTGTGTGGGACCGTGTGGGACTGCATGGGACCACGTGTGGGACCATGTGTGGGACCACATGGGACTGCGTGTGTGTGTAGGACCACGTGTGGGACTGTGTGTGGGACCGCATGTGGGACTGTGTGTGTGTGGGACCGTGTGTGTATGTGGAACTGCATGTGGGACCATGTGTGTGTGTGTGTGGGACCGCATGTGGCACCACGTGTGGGACCGTGTGTGTGTGGGACAGTGTGTGTGTGGGACCGTGTGTGTATGTGGAACCGCATGTGGGACCATGTGTGTGTGTGTGGCACCGTGTGCAGGACCGTGTGTGTATGTGGCACCACATGTGGGACCACATGTGGGACCATGTGTGTGCGTGTGGCACCATGTGCAGGACCATGTGTGCGTGTGGCACCGTGTGCAGGACCATGCGTGTGTGTGGCACCGTGTGTGGGACCATGCGTGTGTGGCACCGTGTGTGGGACCGCGTGTGCCGGCAGTGCGGGGCCGCACCGAGCTCGGAGCTCCGCTGACGCTGGAAAATCCCTCAGAGCTTTGCTCCCGAAGCGCTGCAATTGCCTCAAAACTCGGCTGCACCGTCCAAATGCCATTGCATAAGGCAGGCAGAAACTGCATCTTTGCATGCTGGTTTTTAGCATGAATTTATTCTTCTAGTGCTGTGGAATTTGTAATGTATAAAACAAGGTTTGTATCTAAGATTGTAAGGCCACCCACAAGGGAACACTGGGGAAAAAATTGACTTTGTGTTAGAATTGCTGTCCCCAAAACAGAAAACCAGTTATTTCTTAGCTGAAAGGTTTTAAGTGTGTTCTTTTATTACAGAAATAATTGGGCAGCAAGAATGTAATAGTCACTGAGAATGCTGCTAATCCATGAAGACCGATTGTTTGAGTTATGCATAGGTTAAGCTGTGGGCCAGAAGAATATGTGTGTATCTGCAAGTTACTGTTCTGGTGCTAGCCATTAAAATATCTGGCTTATTCTCTCTCTTATGGAGAAAAACTGATCTCCGTTTCACATGCCAGGACTGTTCCATAAACCAGCATCCACTGCTGACCTCATTTAACAGTCCTCCAGAGCAGTCACTGTAGGCATTCCAGAAAAGCAGGCCACCTAAAAATAAGTATTTATTGAGGGAAGGAAAAAAATAAATTCTGTGTGTGACCTTCAACAGCTGTGGAAAAAAAAAAAAAAAAAAAGGCTTTTTTGGGCAGCCTGAATGTTCTTAATTTCAGAGCAAAAATTTGCTGAGAGGAACTCCCTCTGACCAGTTCTACGGAAAAAAACATGTTTGCAGCCAAAGCTAGATAGCAATAAATAATTTTGTAAAGCTACAGAAGAACCACATGCACAGAGGCCATCAACTGGAGGTGAAAAGTTTTGGAAAAGTATTGTTCATATCACAAAAACGTTGGAGTTTATTGATAGGCTGCTTTTTTATTAATTGTTCTTTGGGAGCAGTATTATAATCCACCCCACCACCTCCCAAATGGCCAGACCGGCATGGATTCAAGGCTCCAGGACACCCGGTATCTGATGAGTAATTGGACTTTCTGCCTAGCTTATACCTGCATCCCGAGCCTTTTTCTAAATTCTCTCAGCTTTCCTTTCAACATCTCAACCAAAGGTTGACCATACTAGAACTAAGTGCTCTGAAAGACGGTTAGAAAGAATGGTTAAGTTTATCAAAGGTTTCCGTCCCAGGTTTGGGAAGAGAAGGTAGCGTGCTCTTTTCCATCTTCCGAACTGAATTTTGCTAATGTCTTGCAAATCGGATCAGCAAGTGCAAGCAGCTGTCAAAGCTCCTTCCCCGTGCCTGTTAGCAGATAAGCACAGCCTGTAAGGTCAGCACATGCTACATGGGACACCTGGGACCTCGATTTCTGCTCGGCTGCAGTCAAGTGTCCTGTTAAGCAATCCTGCAAGCAAATACATGGCACGCTCCATGCTCTGGATAAGTACTTAGTATCCCAGGTCATCTACATGTTAAGGGGCATCACTTGCACATACATGTTGTAAAAATGTGATGATTTATACAACAGGCCTTGGCTGTGTTAGGAGGTGGTCTATAAAAACATCTCTGGAGGTACTGGGGGCTTCCTGACAGGGAACCAGACCTGCCTTCCATTCAAACCACTACCAAAACTTGCTTTTTGATTATGTTCTTGATAGTAACAGAATTTCCCTTACTGTATGAAATGTAAGGAGAGGGAAGAATTATGTCCAGGCATAGATTTTGGCCAAGAGTCGGGCACTTTTGCCTTAGCCATGAGCACTTGGAGCCTGCACGTCATGTTCAAATTACAGCTACAGGTCCTGAGAGGAAAAGAATCAAAGCATTCACCTTGGCTTCCCCACAGAGGAAAGAGCACAGCCCATTGCCTCTGGTGGTTTTTGGAAATACTCTTCACTAACTCTGCTGCTTCTTTGCTTTCAGGAAAATTTTATAACATAGGAGACCAGAGGGGCCATGGAGAAGATCACTGCCAATTTGTAGACTCATTCTTAGATGGAAGGACGGGACAGCAAGAAGATCTACCAGTCAAAGATGGTAATTCCCAGCACCTGTCTCTGTAGCAAACCTTGGCAATTCCTTTGTTTGTTTCTATTTCCTGCTATTCCTGTTTCTATATTCCTTCTGTTTCCCCACTGCTGGGGTGGGCAATGAAAGGTGCTGCCAGGAGGCAGAAGAGGGTCAAGAAGTTCTCTGACAGTGGATGATGACTTATTATAACAGCTATGACTTGGGTTCTGTTAGGTAGCAAACAGCCCCTCTCCTGTTTAAAACAGCCAACAAATTATTCACAGTTGGTATTAAATACTTAAACCCAGCCACAAGTTTGAGTTTGCAGAGAGGCATTAAGTGGTGTGTTCAAACTAGCAAGGTTGATTTAAAGCACAGTGCATAATCAGTTGGGCATTAAATACCTTGTTTGGTACAAATGAGAAATTGAAAATTTATGGCTGGAAAATATAATTCATGCTGCAGGAATTCTGTGTGTACTGATTGCAAAAGTGTGCCCGAAATTCCAGACAGGTCTAAGTGGACATGAGGCTGGATGTGCTAAACACAGCCATGACCTGCCTGGCTCTTTTTCACCCATTGCTGAGGCTGAGGTATAAGAAATTTGTACTCGTGTCAGCTGAACTCCTGCCTTGCTGCTGGCAGCAGTGCCAGGCTGAGGTGTTTTGTTCCTTGTGGGGTAAGAGCTCAGGCTGTACTGGTACGTGCACGCGTGCCGAGCGTGTCATGGAACATTTTACTGAGAAAAACAGCAAAACAGTTTTCAGTACAATATCAGCGTGCTGACCAAACCATCCTGTGCTTCACTTACAAAACACCCCACATGAGTGCAGATACGCATTGAGGTAGCTGTGGGAGATGAATGTGAAGTTCCTAAGTCTTTCACAAGTTTTTCCAAAAAACAAAGTAATTGAAGGTCTGAAGGGTGTTTGTTTATGTGTTTTGTGCATTTCTTCTAAAGAGGTTTTTGCTTTTCCCTTCCCAGTCAATGCTGCCCATTTGAAAAGATATTTTGTGTAAGAGGTGGTCAGAATCCAATTTGCATTGCCAGGACAGCAAACTTTTCAGTTGTACCAGATTTACACTTTTAAAAATATTTGAACATTTTAAAAAACTTTTACCTAACAACCTTGCTACCACAGTTTAAAAGATACTTATAACCAGTTTGATTTTGGCAGCTGGATTTGAGTGAATTCATGAGCTACGATCATTTTTAGGCTAAAATAAACAACAAAAAAAGCAAATACCTCACCTTTTCAGTAGCTTGTATTTCTAGCAAATGAACTGAACAGAGGAAAGAACAGACCAACAGACCAATTGTTCTAGCTGCAGCAGGCTGACTTCTGAATTAACTACACATATTTGACCTGAAGTGCTGTGAGAGAATCATGTCTGATGCTGTCTCTCAGCTGCAGAACAGTATTTTTTTTTAGTGTGTGTGTGTGTGTGTGTGTGTGTGTGTGTGTGTGTGTGTGTGTGTCCATGTGTCTGATCCAGCCACATATGCATTCCTTATGGTCAGGTTGGATGGAGCCCAATTCCTCACTTTAATTTGTAACCTCATGTTACTTGTTTAAATGGGAAGCAAGTGTGTCTCAAAGGCAGCAGAGTGAAAGCAGGAGGATGACTGGGATGGGGAGATGCTGTGACCTTTCCCCAGTGGCTGGGTTTTAGGAGGTTCACTGCAGTGTCAAGGCTGCACAGTGGGCACTGTTTGTCACTGTCACAGAGGGCACAGGCTGTACCCAGCCAGCCCCACCCACGGCAGGGTGCTGGGATCTCCAGGGGAGGCAGCTTCACCTCCGCACTGCATCCCAGGCGTTTTAGCTCCGAGTTGGGTTGGCACACTGCAGAGTGCCAGCGGATGTAGGGGCAGCAAGCAGCTCTGCTTGTGGCACGTGGGTTAATGGCTCGGTGACTATTTCAGCCGCTCGCTGAATTGTTAGTAGACTTCTCAGGGAACCAAACCACGGTACTGTCCTGGGAGCTTCATGCGAGCAAAACTCTGTTCTCTTTTCCAGGATTTTTCAGGGCAGTTCGTCAGGAACCGGTCAAGTTTGGGAAGATAGGCGGGGAGACTCAGATTAACTACGTGCGCTGGTACGAGTGTGGCACGTCGATACCTGGCAAGTGGTAGGTGGCACCCACGTGTGCACAGGCCCGACTGCCCGGCGCAGGCTGCAGCAGGCAAGGCTCGCGGTGCCCGGCACCGCGGGGTTGTGCCAGTCGAACGCCAATTCTGCCTTCATTGTGTAATAGTGTAGGCTGCTTACTGTAGTTATCCAGTGTTACAAATCTGTGTTTAGAATTAAAAAAACACAGGCTAGGGACGTGTTGTAGGGTAATGTATAGGGAAGCTGGCTCCCTATTCTTGAGGTATGGTTTGTATGGTATTTTAAAAGATGCGGTGTGTATATTATTTATCACGATGTTGTAATAAATGTTTAAGGCACGGATATGCCAGTGTTGGTCACGGAATGCAATGTGCGTTAGTTTTAAATATTCACTGGTCCTGTAACGTGCCGTAAGTGCCATAAGCTACCCATCCTAATCCATCTGTAACATCTCCCAGTCGTAAATTATAGAAAAGATCCTATAATTTTTAATATCCTGCAGCCAGTAAACTTGAAGCACTTTCTCCTTACACGTACAGTTTATGCTCCTGCCAAAATGCCGAGGTAGGCTGCTGTATGTGCAGCTTTAAATGATCAAGTTCAGTGGGGTTTTCTTCCCTGTTTGTTTTCAAATGTTTCAGCCCCAGCCAAAGCCATGCTCAGCCTGTCATTATGGAGTCAGAGCTGCTGCCCGTGAGCCTGGCAGTGGCCAGCAGGGAGGGTCGGTGTTCTCTAATTGAAGTGGACAGGTACATATGTACATGGAATGAAAAAACAAAGCTGGCCTCCACAGCTGGGGTTTTTCAGGAAAATGCAGTTTTCAGAGCCTGACACTTACTGGTTCAAAAGCCAAATGTATGTACCGTGAAAGAGGACTCGGAAAGACAAATTAAAGAGGAAAAAGAATAAACTAGTTATAACAGCATGATCAGGTTTATTTTATTTAAAAAGAAATATTCTGGTTTAAAATAGTTTTCATTGGGGACAAAGGGGAAATATTGATGACTGAACTTTAAAACTGCTTTACAGTTATTTTTATTAAAACCTCTCCCAAAGCTATTTGTTGTACTGCTTGAACATTTATGAACTAAATAAAGAGATGTAGGTTTTTTTAAAGGTGTTATTCATTACCTTACTAATGTATTGAAGAAATATGAACAGGAACTACCAGATCTATGCAGTAGTCATTTATAGAAAATACCTTATAAAGTACATTGCAGGTACACTGTACTCCTAATAAAATATTTTTTAATCAAGTGTTTTTTTCAAGTGTTTTACATTAAAACAAGACTTAGTTTCTGTGGTAAATGCTATTATTCAGAACAAACTGCTTGCTGGAACCAAGCCCCTGTTAAATAGCGTGATGAACATGGGGTGTGTTAGGTGTGAGAGCAGAAATGGTACAGCCACAGCTTACTGAGTAGCTGTGGGCACAGCACTGTTTAAGGATGCTGAAGGTAGGAATATTTTCACTCAGTTTTCTAATTTGTCTTTAGGAGAGCTCAAGCAGTTTGCTCCAGCTTATTTTTTTTTTATTCCCTGCTTAGCTTTACATATTCCTAGAATCTGCAAAATGGAAAATATTAACTGGGAGAATGTTTTGCCCTCTGCTGTACTGTGGTCTACTGACTTCATTACAGCCCTTGATCTGCTTTTTCTTGGCTCAAAATTTAGTCACGAGGATTGCACTCCCAAGTTCCTCTGGGTGGCAAAAAACCTACGGAAAGTTGGGTTTTTTTAAGAGTTATTTTTTAAAGTTTAATTTAAATTTGTTTAAATTTTTAAATAATAAATGAATTCTCTCCCCCACCTTGTTAAAGCAAAATTGGTAAGAGGCTTTGAGCTTTAGGATTGGTTCCTAACGATTTGGTTAAAGAGCCACTTGACAATGACAGCAGACAGCACAAAACCACCCCTTGCTGTGAGAGCCATCTGCAGTGCCAGCACCTTTCCATTTACACACCCAGAAATCTGCTGCTCCTCCTCCAAACTCCAGCACCTCTGCACCCAGCACGCACACCAGTCTTAGCACAGTTGTCCTGTTCTAGCACAGTTGTCCTGTTCTAAAATCAAGATCAGGCATTCAATAGATTCAGGGCTTTTATTAGTTTTTCATGTGAACATTACAATTTATAATACATCATATCTAGTTTGACCTCCAGAATGACTCTAATTTAGTACATCATGGTATTAGTAAAAACAAGCCTGATAAGTGGGCTAAACTTCCAACTAGTATCTTCATATCCTTCAGACAAGGCAAGCTAGAATGTCAATCACTTTACAGACGTTAAAGTAGTGTTTTCCAAAAACCGCCCAGCCCCCAATTAAACTAGGAAGCGAATACAATTTAAAGCAGGACAGGTTTGGTCAGTTCCCTCCCCCCAGCAGAACTGAATCCCCAGGCTCTGGAGTCCGTCGCACGGGTGGCAGGTGTCTAGCGGTAGCCGGGCCCGGGCTGGGCGTAGCCCTGCGGCCCGAAGGGCGGCCGGCTGCGGGCGTAGGGGTTGGGCCCGCTGGGCGGCGGGGTCAGGGTGCTGCCGGGCGGCGGGGTGAAGCCGGGCCGCGGCTGGAAGGAGCCGCTGTAGGCGGCGGGCTGGCTGGCCTGCGTGGTGTAGGGCTGCGGGGCGAAGCCGCCCGCCGCGTACTGCGGCTGCTGCGCCGGCCCCGGGAAGGCGGCCGGGCCCGCGGCGGCCGCCGCGCCGTAGGCCGGGAACTGCTGGCCCTGCTGCGCCGGGGGCTGCTGCTGGCTGTAGCCTGCTGGAAAGGCAGAGAGCGAGGCGGTGAGACGCCGGGGGACCGCGCAAACCTCTCGTTCCCAATGCTCGCAGCGACAAACGCAAAACGATGCGGGAAGCGCACAGCAGGCAAACCAAGCGTGAACCGCGAGTTCGCCTGCCTTTCACACAAGCGCACGGCCGGGGTTTTGGGGCACACCGCGGCAGCACAGCACACTGACAACAGTTACTATGAAACACTCTTCCTGTGACTGACAAGAAATAAAGAAAAAAAAAACAACCAAGTAGACTTTTCCTTAATATCATACAAAAAAATAAAGTCTTCACTGGCAAATGAGGCAAAATTCAATCCTTTTCCCAAATAAAACCTCCAAATTAAACCGTCTTGACAATACTCTCAGGGTTTTATATTTAAAAAAAATCACTGGTGAAATCATAGGTGTTTTCAGCTCTTTAGCTTTGAATATTAAAAGGTTATGTAGAACAGAACGCTTTAGCACAAAACTTCCATTTACACGTCCCAAATTTGATTTTTCTGTATAACACTAGCTTCCAAAGGGAATTTCTCTTCTCAGAAATTTTAAAATGGAACAAAGTCCTTTCACGAAGAAATAGCTACTTTTATCCATCATGAAACACACCTGCAGCTACTTGCAATGAAACCTCTCCAGTGACTGGAATCCTGTCAGCATTAAACACCAGACACACAAATTATTAAAAGTGCACAGCCCTAAATGGAAAGAGTAAGGGTAAGAATGCACTGCAGTAAACTCACCTTGAAACTGGGATCAAAATTTACTCATGAGACAAACCTCTGAAGGGTCCATTTTTACACCCATGTATAAATAGCCACTGTTGCCTAGTAGATCTACAAGAATGGGAAGGTATCCTGCTCTTGGGGAGACATGAGTTTGAAAGGAGACAATACTCATGAGAACTAAAGCAACACAAACAAAAAGATCCTGTGACTCAGCATCTCCAAAGGCTGCTGTCAATAGGTCTTCAAAGCAAACTCTGTTTCTTAACATTAATTCTGAACTAAGTTATGACAAACAGAGGTGCCCTATTAAGTTTCTGGTGGCATTTCATTCATACTTGACAATGATGTTGGAAAGCAAAACTCACATTGCACTACAGCTTTCAGAGGAATATCAGTAATATAATGGATTAGATGATGATAGGATATGTCTAGAAAGCAGATTGGAATTCCTTTGTTTCCTCACTCAATTTTTAAGCCTAGAGTGTCAAACAGACCCTTCTACTTCCAACAGCCTTGCTACTTCTGAAATTATATCCGAGTACATCTATCTCTGTATTCTAATTACAAATGTGGGGGAAAGAAATCTGCAGAGAACAGAATACCATTTAGACACTCAAACCAACGAGCTCACACAGTGCACAGCAACAGGGTCTGAGGCACAAACCTTTAGTCCAAGTATTCTAGGGTTCTTATCCATGCTAAGCATGGAATTTCTTCGTGAGCTCTGCAAATCTTCTCATCTATATAAAAAGTGATGCACTCCCACTGTGCACCAAGAAAAGGTCACACTGGCTCTGAGTCACTTAATGAGAGTCTTTTCTTTAGTTTTGGGAGGATTTTTTAAAACAAGGAATGATAAATGCTTTGTATCATTTTCTAAAATTATTAAACAAAATGCAATTTGTTACAGAATGTACTCTTACAGGTTCATCCCTAAACCTCATCTGGATTATCATTCCTATCATACATTATGCATTCCTAGATGCCAGCTGCTCCCAAAGGAACTGAAAGTTCTGAGGTCGTTTATTTTGGGTATACCCTAAAGCCAGCTTTTCATATTTCACTGCACATACTGTACATAAACCTCTAGTGCACTAAAATATTCTTCTGCTGAAATTCTATTGGTACCTTTGCTTACGGTATCAGCAAAATCAGAAACTAAAAAAGAAAAACTATCACTTGAAAGTGTCTCTGGGATTTACAGTATGTCTGTTAGCCAAAGATTTACTGAATGACAGCTACAGTGTTTACACCAGTACATTTTGGACACGGAAATCATTCTAGACGCAGGAAACAGGGGCCATCTTTAGACACCCTTGATATTTAAGAGGCTAAATTGGGATGTTTAGTCACTTGCTAGAATCCCATGACTGCAGAATATAATCCTGAAGGCTCTCACCCTTCAGGTGATTCATTTTGCCTGCCTTTCTAACAAGGCATTCTGCTGATTAGTAATGAGGTCTGCCTTTGGTCACAGTGAAGTCGGGCTGAACTTTGACTACATATTAACAACATAAATACTCTCTTCCTGACAATTTCTGATTCGTGCCAGTTCCCATAAGGAACGCAGGCATCTGGGCAGCTGAGCACCCTGACCTGCCCCACAGGGTCAGGAACTGAAGCGTGGCAGGCTCAGGCCCTGCAGGAAAGGGCCTGCAGCTGAGCTGCTGCTGCAGAGCTGCTTACCTGGGTACTGCACGCCGTACTGCTGCTGGGGCTGAGCCTGCGGCTGCTGAGCAGGGTAACCAGGCTGCTGGTACTGCTGATACATCTGACCTAGGGATTAAAAACGCATTTCGTTGAAGCCCAGTACCCTGGTGCATTACAGTGAATGATACCCTGACAGTTCAAGATCACAGAAATAAAGCCAGTGACATCAAAGTACAGATTTTAGTTTCTGAAACATGCTGTTCTGACTAAATTAAGTTTATCTAAAGAGTTATGTGAGGCTTACTATTGCATATTTTCACAGGCTGCCAGAATCTATGCACCTTAGTTAGCGCCACTGTGGTGGGTAACAGACCAGGAGTCTTTAAACATCTTCATAACTGCTCCAGAACCTACACTGTAAATTAAAGTACTTCAGAAGTTAAACATATCCTCTGAATGTCCATTTAGATTAGCTTTTTAAGACCATTTCTGCAACCAAGTACTGTAAGCAAGTGGTACATTATTTATGCTGACCACATTTTCCAGATAAGACATCCATCTCTTAGCATTGCCAAGTTTTCTTAAGAGACCCAGTGGTATACACCCAAAGCAAAAATAAAACCATATATTCTTAAGCTTGGTAGTCCAAGTCAGTGTTTATTTTTCCTACATTCACTGTTTTCAACTTCTTAGCCAGAAGAGGCAGAATATTTGTTTACACAACCTATGGGTCCTATGGAGGCTTTATGCTTCTGCTGTTTTTACAATCTAGAAAGTCAC